CCCCAGTCACAGCCTGTTGCTATAGGCTCCACAGATGTTGTCCCCATCCCTGGAAACATGCAGGGGCTTCTTGCACCAGGGCTGGCGTGTCCAGCTGGGCCTACCTTGGGCTCCTGCTGTGAATCAGCCCCATGTAGCAAAGGGAACCAGTGAGAGGCCATTTGCAGACAAGGGGCTTTGACAAAAATCTAGAGATAGGATCTCTAACTTAGAGGGACAGCCTGAGGGGGAACTAGGGAAGGGTAGAGAATCAGAGAAGGGATGGGGGAGGCTTGTGTTCTTGCTCCATGAGTAATTACAGTGGGACAACAGCGACCAATAGGAAGTTTCCTGGAAAAGCTTCCAGATCCTTCTCCATTCCAGACGTCAGAGCCGAAGCAGGGAGACAAGACCCAGTGGCATGAGGCCTTACAACTCCAGCTACTCCAGCTTCATTTAGTAAAGAAGGTGAAAAAACCTTGCCCACTGGCTCATTCCTGCTTCTCTTATAAACAGGGACTGAAAAGAAAGACCAGGTAGCCAGTGGAGGACAGTAGCTAATGCGAAGTCCCAAGACAGAAAGAAAGAAAGGCCTGGGGGTGTGGCTCAAGTGGTAGAGTACCTTGCTTTGCAAGCACAAAGCCCTGAATTCAAACCCCAGTCCCACAAAAAAAAAAAAGAAGAAAGAAAAAAGATTATAATGGAGCTGAAAAATTCCTATCAGCCAGTGGTTTTGTAGCTGTCATAGTAGGCCGCACTCATCACACTCGTATGATGTAAACAGAATTGGGCGCTGGTGGCTCACACCTGTAATACTAGCTACTTGGGAGGCTGAGAAAGGGAGGATCACAGTTGGAGGCCAGCCAGGGCAAATAGTTTATAAGATCCCATCTTGAAAATAACCAGAGCAAAACATGGACTGGCAGTATGGTTCAAGTTGTAGAGCACCTGCTTTGCAATGTGTGAAGCCCTGAATTCAAACCCCAGTACTACCAAAAAAAAAAGTACAGCACACACACAATCAGGTGCAATGCCAAACACCCTGGATAATGACAATAAATGGCTGTGTTGGTGGCTTATGCATTTACCGTACTACAAATTTTGTTGTGTTTTACAGTGCGTTCCTTGTACTTGTATAAAAGAAGAATTTAGGGTGAAGCACTGTGCTGATTTATGCCAGCAGCCGCCCTGAAACATCTCATGTTCACTGTGCCTCTTGACTGCACTATTTTTTCCTGTGCTTCATCTAATCTCATGTTGTTTGGGAAATCATGGCCCTAGTAACAACAGCCTCTATTACACCTATATGTGCCACACAGCCTTGGTATGCAGGAGGCTGTGCCATCTGGCTCGTGTAAGTGCACTCTCTGATACTCACACAACCATCAAATCGCCTATTGATGAATTTTGCAGAGCGTGTTGTCGTTAAGCAACACACAGCTAAATACAAAGAGAGTTAGGATTCAAGAAAACCTACCTAGCCATAACAAAAGCAAAGAGCACAAAATCAATCCAAAAGGCCCAAAATCCAACTACTGGGAGTTCAAAAGGGGCATGAAAGCAGAAAAGATCTTGTCAATGAAATACTGAGTCGCGAAATGGAACATGCCAGGCAGGGGGTGGCATCCATCCCCAGAACTGAAAAAAATGGAACATGCCCACCAAGTGCCTAATGCCACGACCAATAAAACATCCTCAGTCAGCACAAAAATCCCAGGACCCCTGAGGTCAGAGAGGCCCTAGAGGCTCACAGTTGCACCAAGGGCCTCGCCTCCTGCCCTCAAACTCGCAGAGTGGGGGACAGAGGACACCCTCTGACTGGATTCTCTCTCTCCCCAGCCTAACATTTAGCAAGCCAGATGTCAGGGTAAGATGCTTCTAGACCTGTAAAGTATCGCCTTCTCTACTTCTGCGTGATAGGCCGCTCCAGAATTTAGCAGTGAAGACAACAGTGGCCTGTGGGTTGGTGACTTGCCTGGCCACCAGGGTAGCTTTGGGCGGGGTGGAGGGGGGGATTACTAGACTTGCTCACCCACCTTCAGGCAGCTGGGACCTAGCTGGGACACATGCGAAAAGATCTGGGACCCTGGCAGAGGGCGGATTGGTGGCCATTTCTACCACACTTGCTTTCTTCTTGGACTGGGGTTTTCTCTGAGCCAGCTTTCTGCAATGTTCACTGAGAATGTTCCTCTACAAAACAAGGGAAGAGACAGAAAGAGGAGGACATGGTGGCAGGGACTCGGAGATGACAGTGAGGACAGTGCCAAGGTGGGAGGAGCCTACTAGCCTGGCTCCCGCCCCAGCCCTTGCCCATTGTGACCTCCCTGACTGCACCCAGGCCTTTGTGACCACTGCCCAAAGCAGACTTGTGAGCCAGCGTAACATCTAAAGGGCCCTTAAAGAAGGTGGCAGGTCAGCCAGGCCAGATCCTGGGCCTGGGGTCAGGAAGGGGTCAAAGGGAGGTATGGAGGGGCCCAAAACCTTGGGCCCCTGTGGCCACTCCTACCCCCAGTGTCCTCCAGCCCCAGCCTCAAGCAGTCATGGAGGATGCCTGGATCAACCCTGCCAGGGATATGTAAGGTGGCCCTACCTGGTTCCCCTCCCCTCTGCTCAGTCACTGGAGACTGCAAGGCCTTTCCCAACTCCAAGAACAGGGGGTGGGGGGCCCAGGGTAGAGGGCAAGGCACCTGGGAGCTTTCTCTCCAGTGAAGAAAGAGAGATACCTCAGCAGAGCCCAAGAGAGCACGCAGGGCCAGGGCCAAGACAAGGAGAAACGGAGGCAGGGCTGAGGTGGGGCTTGCCTCTGCACCCAGGGAGAGAACAGGGTGCCCCCAGGCAGGGGGGGTCCCCTAGCTCAGGGGCCAGACCTTGCCCATGCCCAATCTTGTCAGCTGGAGGAGGGGCCCCAGCCCCACCCAAGGCAGGCCCCTCGCAGCTCCAGAGCAGGCCACTGGGGTCTGCAGAACAATCCTTTCTCCAGCTGGAGCAGGAGAACCACAACCTGGTGAGTGCATCCACAGGCCTGATGGACTCCAAGCTGCTTTCAACTGTCCAGGCCTCTGCCTCACCTCAAAGCCCCTACCCCAGCCTGTTTCCTACCTAAGAAGAGACCATGACAGGCAGCCCCCATCTCTCTGCCCCCTCCCTTACTTCACGACCTCAGAAAAGGCAGAACCAGGACCTTCGGGAGCAGCTGGGGGCCCTCCTGGGGCCAGGGCCTCAGTTCCTGCCCCTGTGTACCGAGCACTCGAGCTGCACAGCCATGGCCTGGGTAAGTGCAAACCTGTAGCCTTCAGATCCCATACAACCACTCCCCCATCCAGCACCCAAGAGTGCAGCCCATGGCCTTGGGGCTGACCTGGGGGCTCTCCTACAGTCCCCCGAGGCAGCCAGCACCCGGCCTCTGGAGGAGAGAGCACCTGTGCAACTGGTGCATCGTGAGCTGTGCCAGGGGGAAGAGGCCTTTGTGCAGCAGTCCCAGGTGGGTCCTGGCAGGAGGTGGCTGGGTTCAGGGAGGGGACTGGCCCATGCCCACACTGAATCCCTCCCACACAGAACGAGCTGCAACAGATCCGACTATCCTTTGAGAGAAAGAAAATGGCCATTACTGAGGTGCCTGCCTGGCCTGGAGTGGGATGGGATGCAAGGGGAGCTTCTGGCAGTTTCGGCTCCTTATGTGTGACCCAGTCTCCTCTGCTCCCAGGTGTGGGATGGTGTGGCTGAGGTACACATGGCCCTGAACAACCAGGCCACTGGGCTACTGGTAAGTCCCCAGAGGGTGATACTTGAAGGAACAGGGGACAGGACAGGGACGATGGTAATGAAGGCCTTACCTTCCTCTGCCCCCCACCCCAGAACCTCAAGAAGGACATCCGGGGTGTACTGGATCAAATGGAGGACATTCAGCTGGAGATTCTGGGGTGATGTAGGGGTCTAGGGCCAGGCTGAGCCAGGTGGGAGGGGGCGGACCCATCTCTGACCTCCAGTTCCACAGCAGGGGGTGCGACCAGGCTGCGGGTGAGGGGTATGTACTCTGACAGTGTGGTCTCCCAGGGAGAGGGCCCAGTGTCGCACCCAGGCCAGGAAGGACCAGGAGATGGCATGTGTAGTGGTGAGCCCCCACCCCATGCCCTCTCCCAGCCTGGAGACCCAGCCCTGCCTGGGGTCACTGCTGGGGGGATGCAAGGAGATGTACCCCAGGGAGCAGGCCCCAGGGCTGGAGCCCCCAAAGGGACTAGTGGTTGCAGGAGTCTGTTCCCAGGGAGGGGGATGGGTACAGCTAGAATCTCTGTCCATTGAGGGTCCCCAGAGCCAGGGACCCCCCACCTTCCACCCTGGCCCTTGGGGCAGGCTCTTACCCAGTCCCCTCCCCAACAGAAAGGGAGGCCACAGCTGGGATGTTCCGAGGGCCTCAAGGGCCAGTTCTGGTAGGTCACTTTGTGGGCAGAGCCCAGTCCCCCTGAACCATCCCCCGCGTCCCAGGCGCCCCCTGCCCCCTGACCACCACCGCCCACAGGCTGCTGGCCCTGAGGCTGCTGCTGGGTGCCCTGCTGGCCTGCACCGCTGCCTACGTGTACGTGGTGGACCCCACACCCTTCGAGGGGCTGGTGCCTCCCCTGCTGAGCCGAGCCGCCGTCTGGAAGCTCCGGGCCCTACTGGGCCCCTTCCTGCACCTCGAGGTGGACGACTTCCTGCCCTTCTAGGCCGGAGGCCCAGCGGCCCCAGCGAGGAAGAGGCCAAGCGGCCGGCGCTGCCCCAGGTGCCCGGTGGCCCTACCAGCCTCTGCCCACAGCAGCGCTGCACATCGTCCCTGCCAGGAGCTGCGGAAAGGGGTGGAGGCGGGGTCTGTCCTGAGGGCTGGGCCTGCAGCTGGACATATAATCGTGACACTCTTGGCTTGTGAGCTTGTTTCCATGGAAATGGGGGGAGGGGGAGGCAGAGGTTTTGAGCTTTCTGAGGTACCCCGGGGAGGAGGTCCCCCAGGGTGGAGCCCCGTCTTGGTTCTGATAGCAAGCTGGCTTCCATAACCTGCAACCCCATCTGCCTAGGATCAATGTCCTAGGCTGTCACCCTGGGGCTAGACTCTCCCAGGGACCTTGGGGGTCAGGCTCAAAGGCCTGAATTTGCTGGCTCACTCACTGACCTCATGGCCCTCACATACCGCCTCCCCCTCTTGCCACTCACCTGGGCCTCTGTCCCCTCTACCCAGGATTCCTGTCCAATCCAACCTCCTGGCACTGCCCAAGGCTCAAACGAGGGGACCCCACTGGTGGACAGAGCCATAGAGGTAAACACCAAAAATTTTATTGAGGAAATTAAATTGAGGGAGGGAGGATACCCTTTAGAACAATAGAGAATAACTTTGTGGCTTTCTTTTCCCAAAATGGGAGAAATAAAGCTGGGACCCTGCGCAGGAGGGAAAGCTGGCAGGACTCCACCCTGCTCCATCCTGGGGCATCCAGACCTAGCAGGCTCAGCCCTGTTTGTTCCCAGATGTGTCATCCTGGATGCAGACAGTCCAGGTGGGGTCAGAGCAGAGATGTCTCTCCATGGGAACCAGGGAACTGGTGGGCAGGCAAGGAATGGAGCTGGATGGGCGGGTCCATGGCTCGCCCTGCTGGCTGGCGGCTCCAGGAAGTTAAGGCATGTGCTGGGGGCGGGGTAGAGGGAGTGCAGTGACCTGCAGGGGCGACCTGAGGCCCCTACCCCAGCCCAGCCCACAGAGGCCTGGGCTCCCCTGGAGGAAGTAGCTTAGTCTAAAGTGCTTGGAGGGGAAGGGAGACTGGGCTGAAGATCGTGCTGGTCCGAGCAGCTCTAGGGCCACCCCCAGTGGGGCACTGAACCCCTGCAGCAGGTGGGGGACTTCCTGAGGTCACATGGACACAGGGTCACAGGCCCTGGCAGGCTGGAATCAAGACATGGCTGGTAGAGAAGGGACTCCGCAGCTCCTATCCAGCCCCACCTCAGGATCCACAGCAGCCTGGTTTCCTGGGCCCCAGTTAGGCTGTCCAGGATCCTGGAGTCGTCTACTTGGCATCCTGCTAAGGCCCCGAGAGGCTGGGGAAAAGGCTGGACGCAGCTGAGTGCAGACGGCACATGGTCCCTCGGGGGGCTGCCCCAGCTGCTGGGCTCCAGGAGGCCCGCAGTGACGGGCGGTCCTCAGGACGGCCAAGATGGCATAGGTGCAGGCCGGGGGTCCCCCTGGGTTGGCCACGCCGCCCCCATCCATGGCTACAGGTGCCAATTCGCCCTCTGTGGGCCGCGGCGTCCATGAGAGAGAAGCAGAAAGGTGGAGGTCAGCATGGGACAAGAGCTGTGGGGGCCTCTGCTGGCCCTTCCTCAGCCCCTGACCAGGCTGTCTGGGTCCTCAAAAGCTGTAGATTCCTAGCACTCCCCAGTCCCATCCCTGGCATATGGCTGACTAGAGTTCCCGAAAGTACAGCAACTTCTATGGGGCTCCGAGCCGACCAGCAGCCCATGTGTATTTCCATCCTACCTACCCAAGCCCTTGGGTTCCTGAGACCTGTTGAGGTAGCTGCATGCAGCCCCAGACTCTTCTCCAAACACCGTTACTTCCAAGAAATGAGACAGACCTGGGGCGAAAGACCTTTACACTCGCCAGCCAAAGACCTATCGCCAGCCCCAGTGGGCAGGCCTCTACCTTGGTTGAAGTCAGCAGAAATGCTCACAAGGAACATGCCACCCTATGCCAGCTGGACAACCCTCTTCCCAAAGCCCTCCCCTGCTCCCTGGGGCCCCGGCACCCACAGCCCTGGCCTTGCTCAAGGAAAGGATCAAAATGACTTTTTTCTTTTTTAATAAAATTATAGATATATAGATGTAAATATAAAAACATAAAACAGACACAACGCAAGCAGACGCTGCCATGTGCTTACTCGGGTCCCTGACATGAGGGGGAGCACTGACCCCCCTCCCCAATGTGCTTTCCACACGGCACTGGTGGGACCAGGGCCGGGGACTTGGTATGCCTTGGGGTGGGCATTCTCCAGTTTGGCCGGGAGGGCCTGAGGGCTGGGGAGGGGGCTCCAGGTCTCACCAGCTCCCTGGGGCAGCATCTGGTGCCCATACCTGCACCCACCTGCCCCCCCGTCACCTCCCACAAGAGCAAAAAGCAGAAGTTAAGGCTTCGATGAAAGGGACAGCAGCGGCTGAGCACTGACACATCAAACGTGGCACGGCAGCACAGCACACAGACATGGGGACACGAGCCCAGCAGCTGGGCAAGACGTGACACAGGGAGCTAGAGTCCCTGCTACAGTTGGCTGTCTGTCCGTCTGTCTACTCATCCGTCACAGCCCAGAGCAGGCCAGGGCTGCACTCCCTGCAGAAGCATCGGCCTTGCCAAGCTACAAGCTGCCAGCCGGGTCAGTGAAAGGCAACGCGTTAGGAGCAGCTGGAAGGGCAGGGCCTCAGAGACCCATCTGTAAGGGGAGTGGTGGGCCCACAGGCCTTGGGAGGGTGATAGGAATTGAGCTTGGCCGATGGAGAAGGCAGTCTGGGTCCCCCTCACAGCCTGGCAACCCTTGGCCCAGTCTTGCCCGGGGATCCGTCTGTCCTGTGAGCAGATGCATAGATGGACAAGCAGAGGGCGTGGGGACTAGCTTGTGGAGGCAGGGCTCTCTCTCCTGCTGATGCATCCACACCAGGCTTAGGCGGCCTCGTCTCCCTGGGGCAGAGAAGTCGGTGGGGGTTGGGAGAGCCACCTTGGGGTCCTGGTCCCCATGGCGCCATGGCGGATGGGTGATGGTCAGTTCTCACACCGAGATCTCGTACGTAGTCCCACCCACGCCGGACACCTTCTTAACCAGCGTGTGCCGGGCAGGGCTGGCGGAGGGCCCTGCAGGGCCAGCAGCAGGCCCCAGCCGGGCCAGGCCAGGGGACTGCCCATTAAGATTACTTGGGGGGGTCTTCAGCTGAGGGTGGTCCCTGCATTAAAACAAGCACACATACACGTGCACACAGTGAACACAGGACGGTGGGCAACAGGACACACATAGACGTGGACTGAAGCCCTGTGTCCTGGACCCTGGGCAGTTCCTGCCAGGGAAGGACTGCACTGTCACAGGATAAACAGATACTGTCAGAATTGCCACCTGGGTCCCTCTTGGGTGGCTCCGGCCTGAGAGCAGAGTGGCCAGGTGGACATTACCCTGAGTCTTTGCCCTGTCCTGGTGCTGAGCTGAGAAGCCCAGTGGTGGCCCCGTCTGCCCTCCTTGCTCACTCCCTCTTAAGAAAATGAGGGGTTGACCTCTGTCCCCAACTTGCTACAGCCCCTTCCTTGACCCTGAACAAACCAAATGGACTCCTAACAGAATGTAGGGTGATGAAGCCAGCAGCAGTGCTCCTTGCTTGTTGGGTCTCTCCCTGGGGCCTCATTTGTCACCCTGAGCCTATGCTCAGGACTGCTGTGGCCTGGATAGGACAGTGCCATTACAGTGCTGTGACAATGCTGTGACCCACCCAGCTTGAGGCAGCTTGAGGACACGACCCTCACTGACCTCAGCTCTCCCACTTGGACCCGGTCCAGTTAGCAACCGGCCAGGGGCCTGGAACCAACCTGTGCTCCCCAGGCCTCAGTTTCCTAGCAGGGAGGCTAGGACTATGTAGCCAGGGTGGCATACTTTCTGTGAGGTGATGCCCTCGGCCCCAGCCTCCTGGAGATGCATCTAGGCAGATCTGAGGAGCGCTCCATGCACACCAGGGAAGGTGGGAGCCCACAGACCACAGGAGCCCCACGTTCCACATGGAACCAGCAACCAAGGACGATGCTCCAGGGCTCTTCCATGTGCTGGTTCTGTGCTGGCTCCGGGAGGGTGTGGGATGTGCTCTGCATGCACATCCTCCTCTTCCAAACATGGAGCATACCCCACGTGTCCTCAGAGCCAGATCGCCCTTGCCCAAGGTGACTAGGCAAGGTAACTAGGCACCTCTGAGGCAGGGTGAGGCCCACCTCCCCCATCCCTACAGACAGTCACAGGCCTCCAGGACCCATGCATACCAGACCAAGAGGGGCCCTGCATGTGGCTGGACAGCTGTCCTGCATGGGGAAGCCCACCTACACCACCAGGCACCCACCTCTGCACAGCCAGGGAAGGCGGCCGTTCCGGGAGGTCCGTCTGGATGAAGGCGACAGCTTTGGGGCCCGAGTAAGGGGGAGAGCAGGGGGTGCCAGGTGGGGAGGGCAGGCCCTGGCGTGCAGGTGACCTGTGTGAGCCACTGCTGGGCCGGGGCCCTGGGCCATTGTTGTTGGCCTGGTCAGCCTGAAGGGAGGACGAAGATGTCTGTGGTGCTCGGCTCACGGAGCTTGACAGTGAGGACAGTGACGTCTGCAGGGCAGGGTTGCGGGCACCACCGAAGCCAGGCCCAGCCACCAGGTCATCTCTGGAACCATAGCGCAGCACTGAGCCACGGGGACCCTCAGACAGCACGCTGGCCTGCTGCAGGCTATAGGAGCTGGGTGTGTCATAGACTCCAGAGTCACCAAAGAGCGAGTCAGCCTGGGAGCGCAGCAGCCGTTCACGCTCCTCCCTGTCCTTTCGCTCCTGGATGGAGGCCATGATGGTCCTCGACAGGTTGTCGTAGCGTACGGGGGAGGGCTCCCGAGGCCGGGGGCCCAGCACAGGACTGAAGCTACGGGGTGGGGGCCGTGGTGGGTCACCTGCCCCTCCAGGGTGCAGGTAGGGTGAGTGGTAGCCAGCCACACTGACTGAGGGGTGTGCCGGGCAGGCACGGCCACTGGGCGAGCCAGGGTTAAGCAGGCTGTCATAGGACAGGCTGCCGTTTCTATTGGGCAGCGCGTGGGGGGCAAAGAGGCCACGGTGGGGTGTGGGGGGCCCCCCCTCGGAGCGTAGCGGCTGTAGGGCCACATGGTCCCCACCCCGCCGGCTGGCAGCCTTGAGACTCAGGGAGCGCAAAGCGCCCGAGAAGGCATCGGTAGCACTGAGTGACGGGGGTGGTGAGTAGGCTGAGTGTAAGCCGCCAGGCCCGTGGTCTGGGAGGTCCAGACTGGGCTCAGACACAAAGTCCAGGCTGTGTGTGCTGTCATCTGCCAGGGTCAGCGAATCAGGGCCTGGGATCTGTGGGAACACAGAGCACTCAGGCCAGAGCTGGCTGCCCCTCAGGGTAGCCCTCGAGGAGCTATGGCAGTACTGGAAATGCTCGGGACTCTGGATCATTCTGCAGGCTGTCCAGTGATGCACACTGCTCCACAGTGATGGACAGAGGGGTACTTAAGCCGGGGAAAATAAATGTGCTTTCTCAAACAAATCTCCAATTCTTCTGAAGGCTTCCCGTGGGCCTTACAGAATGACTAATGGTGGAATTCCAGGCATCCAGGCACACACTGGGGGAGGAGGGGGAGCCACCCACCTGGCCTATGGGCAATGCCAGCCAAGGGACAGAGATGCCAGGCTGGGACCATTAGTATCAACCCTTCCCAGAACACCTCACTCTGCTCCCCTCCAACGGACCCCAACTCAGCATGCCTACAGGGATGGGGTTGTCTGGCATGCCCGTGGCCCTGGGAGATGCAGGGGCCCTCTCCAGGGGTGCATCCAGGTAAGGGGGCAGGGTCTGCCTTCTCACCTGTTCGCTAGGTCCACAGAAGGGTGTCTTGGGACCAGTGGGGAAGGCTGGCCGGAACTTGTACATGGCAGGTGTCGGGGGGCTGGTCCTCTGTACTGATAGGGCGCTCTCTGGAAAAAGGGGCTGCTGTCAGAGTGGGATCAGATGAGGGTCAAACCATGCCCCTCTCCCAGTTTGGTTGCCCCACCTCACCAGCACTTCCAGGTCTTGGGGTCTTCAGATCTCCTCCAAAGGTGCTGGCCTCAATTTTGGGAGGCAGTGGTGGTCCAAGGTCCAGTGGCTTCTCATCCAGGTGATCCAGGCTGCCTTTGGACTGGGAGGGGTGGGGTCAGTGGAGGGTGGGGTTTGGATGAGAGGTGGAACTTAACTGAGGCCTCCTTCCTTTAGCCTGGGACCTATGTGGAGTATTTGCCCAATCCCTTCCACTTCCACCTCTTCTGATCCCCTCCAGCCAGACAAGGAGCCCAGCCCGGCATCTCTGTCCCTTGACTGGCCCCTCCAGCCTGCCTGCGTCCCCACTCAGGGGGTCTGACTCCCATCCCTTCTCCCATTCCAGCCCAGGCTCCCACCTTGCTGCGGCCCAGGCCTGCCTTCAGCCCATTGTCACTAAGCTTGACCTTGAGAGGTGCAGCTCGCTCCAGGAGCTCAGGCCGAAGGAAGGGCGGCTTCAGGCTCACGGAGAGCGGCAGCCGGGGTGGTTCCACTACGTACCTGTGGCAGGGCCAGAGGGGTCAGCAGCCAAGCCACCTGGCTATGAACACACACCAAGGGCAGGGCCAGCCCCACCTGGCAAGAGCAGAAAAGACCAGACTAAAGGTCCGAGGCTGCCCACCCCACACCCGCCACAGGCCCCGCACCTCCCTGCCTAGGCCGGGCCTCACCGGGGCGCCAGGGGGCTGCAAAGCACGTGCTCCACGTTCCCATAGCAGCCTCTGGTGAAGGGGTTCACGCCCCCGCGGAACTTCCCAGTCACCTGTGGACACGGGACCCCCTCAGCTAGCCTGGCCACCCAGGGTCCAGGCCAGGGCAGGCAGGGGGACAGGCAGGGGCAGCTGGGGTCCTCAGAAATGTGCCTTGTAAAGACAGCTTGGGCAGAGTCAGCCCAGAGGTGCCTCTCACCCAGGTTACCCCAGCCTGGCCCTGCAGGGAGCTGTAGTTGGTGACTGCAGTGTCACCAACAGGAAAAATGCAGAGGATAGGGCAACATGTCCCCCTGGAGCCCCTCCCACTACAGCTGCACAAGCCACCTCAAACAAGGGCTCCCCAGGTCCTGCTCTGGCAAGGTCTGCACCTGCTCGTTGGTGGTACGCCCTCGAGTGACCAGCACCACGTGGAAGCCAGTGAGACCGATGACAGGAATGAAGAAGAGGCCAGCCACACACATGACAGCCATGCTGGCTCGTTAAGGCCAATGGCTGCAGACACACAATGGGTGGAGAGCATCGCAATGGCACAGAGCAGGTGACTGTGCACGAACACCTCCCCCGCCCACCTAGGGATGGCAACTCACCCGCGGGGAGCCCCAGGCAGCTGACCGACCTTTCTGAGTCTCAATTTCCCCTGTGACACATGTCCCCAGCCCACACTGCCTTGTATGGGACCAAGGATACGTGATGGTGGTGTGAGCAGCTCCTAGCCCCTCAGCGTGGTTCAGCACATAGACCAGGCCGAAGGCCACGACGCCCACCATGTGCGCGCTGAGTGACAGCAGGAACAGGAAGAAGTAGCGGTAGTTACGTCGCCCAATGCAGTTGTTGACCCAGGGGCAGTGGTGGTCAAAGTCCTGGAGCAGAAGCAGTGCATCAGGCCACGTGGCAGGTGGGGACTGACGCAGTGCCTGGGTGTGGGGGGAGGAGAGTGGGGCAGCAGGGTGGTCACCTCTACGCAGTTGTCGCAGACACTGCAGTGCGAACAGCGTGGGGGGCGGTAGAAGTGGCAGGTGGCACACCATTTCATGCGGACCTGGATGCCCCGCACGTCCACATTCTTGTACAGTGGCGCCCGGAAGTCGTCCTCCTTGTCCTCGTCCTCGTCCGCTGCAGGTCAAGAGCCAGGCAGGGCAGCAAGGGATGAGAAAGGTGACTTCTTTTAAGCAGGAGACGCTCTTCCCAATCTCTGCCCAGGCTACCCACTGGGAACCCCAAAGTCTCTTCCAAGTCAGTCACTTACACTCTAGTAAAAATGAGCAGATGAGTTGCCCCAGCATAAGGCCCTACCTCGGGGGAAGACGCCAGGGTCCATGAAGGTGGCCATGCTGAAGTTGGCCAGGACAAAAAGGAAGATGATGCCATTGTAGACAGGAACAGCTGGGGACACAGCTCTTGTCAACCACGGGCACCTACAACAGACAGCAAGGCAGACAGCTGGGCCTGGGGGCTGTGGCGGGGAGGCAAGACACAGCCATGACACATGGTCAACATGCATGCAGCTGTGCCCATCAAGCGAGCAACCTTGGCTGTCACCACTCCTTGGCTCGACCATTGGAGGCTGTGCACATCACTTGTGGTGTGCTCCCCACATGCCAGCTCTAACTCCTGCCACTCCCACGGGGGTGTCTGGTACATAACAGACTCTCTTCAGAGAGGCCCATCAGCCTGGGGTCACACAGTTTAGGAGGAATGACCCAGAACTAAGCCATGAAAGTCCCTCTAGTTCAGGAGCAACTTTCCTGAGCTCCCCTGCCCTCCAAAGCCACAGAGAGGAAGTGAAAGCCCAGGATGGCAAACCAGCCTACAATGCCTACACACTAACAAGGACAGAGGCCAGTGACTCTCCTGGCAGCTCGGGACAGCCCCAGGCCTCACTCAGACCTATTCCTATTCTGGCTCACCTCATCAGGAAGACTCAGGTATAGAAAGCCCCAAATGTGGGTCAGTAAATGAATGGGAGTCATCATGCCACTCTTCCCTAGGGACACGGCCCCAGTCCAGGCAGCCCCTTCTTTTTGGCTTGTTTGTCACCTTGCTTTCCAGATGGCAGCACAGAAAGCTTGGAAATGCTGAAAAAACACAAGGCCCCCACCCCTTCCCATCTCTTGCCATCCTACAGCACCTGGCTCCAAGGATACCCTCTCTTCCGGGAAGCCTTCCAGGACTCCTGGCCCCCCTCCACAGTCTCCCAGGAAGGGTCTTGCACACCTCCCCAAAGAACACCTGCCCCAGCCCTCACAAGGCCTCACAAGGCCTGACAGACTCCCTTCCACGGAGACCGGCCAGTCCTTGCCCCCACATCCATCTCTAACCTCATAGTGGGTCTGGGTCCACCCACTCAGCTCCAAGAAGCCCCTCTAGCTGCAGGTTTCCCATCTCTCCTGCTGTGGCATGCATGGCATTTGCTCCCTCCCCACACTTAGACCCTCTGTGGAATCTGGCAGGTGGGGATCCCCCACTGCTGCCCTGACTGTGGGGATGGAGACATCGTGGCCACCAGCAGGGTGTGGGGGGCCTGTGGCTACCTGCCACCCCAGTGCATGTAGTCCACACTGGGCACCCACGCCTGCCTTGGCCAGGAGCCAGCCCAGCCGCCCCAGCAACCACCTCCATGGCAGCAGAACTATTTTTAGTGGAAAGCAAGAGGCTATTTAAAGACTGCTTCCCACGGCAGCACCCTCCCAGAGGCCGAGAGAGCTGTGTTACCCCTTCCTCTTCTCCCAGGCCAGTGTGGACGCACAGTGTGAGGACCCAGACTATGGCCACAAGGAATACCTCAACCAGGAACTTCCTCTGTCACCCCCACTCTGGCAGCTTGGAGTGCTCACCCCATACACACCTTCCTTTCACATCCACATCCCTGCCTGGTATACAGATGGCACTCAAATTACTGTCTGTGACCTCCAATCCAACACCATTCAGAAAGGCCACAGAGTGACCCTAAGGCATGGCCAGCCTAGTAGGGGGGAGCACACAGCACCAAATGCCAATGGGGATAGGCAAGGGAGAGACACCCTCCCTGAAAGAACTGTCCCAGCCCTCCAGAGAGAGGTAGGGTCCTTCTGACTCCCACCCTGGGCAGCACAAACAAGCTTCCTATAGAGCCTTGGGGAGGGCTGACTACACAATCGGCGCAAAATGAAAAGACAGACCCCTTGTCAAAAAGTTAAGAATTTCAAGATGGTGAGAGCAAAGCATTAATCCCACATGGTACCTATGGAGCCAGCCGCTCTGGGAAAGGAAGGGCCAAGGGGTCCTAGGGTGGCTGCCGATGGGGCAGATGGATACATGAATACAGATGATGTGTGGTGGTGGGGAAGGGTGGCACGGCACATGGGCTCTGTCTGTTCTTGCATCCAAGGACCCCATCCTACATGGTGCACCATGCACTTGATCATCCCAGGTGTGAGGAGGGGACGGCTGCCGTCCTCCTATTTTATAGATAAGGAGCCAAAGGTCTGGCCTTGGGGCCAGTCTACATCTGTGCAGTTTAGACCTGCCTTCTGCCCCTCACTTGGGCTGCCCCCGGGTGCGTACTCACTCATGGGGCAGCAAGGACCAAGATTCCCATACTTAACCAGAACTCCCTTGTGCCAAGGCAAGCTATACTAGTGTGTCCGCCTTGGGCCTCAGTTTCCCTGTCAGGCCAGGTGGGCCAGACAGATGCCCAGGGACAGGTGAAGGCAGCCATCATGCCATGTTTAGAAATTTGCGATGGGGTAGACTTGAATTGAGGTGCTGAGTGGCTTCTGTCCAGCGTGGCCATCACCTGCCTGAACACCTGAGAGGGCCAGCGGGGTCTCAGCTAGTTAGGAAGGCCTGATGCTCTCTCACTGGGACCTGAGCCACTGTCCTCCCACCAGCTCCAGCCCTCAAACTTGATCTGAGCCCAGGACCAGCATTTGTCCTCCTTGTCCTCTTCCACTTCTGCCAAGTGCTACTGGGAGAACCCTCTGGCTTAGACCCCACCTAAAGGGGAGAGGCCCACTGACGAACCCTCTAGGGCCCAGGCAAGGCCCAGACTCAGAAAGCTTGTGCACTAAACAGGGAAGGAGACGAAGAGTACACACAAGGCACACGCAGACACACACGTGGACAGATGCAGATGTGTGCACGCACGTACACATACTCCAGGGCACACACTCACAGGTCCATGTGAACGCATGCACAATCATGAACATGCAGGCACGTATGCATGTGCGAATATGTGCACATGTAAACACACAGAAAAGTCTTGTACACAAAAGGCACACATGCACAAACATACACAACCACATCCACAAGCAAGACATGCATACATGAAGACTGGCGTGCACAGACATGCAACTGTGTGCGCACACACACACACACACACACACACACACACACACCACACAGGCACCTGCACTTTTGCTCGTGCACAGAGATGTATGCATGGGCACACATGAACACACTCGTGAGACATTCCCTCCCACTTTCCCAGGCCTGCCTAACCCCAGCTCATCTTCTCATTGTCATGGAACTCGGGTGAGCACCTGTCTCTCTGGGCCTCCCACTGCCCTCTTGTGGATAAGGCAAACATGAGGCAGGAGTGTTCAACCCGTGTTCCAGGAGGCTCCTTTTCCTGAGGGGATGACACCACACTCAGGCCTAGGCCTGCAGTACACACTGGGCCGGCACCACCCTGGCTGTCCTAGTAGGTCCCAGCCGGAACTCTACCTTCACCCACCCTGTAGGCCCCCCTGGAGTTCTGAGCTTCCTGGTTGCAGGACCCTGGCTGTGGGTGGAGCCTCTGACCTTCCCTAGGACCCCTCCTGACTGGCTCACGGGGTGGGGGGAGAGGGGGACGGTGGGAGGATGGGGGGGGCTGAAGCCCAGAGCCCTCCTGAGTGGCAGGGACATGAGCTGGGACACAAGCCACCACTGTGTTCTCCACCCTAGTGGAGGTCCCAAGTCCCCGCCTGGGCCAGCAGGGAGACACCGCCCAACAGCGGGAGGTGGGGGGGTAGCTTTGGGAGAATGTCTGCCACAGCTAAATGTGGAATGGAAAATTTTAACTCAGACGTTTTCATTTAAATCAGGTTCTTCATTAACACTGTTTACATTTGACAGTGGCAGTGGCCTATGGGGGCAACCAGGACGCCCAGGTAGCAGACACTCAGTCTCGGTCACTCCAGGGGCCTTTGGATTGTAAAAGTACTGTACCTACCTGCCCAGTCCCTATAAACACTTGGATAGATGTGGAAACTGAGGCTGAAGAAGTCAGGGATTCCCCAGGTCACTGCAATGCATCTGTCAGAGGAGTTCACACTGGATTTCCACTCCCAGGTCCCTCCCCATGAGCCTCCAATCAGCACCTCCTTCTACCTAGGCCCCCTCGTGGCTGGCTGGGCTCCAGACCTGTACAGTGTGCTGGACTGGGCCTCTTCACAGGGACAGGGCTCAGGCCCATCTAAGGACCACCATATCATCCCAGATGCTACAGACAGGGTTAAAAGGGCCTAATCCAGCTCTGGGATTGGCAGCCGTGAGCATCCCCGGCCCTCTGAGTGCATGGTCCCAGGCTTTCTGAAAAGTGACCCTAGGGAGATGCTGGGCAGATGCAGAGCTCAAGCCTGGTCTAGGGGCCTTCAGACCCCTCCCAGCACCTGACCTAGCCTAGCACTGTACCACAGGGAAAAGGAGTTTTTGGGACTTGGGAGTGGGGGCTACAAACCCCAGGAAGGCTTCTTGGAGGAAGGCTCTAAGACCCTACCTCGTGCCATACATCCTACATCAGCATCCTCCCCGTGCCCAGCCTTTCCTGGAGAGATGTCCGCATGTCCTACTGGCCTACCCCCTTGGTGAGCTGGCTGAAGGAGGGGTTCCCTGGTCCTCCAGGCTTCAGGCCCCACTGCCCACTTGCCATGCGAATGGAATCTGCCCTGAATGAGCAACTCACATTCACTGAGTATGAAAGAGACCTGGGCCATTCACCATCTGGAAAAGCCCAAAGAGCAGAGAAACCAGAAACCCCATGTAGGCCCCAAGAGCCAGGTGGGGAGCCATTCCTCTTTTGAGGTACCTGTCTGAAGGGTCATGGCCCTGGGACCACAGACAGGGCAGAAGGGAGGCACTGAGGAGATGAGAGACCCATCCTGAGAAGGACATCCACCCAGAATAGTCACCAGACCTGTCTAAACCCCTGCCCACTCAGAACTGGCACAGTCCCCAGCAGAGCTCCTGTCTCAGGAATAGAGCCACCTGGAAGAGCCTAGCAGAGTCAAGGTGGAACAGACTAGGGTCCTCAATGGCTATTTAGCCAAGGGAATGTGCCTCCCTCTCAGAGTTGTCACATTTCCTGGCTCATGGGGGACACACGAGGCTTCTACACTTCATTAGATGACCATCACACAGGGGACCCAGGGACACCCCTGAATCCCCATCCTGCTGTAAGGACACGTGCCAACTTCTCCAGGGTGCGATGCCAGCTGGGGTCAGGGTGGACCACACACAGGTTGAGGCAATGCCCCCAAAAGGAACCTACGTCTCAAGAGTACCACCAGCCATGACCCCATAACCCAGTTTCAAGAACAGAGGAAGCAAACACTGGAACTCAGGGCCAAGATTAAGTTCACAGCAGCAGCCTTAAAATGGGCCCTCTGAAATCACAGGCAAGTGACCCATAAGCACTGCTTCCACATGGCCCAGACACCACCACAGAGGCAATCCCAGAGGAAAGGGTGAGAGGTGATACCTGCGGTTGATTTTAATTTCAGAAACTTTTATTCCCTGCATTTCACAAGTTTTCCTTAGAGAACATATCTATTTTAAAGTTACGAAAAGACGCTGAATGGCACCTGAGAAGCCCAGATGGACGTTCTCGTCCCAGCCACTGGGAGACTGAGCTGGGCCCATCCCTCCAGAAGCCAGGGTGGGATATGTTCCCTCCAGGCCTGGCTCCCCAGGCCCCACTACCACCCACCCTCTCTGCCCCACAGCCAGCAACATCTGAGTGACAAGAACACGCTGGCTCTCTATAGCCAGAAATAAGCCCGTCCACACAGGCCTTTTTTAAACTTACTCTTGGCAGCCTGCAGCACCCACCAGCCCCAGCCTCCAGGTAGGGGCTCTCCTGCCTCCACAGGCACCCAATTCAGACTTGCCACACACAAAGCGGCCACCCCCACTCTTATGAAAGCAAAAGGGCACCAGTCAGCTCTTGTCCATCCCAGACTCCCTCACGTTCAGGGACAGCTCCACCTGGAACAGGTGGCCATTACTCTGGCCAAGTGAGCTGTGTCGAGGCCTTGGACTTGTGAAAGAGTAAGTGGTAGGGGAACCTCACGACTCAACCCGAGCCAATCCCCCCACTACTCATGGGGTATTACCATGAGCCTTAAGAGAGGTCAGCAGGTCACTCTGGCCTGTAAGGCAGCCTGTGTAAAGAAACTGGGGCTGGTCTCTAAGATCCTTGAGTCCCCCATAGCCAGCCCATGCTAGTGTCAATGTTTGTCCCTGCTGCAGCCTGGCCTGTCCCCTTCAACTGTGATGACCACTGGGGTCTTCCTAAGAGGGAGACCAAGAGAGGGCAGAGGGCCAAGCCAGGCTAGGGTCAGTCACCAGTGGCTGTGGGACAGGCATGTGGCACCCAGGCCAGGCCACACCTACGCGGGAACAAGTTGGCCTGGGGCAGGCGGCTGGGAGGCGACCCAAGAAGCTCCCACGGCTGCCTGAAGGGAAGGCTAGTGACTCTGTGTGACCTACGTCCTCTCTTGAGCCCTGTGGAAGGGAAGGACTGCAGCCACACCCAGGGCCTGCCTGGCACCCTCAGAGGTGTCCCCACACACAGGACTCACCTGTCTCGGGAGTCCGAGGTCGTGCACACTCTGGGCCGCAGACCCTCATCCCAAGGTGGGGGCTCCCTTTGCGCGCAGCCGGCGCCCCGCCCAGTCCGCCCCGCCCCTGCCCCCTTGCCCCGCCCAGCTCATCCGACCACTGCCCCCCTTGTCGTCCCCCCCGCCCCGCTGCCCCGGGTCTCTGCCCAGCCTGCCCCTAGCTGCCACCCAGGCCCCCTGGACGTAGCGCCGACTCACGTGAACACGAAGAAGAGGGTGCTGGAGCCGACCAGCAGCGCGGCGGCCGTGGCCACCGGGATGTATTTGGCGGGTTTGAGGCGCGTCCCGGGGCTGCGGGGCATCCTGGGCGCCGCGCCGCCGCATCCCTCCCCGGGGCCGGGCGGGCGGGGCCGGCCGGGGTCGGGCCGGGGTCGGGCGGGCGGGCTGGACGCGGCGCAGGACCCGCGGCGGCGGCGACGGCGGCGGAGGAGGAGGAGAAGGAAATCCCACCCCACGGGCGGCGGCGGCGGCGCGCTGATGTCAGCGCTCCCCTTAAGGTGGACCGGGCTCCTGGGGGGCCGCGGCGGGGGCGGCCTGGGGGCGGGGCGCTGGGCTGGCCGACCCCCTCCTCGCCGTCCAGCGCGCGCGGCTCCGCGCGCTTGCCCTCCGACCTTCGGCACCCTCGGAGGGGCGGGGTACAGCTCGCTTGGAGTGACCCTGCGGGTGATCGACACACTCTGCAGGCCTGGCTGGCCGCGGAGGCCCCACAGAAAAAGCCAGGTCCCCTGGTCCCAGCCCGCGGGCTCCAGCGCGCGTCCCCTTCTGAGCCTGTTTGCACAGACCTTTTCCTAAACCCCGTCCCGGGGCAGGCCACTGGCCCCCGCTCCGTAACTGTTCTGGGCGGGGCCAATCCTCTCTCTTCGGGAGCCCCCTGGCAGTCACGAGAGTGGGGGTGGGGGTTGTGACAATGCAGGGCCATTATGGTTGTTTATCAACCCTGCCCACCTCACAGCCCACGAGCCGTTCGGCTGGACCGAGTCCCGCCAGTGAGCAGGAACCCGCAGGCACTCTGTGTCCTGGCCCAGGCTTCAGGCTTGAAAGCGTATGTTGGTGGGAAACCAGGGCCGCCTTCCTGGGGTGGGTGCCCCATGAGAAGCGCTAAGCATCCTGCCTGGGCTCCGGATAGGCCCGATGCGCCAGCCCCATTCCTGCAGGAAATCCCACCCGCCCGAGCCGGCAGTGCTATCGCTTAAGGTGGACCAGCGTCAGAGAATTCCCAAAATGTGGGCAGGCTGCTGGGGCACCTACGCTAGCCTCCCGTGGCAGAGGAGCCGCAGCCGCAGCGCGTGCGTGAGTAGGGATGTGGGTCAAGCTCCACTGCCTCCCTAGCAACACCTCTGGCCACTTTTAACACCCTGGCATCTTCCACTCTGAAATCCAGACCCATTGGAGCCCTCTCCAGATCGGTATGCACGAAGGTCCTCACCTTCCCCTGCATCTGCTTCTGCAGCCAGAATCCAGGGCCCGGCAGCCACCTCCTCCCTGCCACACCACCACAAGCCTGGGGTTTCTTGTCCTGGAGGTCCATCTTTGCCTTATGGAACACCCAACCAGTACCTGATGGCGAGCTGTGGGCTATTTGGAGAGAAACCCAGGACTGGGGCCCTTCATGCAGCTAGCTAAACCAACAGCAGAAAGTGATGGCCTTTCTCTGCAGGTCACCCCATCCCAGAAGGCTCAGTCAGCCCTCAAGACTGGGAACAGACTTCTGCTAAACAGCACTCCACCCATGGCTTGGCCCTTGCTCCTGTTGTACAGTTCAGACTCAGACTCCCCCACCTCAAATCAGGAGGGACCCTTTCACTGGACCTCCCTCCTCAGAGCACACACAGACACCCTCAGGGTCAGGGTCTAACTCCACACCTATCCTGTGTAAGGTGCCAAGAATCACCTTCCTCCACTAGCCAGAGAGCCATGGAGAAAAATGTACAACACTGGTCATGGGAAGAAACTGCCTGTCTTCCTGGTGAGATCCTTGTTATCAATGCAGATACCTGGGTAGAGGTCCTGCAGGAAGCAGACCCAGTTTAAGACAGAACCCAGTGAGATCATGGCACCTGTCTCCCTGAGCAGGGCCAAACAAGGCAGCAGGGGACCTGGGGGTACTGAGGCCAAGGCAGGTCCCACTCGCCAGTTGTTAAGCCCACAGCCCAAGGATAGAGAAAAAGAAAACGAAGAAAGCTAGAGCTTCCTCCACCAGCCCAGTGGACAGACCTGGGGCATCCCACTATTAAATAGATAACTCTCCAGAAACAATTCAAGCTTTATTTATTGATGGTGCTGGGGTTTGAACTCAGGACCTGCTTGCTAGGCAGGCCCTCTACCACTTGAACCACCTACCAACCCTCAAGTTTTAAACTGCAAACCATCCTTCTCCTTACTGCGTAGGATGTGGATCATGCCTTCGCCTGGCGAATCCACTACTGGCTCCCTTGACACTCGGTAGCGCCTGAGTTATCAGATCAAGTGTTACCTCATTGCAGTGCTTGTGTACTAGTAACCTTTATTTTACTTAATAGTGACCCCAAAATACAAGAGTAGTAATGCTGGCAACTTGGATACAAGAAAAAAAGCTTTAAAAAGCGCTTCCTGCTGGATGCCAGTGACTCACATCTAGCTACTCAGGAAGCAGTGATCAGGAGGACTGAGGTTCGAAGCCAGCCGGGGCAGAGTTTGAACCCTCATCTCTCCCACACAGGCTGAAGGATTGGCTCAAGAGGTAGAGTACCTGCCTAGCAAATGTGTAAACCAAGTTCAAACCCAGTACCACCAAAATAAAAGTGCTTTAAGTGAAAAGATTATTCTACTTAACTAGGAAGGAAAAAAACAATCTTTACGAGGTTGCCAAGATCTACAATACAAGCAAGTATTTTATGAGTTGGAAGAAAGTGGTAGAGAGCCTGCCTACCAAGCACAAGGCCCTGAGTTCAAACCTAAGTACCACTCCCCCCCACTTCCTCCACAAAATACATTTAGACGTTTCAGAAACACACTTTAAAAAAGGTATTTTACATTTAATTTTATTACAGTATATTCTTATAATTGTTCTATTTTAATCTCACTGTGTTCAACTTATAAACTTTACCCGTGATGTATAGAACATAGAATTTATAGGGGTTGGTATGCTGCAAGTTTCCCAGCATGCACTGAGGCAACATGTCCAAGAGACAACTATTTATCAATGCATTTCACACACACTCCTCAACACCTGTTAGGACTTCCTTATGGCTTACCATTGCCTCTGCCGAAGGGAGCCCACCTGGAAACATGCCAGACTGGGTAGTTTGCACAAGCCCCTGCTGATGTCCTTACTTAGCCTACACGGTGGTCACTAAGGCAGATGCTTGGGACCCCCTACTCATCTCTCACCAGCACTTCCTACAGTATTAGCAAGCCACGTAGTGCACCCCACAATACAACCTAGTAGAGGATGGCAGTGCCCCCCAGCCATTCTGAGCCCCTCTGCCGCCAGAAACTCCTTGGAGATACTTCTCCCACTCCAAGATGAAAGTCAGCCTGGAGTTTCTTTTGAACTTAAGGCAAAGACAGTGTCAATTCTGAAGCACTGGGACCCCACCCCATGTGTGAGGCTCCTCTTCCTGGAGAGGAAAGCGCTACCAACCTGCTGGAGGCAACAATTGAGACCCCAGGCAGAGAGGACACAACAGAGGCAGCCACTGTAGTCGTCAGTTGAGCTTTTAACTTACTAGCAGTTATCTCTGTAAATATACTCCCCAGAGGGACTAAGAACTGGGGCACACTGTGAGGTAAGAGGACAGGGCCAGCTACACTGTAAAGCACCTCTGGTAGGTAACGGCAGCTTCCCACAGTGGATGGGATCCAGGTCCTGTTGTTGCCACTGTGGAGTCAGGTCCTACCTGGCTCCTGCTCCATAGAGGGCAAGGCTGGCAGAGCTCCTCAGCCATCTCTCTCTACTCCACACTTTGACAGGAATCACATGCTTTTAAAAAACCTCCTGCATGTAAAAAACCTCTCTCCTTAAATGTCTATAGAGACCACCTATTCTACAAGACCAACCTCTAAGTGATATCCTTAAAAACTTTCATTGGGAGACAAGTTCTTGCTGCAGTTGGGATTGGCTGCACTGACTCTTCCTGCTTCTACCTCCCGGGTGCTGGGATTACAGACATATACTACCATGCCCACCCAGTGAACATCTGTTAACAGATGTCCCACAATTTCCAACAGTGCTGAGTTTAGACTTCAAGTCCAGAAAGGCTAATCCCTAAGACTTTTCTCTGAGTATGTGATGGGTTATCTGACAGGGTTTCCCTCGGATAGCTGTAGGGGCCTTGCTCCATGTAGTACTGCACCAAACCAAACGTACACCTCCTCACCAGCCTTTCCCTCTGCTAACAAGGGCCAAGCAAAACTAGCTTGGTCACAGCCTGGGGACCCACTCAGTTGGCTACCACCTCTTTCCATCAAAGCCAAGGTACTCTAGTGGTCTTCCTGTCTCCCCCGCCCCCCCCCCACACACACACAGTAGAACTACCCCTGACCACAGCACAAAGTAGTGGTTATTCAGGCCTCAAGAATTGCTTCTTGGACCTTTGGCTAAGATCAAGTTTATCTGTTCTTATCAGTTTAATACTTGATACGTCCCCAATATATCAAATGGATTTTTGGAGCAAGGAAGCAGAATAGGAGTTTGCTCTGTCCATGCCACCCATTGGCCTGGCTTTGCAGTCCAGGAATGGTCCACATCCCTTCCTTAAAAAGAGGAAGCAGAGCACGCCTTGGCCCTGAGCACCAACACCGGCCCCACCAGGAACCTCAATTGCAAGCCCATGCTGCCTGGCCCACCAAGCAGCCCCCAGCACCAACTCAGACACACATGATGCAGTGCACAAGTCCCTCAAGATCCACAGCAAAACATACATCCCTGGCAATGCAAGAGCGAATCTCCTGAGAACCCAGGCAAGGGTGACATGGAGACCTGCTGTCACCACGGCACACACCTCAACATGTGCACTCCAGGCGTGCAGGGGCCCAGGGAAGCTGACAGCACCGCCCACACACACGCAGTCCTGCCACCTGGTCCAGGTTTCAAAGGCGTTTTTTATTCACTATTTTGATGACTATAAATAAGTGTTTCCACTATGGAAAAGAAAGTTAGCACAGTACATTTTCATGACTGGGGAATGGATTTTCTGAAGTCATCTTCAGTAGGGTAAAAACTTAGGAAAAACAAAAATAAACAAAAAAAAAACAACCTGAATGTTGGAATTCAGTTCTTTTTATATAAAGTCCCTTGTAAAAACAAAACAGAATAAAAACAAACCAAAAAGGAAGGGCAGGGCAAAATCAAAAAAAAAAAAAAAAAGTAAAGAAAAGAAAGAAAGGAAAAGGAGAGGACGACTCATTGCTTCTCCTCTGATTTCTCTTCTGCTTCTGCCTCATCTCCAGCCTCCTTTACAGAAAGAGCTTCCAGCTTTTCAGCCACTTTTTCAGCATTATCATTTTTGCCTGGTCCTGCTAAAACAAAAGTGATCACAGCAAGAAAATAGACAAGTCCAGCTTGTAAGACTGCACTATCCTTGCCTGGCACACACTGAAAGGTTCACCTGGTCCCCAAGCGCCTCCCACTGCTCGCCCCAGCTGAGCCCAAGAGACCCCAGCAAATGATGCTGGTCGCTCTCACTGAGCTGTTCTGTGACACCTAGCCACCTGGTAATGCAGGTAATGTCTCACTGAGCTGTTCTGTGACACCTAGCCACCTGGTAATGCAGGTAATGTCAGACCCGAAGGAGCAAGAGACCAAAGTCCTCCAGGAGAAAACGAGCACAATCTCAAAGCTCCTTTAGCCTCCCTGGTGGGTTCTGGACAGTTTACAACTTGACTCCCCACACCTGGACCCAAATGATGTGAGGCCACTGACTGAGCATGAGCCTGTGTTCCCAGGCAGCTGCATCACTCCTGACAAGTCAAGGGGACCACAGCACCTTGGAATGTTTCTCTGGCAGACAGAAAAAGCACCCGCCTGGTGCTGCAGCCAGGTGCAGAGTGAGTCTGCGAGGAAGCCCTCCACCCAGGGGGACCATGTCACCTTTCTTTTCTCTCTCTTCAATCTCTTTCCTGCACTCTTCAAACTTTGTTTTGAACTTCTGTGCATCTGTGAAAAGAAGAGAGGACTTCCTAAGAGCCCTGGACATGGAGTGGACAGCTTCTACAAGGTCTGAAAAGTCCAATTCACAGAGGCCCCTTCCCACACAATTTCTGACCTAAGGATGGACTGGCCCTTCCTTTGTAACAATCCACGGGACAAAGGAGTAGGGAGGTCTCCTCCCCACAGGCTCCATTCTCCACTTGTCTGGAAGGGCTGCTGGATGGCCCCACTCCCGGACCAAGGGGAAGGTTCACTCGACCCCAGACTGTAGGCCACTGGGGCACTGGCCATAGCACCAAGTGACACCTCCAGAATCCGCTAGGCACAGCTTTTGACAATCATATTAGAAAGATGCCCAAGTAGAGGAGAGGGTCAGCCTGGGCCGGTGGAGCTTTGCAGTCTCTACAGGTTGCTGATGTCCAGGCGACCATAAAGTGACATCATCACCCTTGACCTCAAGGAACCAGAAACCCCAACAGGAGAAGCAGCAGAGGGAGGAAACCCGAGGGTGTGACTCAGGTTCCACGCACCTGATAGGAACCAGAAGCAGCAAACTAAGTGTCAGGTCTAGGACTGCTCAGTAGACACTTGTGCAGCAGCTACTGGGCACACTGGGCACACACACCTTGGAGTTTAAGAGGAAACATTGCATAGTCCCCAGGCAGCAGGCCAGAACAGTCCCCAGTAAACACTTTCCAGTCACTGTCAATTTTCCCCTAAAGCAACAGCACTTGTTTGCAATTAAACTGCTGCACTGTGAAGCTGGTGACCCACAGTTAGGTCAGTCCCCAGGATCCCCAGTTCTGCTTACTCTCAGCATTTAGGAATCGAATGGCGAGTAGCTCCGGCTTGGGGCACTCATCAGCAAAGTCAGCATGGGTGTTCCAGACCCAGGCACGGTCACTGCCAGCATTCGGCTTCAGTTCCATCATTGGTGTGACTAGGGGGAAGACAAGCATGTGAGGTCAGTGAAGACACCAGAGGCCATCCCACCAACCCTTTAGCTACAGAGTGCCCTGCTCACTGACCCCAAGTACCCACTTCAGACAACAAGAAGACAGTTTGGGGTCTGAGAACCAGGCCTAGACAAAGACCCACAGTGTCTGGATTGTATCCAAACCTCTTTGAATTTGAAAAGGCCCCATATTCACTTAAAACCTGGATTGTACTGCTCTCTAAACCATGATCTTAAAACCACTCAGTACATAGACCCCTACATCCAGAAGAGCAGACAGAGGCAAAGCAGGTTCTAGCTCCAATCCCACGCCACCCCTTGATCTAGCCCCAGCTGAATAGTCCTAGAGCCCCGAGTGAGATGTCAGGTCACCAGGTGAAAGAGGGAGTGGAGCAGCCTCTCCTAGGCACCCAACACAGGGTTATGTCCACACTCAACCATACTAGTAGGAACCTGGTTCATGGAGGGCAGTACAGGGGAGGCAACCTGGAAGCAAGGCTATCACCCAGAAGGGCACGTGGTCAGGCCAGTGCAACCACTCTTAACCTTCTGCAGTCCGGGGAGACAAGAGGAGGATAAGGACACAAGCTGTGGGTGCTGAGAATCCTGTAATAGGAGTTTCTACATCGTGGAAGACAGAACCAGAACCATGGCCCAGAACAAACAGGCTTATCCCAAATCCTGTTAAGTCCCAGCACAGACCTGAGAGGATTTCAGGGCAGACAGTTACCCCTAAGGAGAGCCTGCTTGCCTGGAGGTGGACCTGAGCTACCACTCACCAGAATGGCTCCCGAAGGCCAGGAGCATCCCTATGGCCTATGTCCAGTCAGTCACCCCATGTCCCTGGCAGAAGCCCCCAAGGACTCTAGGTGTACCTATGAACAGTTCTGGCCATTCAGGAACTAGGAGCACAGGGATCTCATCCACTACAATCCAACACTGGTTCTTGAGCCTCTCGCACTATCCACATCTTCACTTCCTCTATTCCCCGCTTACATGCCTGGCCTCCACCCATACCCACCAAGGGCTTAGGATGAAGACGAGAACTGCTGGCCACACTGAGCTCTGCCTCATTGCAGACTCTCACAGAAACCACTCAGAGCCTGACTAGGCTCTGAGAGAAGACCCCACAAAAGTGCTCAAACTGGGCTCAAGGATTAGGCTAAGAACCAGGCCAGAGCCAGCTGTGGCATAGAGAATGACCTGAGGACTTTCTCATGCCCCCATACCAGTTTCTCAGTCCTGTTCCCCAATTCTGTCCTCTCCAGGGAACATCCTGGCAGGGGTAGAACACAACACAAAGTGGAAAGTTGCTGCCCAGACACCAGGCACATACCCTCCCCACTGCCCGGACATCTCATACACACACGTCCAGACCCCACACACACTATACACCAGTCCAAGACACCACAAAGACACACACTGCTTACATCCACCCTGTCCTTAAGCACTCACTCCATATCCCAAAGCCTAGCCTGGGGCTCTGCATCTACCCCACGGGGGCTTGTCTGACTGGACCGCACACACGGTGTTCAGGCCGCTCACAGTTCACAGGTGTTTGAAAGACGCACTTATTTTACACTCATCACAAATGCACACTCCAGGAAATAACATGTTCCTATGCCCCTGAGAGTCTGGGGGCTGAGTGCAGAAGCAACCCTAAGAGGCACCTACTGTAGTGGTTGGCACATATCTTCAGGGTCTTGTCCCTCCTCATAAGGAGGCGGATGGTCCCTTTCTCCTTGTGCTTCAGGAGCTTGACATCGCCAGTGCCTCGCTCCTTCCATTCTGGGAGGTCATTCTCCGAAGCAAATCGGAAGAGCTTGGCCCGCCTATGAGAAAAATCATCAGGTGAGACCCCAGGCGTGCAGAAGGGAACCCCACCCCACCCAACACTTGCTGCAAGAGTTCGCTGTGAACCAAACACATGGCACAGCTCTGCACTGGAAGCTGCGTGTCTCTACAGATACCCTTTACCTTTCCCTGCTCCTCCAAGAACTACTTAGGCCAAAGAGGACACAGAAGGGCACAAGGGCCAACAAACTCCAGGTCATTTTTTCTTCACAACCAGAAAGGAAAGACATCTGCAGCTGTCTATTTCCCACAACAGAAGCACGGGCTCTCCAATAAAGGGCTCACTGCTCCAAGCAGATAAAGAAGCCCCGATGGGCTGGGCGTACCCGCTGTGCGGGAGTGCTCACGGCAGTGCGGAGCCGCGGAGGCCTCGTGCTCACGGCAGTGCAGAGCCACGGAGCCTGGGCCTTTCCTCAACAGTGAAATAGATGCCCCTGTGCTCCCTAGTCCCCAAGGCAGACAGGACCGTGCCTCTGCTCACACAGCCAGGCCTGGGCCAAGCCTTCCTGTCCAGGAGCGGCACTTCACACCCACCAGGGGCCCAGGCACCAGCAGTGAACACTCGGACAGGTCAGTGTCCTCCTTCTGCATCGAGCCATGTCTGTGCCTCCCACTGAAGACTCTGCTCTCCCCTAAGCTCAGTTCTATCAGGGAGAAGGCCCTGTCCTCAAGGTTCCCTAACAGGAAGCCCTAAGGCCACATGTGAAGACCCAACTAACATGCCTCCATGCCACATCAAGTCACACGTCGCCCAGGGACACCTGGGCTGCAGCACTCCCTAGGGAGAACAGAAACCTGGCAATACAGGGTCTTCAGGGAAACACCCACCACCCTCTGGGACCAAAGGGGCACCTGCAGACCTCCACGCCTAGGCCTCCCTCCCCAGCCTTCTTCCATGGAAGGAGAAGTAAGTGTTAGGGGTTCTCTCTTTCCCTCTGCCACCTCAGAGCAACCAAACCGGAACCTGCCTTCTTGGACCTACTTGAAAGGGATGGTTTCTCACAAACTTAGGAGCAGCAACCTCACCTTCACTAAGGTGTAACTGAATCTGCAGAGCTGACACTGCAAGACACAAACCTTGTGCCTAGTACTGCTTCAAAACCACACCTGCCGCTGCAGCTCCTCACTGAAGGCATCAGGTAGCATGAACACAATACTTTTAAAAAAGTAACCCTAATAACTAAGCCACCACCTGTTTTCACTTGGAATTCCACTTTTTTTTTTTTTGTTGGGACCAAGGTTTGAACTCGGGGCTTTCACTTGTAAAGCACAGACTCTACACCTTCAGTCAATTCTGATCTTGTTATTTTGGAGACAGGCTCTTGAGAACTACTTGCCCAGGCTGGCCTTAAACCCCAATCTTCCCAATCTAAGCCTCCCAAGTAGCTAGGATTATAGGTGTGAGACACTGGCACCCAGCTCTACTTATATTCTGTGCATGAAAAACAGAGTCAGGGCTTCGAGTGGGGCTCAGTGGTAGAGTGCACCTGCCTAGCAAGTGCATTAGGTCCTCAGTTCAAGCCCTAATGCCATAAAAAAAGGAGGAAAAAAAAAGAGAGACTCATAAACTTCAGACTGCCAAAGTTGTCTGGAATGGTTTTAATGTGTCCTTTCTTGAAGCACATGTAGAAACTTAATTCTCAAATTCATGCTAGTGTTACTTGGAGGTGGGGCCTTAGAGAGGCAAACAGGATTAGATGAAGTCACAAGAGTGGAGCCTCAGGATGACACTAGTGGCTTTATAAGAGAAAGAACTACTACCAGGAATGGTGGCTCATGCTGGTAATCCCAACTGCTCAGGAGGCAAAGATCAAAAGGTTTGAGACCAGCCTGGGCCAAAAGTTAGCAAGACCCCAAGCTGAGTGTGGTGGTACATGCCTGTGATCCCATGATCCCAGTTGCCAGAAGGCCATAGAAAGGAGGACTGCAATTTGAGGCCAGTCCAGGTAACAACACAAGAGCCTACCTGAAAAAATAGCTAAAGCAAAAAAGAGCTGGGGGTGTGGCTGAAGTGGTAGAGTGCCTGCCTAGAAAGTGCAACACCGTGTTCAAGCCCCAGTACCACCAAAGGGGGGCGGGGAGAGAGGGGGAGAGAGAGAGAGGGGAAGAGAGAGACAGAGAGACAGAGAGAGGAGGGAGGGAGGGAGAGATTGATTCTGGCACCATGCTCTTGGACTTCCAGCCCTAAACCCATGAGCAAAGTAAACCTGGTTGTCTTGTCTTTTCTGTCCTTTGTTTTGGCGGTGGGGGGGTGGGGGATGCTGAGGGTTCAACTCAGGCTCTATACCAGGCTCTACTATAAGCCAAGTCCCAGGTTCTTCTGCTTTTACTGTGCTTTTCAGGTGGGTTTGCCACGTTTGCCTCAGCTTAGACCTCCCATCTCTGCCTTCCCAGCAGCTGGGATTACAGATATGAACCACCATACCTGGCCTGTTTTGCCAGGTGCTGGTGGCTCATGCCTGCAATCTTAGCTACTCAGAAGGCAGAGATCAGGAGGATCACAGTTCGAAGCCAGTCCCATGCAAATAGTTCTAGAGATCCTATCTCGAAAAACCCTTTACAAAAAATTGGGCTGGTGAAGTGGCTCAAGGTGAAGGCCCTGAGTTCAATCCCCAGAATCATAAAACAAAAAAAAGCAAACAAACAAAAAAAGAAGTAGGGTCTTGCTAACTTCTCCCTAGACCAACACTAGATTGCAAGTCTCCTGTCTCTGCCTCCCTAGTAGCTGGAATTACAGGTATGAACCACTACACAGGGCTCATAAACTTCTCTATATGATTCAGTCTGTGGCATCCAGTTAGAGCAACAGAACACAGGCTAAGACAAAGTTTATGCTGCAAAAATGTTAAGACTACCTACTCAACCAAGGCAACTGTGGATTTTTTAGACAGGTGACAAAGAAGGCCAACAGGGGAGTTGTGCCCAGGGGGACAGAACAATGACAGGACACCCTCCACATGACTGCCACAGGGCAGCAGGGGCATCAGACAAAACTTGTCAAATGGACAGATTTGAGATTAGACCCCCACCCAACTCCAGGCTTCTTCGGATAGCCTTGGTCACTCATAGAAACCAAGTGTTACCAATCAGGGTTCTTTTTGTTCAAAACAGAAATCATAAAGAGGCTAAGGCCATCCAAATGAGGTTTCATTGGGGCTTATGCTCCAGCATAAGGGAGACAGCAACAGGACAGTTCCTGGCCTGGCTGGCTCCTTGAGAAAGAAGAGGAACTCTTAGTCCAAAGTGCTATGTCCATCCCAGCTGTGGTCAGAGCAGAGCATCCTGTGATACAAACTTTGAAGAAAGCCAAGTACTATAAATATAGTCACCCTGCTAGGCACTGGTGGCTAACGCCTGTAATCCTAGCAACTCAGGAGGCAGAGTTCAGGAGGATGGTAGTCAAAGCCAGCCCAGGCAAATGGTCCCCGAGACCCTATCTTGAAACAAACCCATCATCCAAAAAAAAAAAGGGCTGGTGGAGTGGCTCAAGCTGGAGGCCCTGAGTTTAAACCCCAGTACTACAAAAAAGTAAATAAAATTAAAAACAAACAAATAAATACAGCCACCACAGGATACATAGGATGCAAAAATTTGCTTCTTGTCAGGCTTTTTATTTTGTCACCAACACTGTCCTACTTACATTTTAAAAAGTTCCTCTTCATCTTCCTCCAGTGTTTTAATTTCTTGCTCAGGAAGAGAAACTATTGGCTCAAACTGGGGGTCGTGGTTGGACTCATCTGCATTCTCAGTGGAAGTGTCATGGTCCTCATGACTGTCCTGTTCAGGGAGGGGCAGAGAGGTGATGCTGCTGGCCCACAATCAGATCTGGCCAGTACATGCAGTGGGCATCCCCAATACTGAATGGCATCCAGAATACAAGGGCAGACCTCAGCCCACATCAGAAATTAAGCCCAAGGCCTTTCACATCACCAAATATTTGCATTTACATCAAGCTCCACCAAATCACCGCATAAGCCTGCAAGATAATGGATTTCAGCACCCTGCCCCCGGGTTCACAACCATCAATCAGAACCCAGTACACAGATTGACTGGGGTGCCTAGCAAAATGGCTTGGGAGAAACTCTCTCATCTCTTTGAGCCTCAGTTTTCTCATCTGTAAAACGAAGATAATGATACCTGCCATGTGAAGAACAAAGGAGGCAATGACGCACTCAAGAGGAAAAAGCAACCCTAAGAGTTTTTACTAATTGGGGAATATCCAAGTTCTTGCCTACTAGGAGCGTAAATTGCAATCTGACTGCTAGAATTTACATGGAACTCACAATTCTGTCACGATTTCATCGTGGAGTTGATATGTTGCTAAGAAAAGTCATACAACTAAGTCCTGAGATTCTGATCCAATTTAGAAGATTATAGGGCACAAATGATGTTTTAGGCTTCTTACAGAACACGTGCCTTAGTGACACAGAAGTAAAAAAACCCAGATTCACTACAAAACTCAACCAGGAAAAGAAAACATAAGCCTTTCCCTGCTCTTCTTTTCGTATTAACAGCACTGCGGCTCCGCTGCGGCCAGCACCCGACCAGACACAAGCAGCCAACAAAGCCGCCTCCGCCCTGGGTCGGCGCGTCTACGACCCGCCCCCGCGCTGGAACGCGATCTTCCGCCACGGAGGATGGCGATTCCAGACATAAGAACAGAATGAATGAAGTGCTGCGTGGGCGAACGAAGGAAGGGATGCACGGTCCTGGGGGAAGCCCGCAAGTGGGCCAAACCGCAGGAAGCCAGCCGCCCGCACCAGCCCGCAGGAGAGCGGGTCCACCCTGCGTGGCGATGGTTGTTTCCCGGCCCACTCCAAGGTCACGAGGGCTCCCCGCAGCCCCCCACGGCAGAAGCCATTGCCCCAGGCCCTGCGCTTCCCAACCCCACAAGGCTCGAACCCCCAGGCCCTGCGCGCCCCGACTTCGCGGTTCGACAGGCCCAGTGCTCGCAGGCCGGCGGGGGTTGGCGGCGGAGGCGCGGCCGCCCACGTGGCCGACGATAGCGGCCCCAGTTCCCCGGCCCAGCCCGCCCGTCCAGTCCCCGCCCGGGCCCGGCCGCACCTTGGCGGCCGCCATGGGGGCGCGGCGGCGGCGGCGGCTCGACTGGTTCGGTCGTCGCTGACTCCGCGGCCTCTAGGTGGCTAGTCGTAGCTTCTTTCCTCCGCGTCTGGCGCCGGCGCCTCCCGCCCGCCCGCTCTTCCCTCCGCCCCGCGACCCGAACCCTGACCCCTGACCCCAGCGGCGGGAAACGCGCCGTGATTCAAAACCAGCGCAGCTTTATTGGCTCAGATGGCGGACACTTTCATTGTCCGGCCCGCCCCGCGCTTCCCGCCAAAACGCTCGCAGCGCATGCCCGGACCGCCCGTCAACCCGGGGAGCGCGCTCTCCCGGCGGCCCCCGCGCGCACTTCCGTCCCCAGGCCCCGCGCGCCCCAAGCGCTGGTGAAAGCAGATGGTGGGGACCTGGCGCGGGGCTAAGACGTCATCGGAAGCCATGACCATAGAGAAGTGCGGCCGCCGAGCACGCGCTGGCGGACTAGAGACCAACGAGGCGAGCGGCTGGCGTGGGCCCCTGGTGGGCGGGCGGTGCAGCCCCTAGCTCTAGACCTGGCCCTGAGGACCAGGAGTTCGAGTCCCGCTCCTGCCGAGGGAGGAGCCAGGAGGGTGAGCGGAAACACTTGGCCTCGCGGAGTCGGACCTGCTCTCAGAGCACCTTGAGTGTGATACGCTCGTGCCGAAGAGGCCCTTGTGGAGCCCCCAATCCAGGCGGCAGACAGCCCAGACAATGAGTGAGAAGCTGGACAACGAAGTAAAGTAAAGGGAATCGCGGGGCTGAGATGGGGTGGGAGGAGGTGGATGGAGTAGGAATCCTGTGGAAAAAGATGGAATAGGGTAGGGGGAAGTGATGAGAGTGGGGTTAGGAGGAGAGGACTGGAGTGAGGCTGGGTGTGGGAGGAGGGTTCAGCCCTCAGCCTGTCCCCATGTGTCCCTTACCCAGGGCCCAGAGCCCATGGAGGACTGCGGACAGGAGAGCAGCAGTGCCATGGACAACCCTGCAAGCCCAGCACCCCAGGATGAAGAACAGGGGCCTGGAACCGCTGCAGGGCTGGGGCCCCAGCCTGGGCTCTACAACTACATCAGGAGCGACCTGTTCACATCAGAGATCTTCAAGCTGGAGCTGCAGAACGTACCTCGCCATGTCAGCTTCAGCGACATCCGCCGCTTTCTGGGCCGCTTTGGCCTGCAACCTCACAAAACCAAACTCTTCGGGCAACCACCTTGTGCCTTTGTGACATTCCGCAGTGCTGCTGAGCGGGATAAGGCTCTGCGAGTGCTGCATGGCGCTCTCTGGAAAGGCCGCTCACTCAGTGTGCGCCTTGCCCGGCCCAAGGCTGACCCCATGGCCAAGAAGAGGCAGCAGGAGGGTGAGGGTGAGCTCCCTGCAGCACGAGTTGCAGACGTGGTGACCCCGCTTTGGACAGTGCCCTATGCTGAGCAGCTGGAGCGCAAGCGGCTGGAGTGTGAGCAGGTGCTACAGAGGCTGGCCAAGTGAGTGTGGTTCTGCTCCACCTGCCCTAGGCACTGTGTGGGTGGCAACCCACCACGGGATCTGAACCAGCAATCAGGGAGCTGGCCAGAAAGGCCTCAGGGGACACAGTGAGATATCAAGGGTGTGGGGTGGGGGACACTGGATCCAGTTCAACCATGGATGCACCTTTTCCTGCAGGGAAATCGGAAGCACTAACCGCGCCTTGCTGCCCTGGCTGCTGGAACAGAGGCACAAACACAACAAAGCCTGCTGCCCACTGGAGGGGGTCAGGCCATCACCCCAGCAGGTCAAACTGAACTGGGATGGTCACAAATCCCCATCCTGTGTTTTGTTCCTTTTTTTTTTTTTTTTGAGGTGCCCAGGGTTTTGCACATGCTGGGCAAATGCTCTCCTATTGGGCTACATCCCCACCCTATCACCTTGTTTTTTTGCTGTTCCCTGTTTATCTTTTCGTGATTGGCATTTATTCCTGATGTCTTTGATATGATCATATGACTTGCTAGTTTTCCCTTGTTTTTACCTGCCAGTTTCTTTAGGGGAATTGGGGTCTCTCCTCACTGTGGTGTTTCCTTCAGGCATAAATGCTGGGCAGCCAGGGTAAGGTCTGGCTGCTTCTTTCTGCCTCCTTCTCTCCCTGCAGACTGAGTATCGTAATAAGTGTGAGTTTCTGGTCGGAGTCGGAGTGGATGGAAAGGACAACACTGTTGGCTGCCGGCTTGGCAAGTACAAAGGTGGGACATGTACTGTGGCAGCCCCCTTTGACACTGTGCATATCCCCGAGGCCACCAAGCAGGTGGTGAAAGCCTTCCAGGAGTTCATCAGGTGAGAGCTTGGGACTGGGCTCCTGGGAAATCCTGAGGCCATCTGGGAGCAGAGGCCATGGGTCTGCCCAGGCAGCTTTGAGATGCCTGCCGTTTGTGAGGAGAAGGGAGGGAAGAGAATGGCAGACATTGGGCACTCAGGACCACTCGTTGCTCCCACAGGTCCACCCCATACTCGGCATATGACCCTGAGACATACGAGGGCCACTGGAAGCAGCTGACTGTGCGCACCAGCCGCCGTGGCCAAGCCATGGCCATCGCCTACTTCCACCCCCAGGTCTCAAGTGGTGGCCCTGCTGGGGAAGGTGCCTGGCAAAGGGTGGCCTTGGCACAGCCTGATGGGCCTTTTGTACCACTTACTCCAGAAACTGAGTCCTGAAGAGCTGGCGGATCTGAAATCCTCTCTGGTGAAGCACTTCATGGAGGGACCAGGCAAGGCTAGCGGGGTGACCTGCCTCTACTTTGTGGAAGAGGGACAGCGGTAAGGAGCCCAGGTGGGGACAGGAGGGGACCCCACAGGGGCTGGTCACATTGAGACTTGCTGTTCTGCATACAGAAAGACTCCCAGCCAGGAGGGCCTACCCCTGGAGCATGTGGCTGGAGACCGGTGCATCCAGGAGGACCTGCTTGGGCTGACCTTCCGCATCTCCCCTCATGCCTTCTTCCAGGTAGCCCTGTGTCCCTGGTGGACACAGCACCAGGGTGGATGGGGACAGAGTGGGCTAAGAAGACAACAGGAGCTAGTCTTGCAGAGATCTGGGGAGACCATCCATGTGCGGGAACCACAGAGTAAGATTTGAGACAGGAAAGGTGTCACTGATTTGACACCTATGCAAACCAGTAGGTATGCATGACAATGACCCCTTCTCGTAAGGTTGAAGAATAGATACTCATTGTCACTACAGGACCGTGCTCTGGAATGAGCAGGAGGGAGACCTTGGCCTTTGAGCCAGAGGACTTACTAAGCCTCACTCTGCTGTTATGGAAGGCTGAGATACCCTTTTAGAAGGTGTGGGGCCCTCTTGGAGATGGGCCTAGTAAGATCTACTAGAAGGCCAGAGGTGAAACTGGGAGATGGGAGTGAAGGCACTCCAGGGGCCCCAGCCTGAGTTCCCATGGGAGGTGGAAGCACCCTCTGTTGGCATGGGGAGGTGGAACCATGGGGGCTGTGGAGGCTCAGGAGAGAAGCTTCTTATGAATGGGGATAGGATAGGACAGTTCAGTTAGTACAGATTTGCTTTTTAAAGCCAGTAGTCTGGGTGAGGTCACCAGCATTTTGTGGATGGAGAAATGAGGAGGAGGAAAGAGGCTGAGCACAGATACTATGTAGGGAGTTGACCCCAGGTCTCAGCAGGGTGGAGCCAGTTCAGGGAGTATGGGGTACTGGCTTGCCTCTGTGCTCAGGGGCTGCCCCAGGAGGGAGACCTGCACCTGAATACATAGTGGCTACCCTTTAGGTAAACACACCCGCGGCCGAGGTGCTGTACACAGTCATTCAGGACTGGGCCCAGCTGGACGGGGGAAATACGGTGCTGGATGTGTGCTGTGGCACTGGCACCATTGGCCTGGCCCTGGCCCAGGTGAGACTTTCTGCCCTGGATGATACCCTCTCCCTCCCCGCCCTATGACCTCTGCTGACCTCCAGCTTGAAAGATCAGGAGCTGACTACCATCCTGTCCCAGACAGTCCTAACTCTGCTATCCACTGTACCTCAGGTTACTCCCCTCCCTGAAAAGCTCCAAGGATGGCATGCCATCCTCCATGCCTTTTTCCCTTTCAGAAGGTGAAGAGAGTAGTTGGGATTGAGCTGTGCCAGGAGGCCGTGGAGGATGCCCGAGTGAATGCCAAGACCAATGGTAAGAGCCTACAGGCTATGGGGCAGGTAAGCTAGCCAAGGGGACAGCAGTCATCTCTGCTGCGTACTTCAACCACTGCTCCTAGCATCCGCCCTCGTGGCTCCAAGGATGTCAAAGGGCCGTCAGCTTCCGGTGTGCCCCAGTCCCACAGCTGCCTGATGGGGGAGAGCAAGCTCTTTGGCTACTGGATTCCTGAGGCCCCACCGGCCCCTCCCAGGCCTGATCCCATTGGGGAGGGTTCCAGGGTCATACTGACAGCTATGGCACTATCTCCAGAGCTAAGCAATGTTGAATTCCACTGTGGGAGGGCTGAAGACCTTGTGCCGGCCCTGGTGAACAGACTGGCCTCCCAACAACTCGTGGCCATCCTGGACCCACCCCGAGCTGGCTTGCGTGAGTGACTTCCATTTGGGGAGGTGGCACAGGAAAAGAGGACAGCAATGTCTGGTGGCTCACTGGGCCATTTAGTCTTGGACCTTAGGAACCTAGCCCCTAACTGTCTTCTCAGATTCCAAGGTGATTCTGGCCGTTCGTAGAGCTGAGAACCTTAAGAGGCTCCTGTATGTCTCATGCAACCCTCGAGCAGCCATGAGCAATTTTGTGGAGTGAGTGTTGGGGCAGGGTGGGGGTGGGAGGAGAGGAAACATGACCAAGGACCAGTACCCATCCCCCTCCCACAAGAGCCTCTCTGGTCCTATAGCTGATTTTGGTACTCTTCTCCCACTATAGTCTCTGCAGGGCCCCATCTAATCGGGTGAAAGGCACTCCCTTCCGACCAGTCAAGGCTGTGGCTGTGGACCTGTTTCCACAGACCCCACACTGTGAGATGCTCATCCTGTTTGAGAGGATGGGACACCCCAATGGCACAGGAGCCCTAGAGCACCAAGACTCTCCAGCCAAGCCTCCTCTGGGGCCCCCGGATGACATTCTGCTGGACACTGAGGTCTCCCTCCTGTCCTAGGATTTGGGAGCTATAAAAGCCAGCTCTTCCAGAGCAGGGCCCATTATGGGGGCAGAAGCTGGGAGTCTCACAGCTCCACTGACCCCCAGCTGCTCAGGTGTGCAGTCACAGGCACACGGCCTAGCTGCCTGTAAGATGAGTTGGCCCACTGCTATGGTCTGTGGCTTGAAGGCAGGTAGACTCCCGGGTCCTGTCCATCCCCTACCCCAAGTCCCTTCTGGAACACAGGGTGTAAGGGCTGAAATAAACAACTGCTTAATCAAGGATGTCTCTGTGATTAGAGCCAGAGCCTTGGCATACAGGGGCTCCTCCCTGCCCTCTCCTGTGAGCACAGAGATAAGGCAGTACCTCTGTCTTAGCTTGAGTTCCTGGGAACTTCTGCCGTTCACTTAGTCTAGTCCTACATGACACCCTTCCAGCCAAGCCTGAGCACAGCCAAGAATGCCAACATGGGGATGGGGACACAGACTGCTAGGACATTCTAGGGCTTGCCAAAGCAGTTCTCCAAGCCTCTCTGAAGGGTGCAGAAAGCCAGTGCAGAGACCTTGGGTTTTTTTGCTTGTGAGATGACAGCCTGGAACTTGCAAATCCCCTTGGTCGGCTTCCATCGTACTGAGACTAGAGGCATGTACCACCACACCTGACAAGACTTGCTTCTTAGTGGAATGGCAGATTTTATGGAAACAGATACAGGTCTCAGGACCTAGCACTAACCAGGTATGTCAGGGCAGACAGAAAACAATGAAGGAAGGTTCTTTCTAAACCTCCATTCCATGGCCAACCTGACCCAGCCTAAGCCCCTCTATATAGTGACTGCAATGTACCACAGGACACTCCAGGAGAGTTCTGGCCAGTTGAGGATCCATAAGCCTCCAGGCTACTACTACCACCCAGCCCCTCCCTGCCATGGTCAGGGGGGAAAAAAAAAAAACAAGCCATTTGTTTTGGACAATTTGCTTTATGCGTTCAGACCATCCAGGCTCACCCTAGAGCTATAGCCCAGCACACAGAAGCGGCATTAGCACAGGCTACCCAGCCCCACAGCATGGCTGTGTACACAGGGCTCTAGTCACATGGGGCAGACAGGGAGGATATCATAGACCACAAGTGCATGGCAGCACCTACCGTGGCAGTGCCTGGGACCAGAGAGGCTCACCAGCCTCTAGGGTAACACATGTGCACAAAGCTTTGGTTCTCAATGGCGAGTCTGGCTGTGTAGGGGCAACAGTCACAGTCAGATGACTATTCACAGCTGCAGACAGAAGGCAAGACAGAAGCAAGTATAATTACAGCAACTTGATTTGGGGGTTTTCTTTTTTCAAGGTCAACACAAGCCAACCTCAGTCACAAAAGTGGGTGGCCCATAATCAGCATTCTGTCTTCCTGGCAACATATGCCATCAACTTATCTGCAGGGTACAGTGGGAGATACAACGCCAGGGAACAAGAGGATATAGCCCAGTGCTGGCTTCTGCATCTGATAGTGCCCCATGAGCACACAGGCCCCTGATCAGGTGCCAGGGATGGGCTAACATCACCACCAGGGCCCTCAACACACCTTTACTCACACACAGCCAAGGGCCACCCAGTGTAGCTATAAAGGACAGCTACCCTTGAAATCCAGGGATGCTGCTATTGCCAGCAGGCAGGGCAACTGCCAGCTCTTGATCAACAATGGACTGCACTGAAGGCCCTTAAAGTTCACTTCTAAAATGCATGATTCCAAATCTACCTTGCAATCTCACCATAAAAGTTTCTTTCCAAATTCTAAAATATCATAAAAGCTTTAAAAATTGATGAGTGGACAGATGGACTTTCAATTGTGCAAAAATCTGTAAAAAATTGTTGCCAGAGGTCAGCAAAGGCAGGGGCCTCAGTGTCCAGGGAGGCGGCTGTTAGGGCATTAAGACTTGATCAGAAAAAGTAGACTGCAGCCCAGCAGCAGGCCAGCTTGACATGTGGGAAGACTGGCCAACGTCGTCCTCACTGGCAAAGTGGCTCACGGCTGGAGGATAGACACCTTGATGTTTTGCCTGCAATCTCTGAAAAGTAGTTTTGGTACTAAAACTGTTTATTTTAAACCAAACGGTCTGAAATACTCCTAAACTTTTTCAGGGAAAACAAGGAGGCAGGTGGTAAGGGACAAGGGTGCCATGTGCACCTTCTGACCAGGTCCCTGCAGTGTCTCCAAGGGAGGAGCCCTGGGCACAGAAGCCACCTGGCATCACAGGCCAGCCACATCGCAGGACATGGCCATCTTATCTGTCATTGATATATCATTTCTTGTCAGTGCATATTATATACTAAAATTCATGAAAACCTTCATTAAAAACAGTCTGCAGCAGATACATATGAGCAGGGTCTACAGCTGTCTATAAGCTTCCACTTGTGCAGTCATTCGAAGTTGATCCTTAAATACATCCAGTCAGACCTGGCCTGGAGTAGCTTCCAGGGAGAACTGCTGCTTGATGCGTGTGCTGTGTAGCCACAGCTATCCCTGTGTACCAGAGCCTGGGTCCAGACACACTGCCGCAGGGAAGGAACTTAGGTTGGAGGCCCAACGCTGCAGAGTGAATGGTTGTAGCTGGTGATCTCCCAGACAGCACTGTTGGCGGCCCCTGTGCCCCAACCCATGCTGCCTACCTCACACATCCACAGTGCACAGGGGCTCACCACCAGGCTGGGCAGATGCCACAATTGACATTTTGGGTTTTTTCCGAGTCTCCTCCTGGAAAAACAACAAAGGTCAGGGATGCTAGAAAGGTGAATTTGTTAGCAAGAGGCTCAGGAGGGGACAGGGTGGAAGGCGAGCCCAGCAAACCAATACCAGGAGGCTTCATGAACCCCAGTGCTTGTGATGCCTGGCTAGGGTGTCCCTAGAATGCCGTGAATTTGGAAAAGGTCATGGCAATAAACTGGGATTCACACTGGCAAAACTCTCATCCCAGCCTTTACTTGCCCCAGGGCCCCACAGCCCATCTCTCATCCAGAGGCAGGCTGGCCAATCCTGCTAACTGCAGCAGACAAGGCTCACCCCCAACTGAAGGCAGGAGCACCATGTCTCCCAGACTGAGGAGGGCCCTGGCAGCAGACACCTCCTCCTTAGGGTTTGTGCACAGGCCTGGGCTGATGCCATAGCTGCAAAAAACTCCTAACCAGGGAGGGTTAGGAGTTGCGAGTGGTCACAAGGACAATTCCTGGGAACAGGAGACACCATTGTCTGAGAGGGCCCCCTTGGGACAAGGCATCCATGGCAGCTTTAGGAGGCTTTACCAAGACCAGGCCGACCCAGGCTTAACTGTTCTGTGACCTCTTTTAGTTTTCTGGAGTACATGGCTGGTGCACCATCTTTGCCCTTAAATACCTGACTCCAAGTTGGGACCATCATCCCACAGAAGTAGACCCTTCACCATCAGCAGGCTGGCTTGCCAACTTGACTAAAAATTGGGTTATTTTATACAAGTATCACCCACGTTGAAGCTCAAAGAAAAGCCAATCTCATCTGGAAGGAGGATCTGGACAACTTCAGAGTGTTAGGGATCAGGGATGGGTTCCTGGGGGCTAGTGTCCCACCACAGCTGCCACTGGGAGGGTGCTAACCTAGCAGCTGGGGAGGGGAAAAGTAGCTCCAGAGGACTGGCATGTGTAATAGGAGGCACTCACCCGTTCTGCAGCCAGCCTCTTCATCTCCTCCTGCAGCTTGCTTAGGATGTGAAGGTTGGGCCTATTCTTCTTGGCATACTGCTGCAGCTCAATCACACTCTTGTCTGAGGTTTCCTGGGGGCACAAAGCCTGCTCTTAGAACTGCTGGGTACAGAACTGCATGCAGATGCCCTACCCAAGCTGGCATCTGACTCACTGACAGAACTGCAGGGTGTCAGGGCAGCTCATGGCTCCCTGGCCATGCTGCTCCACCTGTCCCTTCTCCTCCATAGGCAGAGCCACACCTCCACCTGCACTGGCAAAGGAGGGCAGCCAGGCATTTGCCACTCCAAGTCCTCAGTGACCAGAACATGGCTGCAGCAATAATAAAACACTGCCAAGCAGATACAGTCTATCAGATACCCCACAGCTTGCAGAGAAGGATCAGCTGTCCTAGGTCCCTTCGTATTTTGAGAAGGGGTGCCCTCTTTAACTTGAGATGCCACAGCTCCTCCTGCACAGTGGCTGTGCCAGGCTAAGATGACTCACCTTCCATCTGAGCAATGTTTCCACCCATACTTGAAGCAATGTTCACTTTCTCCCTCAGTCTCAGCCCAGGACTAAGCACAGAAAGGCAGAGGCAAGCTTTACCTCCATTTCAACTATTACCAAAAGTGTCTATCCTGGGCTGGGCTGGGCTGTGGCTCAGTGATAGAATGCCTGCCTAGCATGCATGAGGCTCTGGATTCCATCCCCGGTAGGGTTGGGGGAGAAGGAAAGTGATATTGTTTAGTTCCTCCCCAGAGTAAGGACAGGACCCCAGCCATCTGAAGAATGGACCAGAATGGGTACTAGATTACTCCTGGCCACTTGCTCAGCCCAAGATGGGGTGGCTCAAGGGTCCACAGCCCAGTCCTCAGGGCCATCCCCACCTGCAGCCCCCACCCTTCCACTGACTGGGACGCAAACCACCCAGGTTGTTTCTGCAAATATTAGGGAGAAAAATGAAAAATGTCAACACTCACCTCCTAGTACTTCCCTCCACCCCTTAGGTTTGGGCATTGATTTAAATTTCGAGATCTGGGCAAAAACCGCAGAAACAAAACAGGTGATACACACACAGTCTTCAGCTACTGGGAGTCCTCAACTAAGCACAAGGGCACACTGCCCTTGGGAGGGCCAAGGGCCTGGATCCCAAGCCTTCATACACCTCAGCACCAGGACGTGCTGGCTGCCAACATCTCCTGCCTGGCTTTGCACCCCTGCCTGGTTTTGCAGCTCTGCCTTACACTACAGCCACCTCCCCACAAGGCACAAGAGCTGAGCCCAGGCTGTGCCCCCAAATGCTCAAACTTCACTGGCCGCTCACAGCAGGTTCAAGAGGAAGATAGGGCCTGGATGATCCCGCCCTCTGCTTGTCCAGTCATAGATGTGGCACAGCAGAAGCAGCCACGAGCAAGAGTAGTGCTGTCAAACCCAACCCTGACAGCAGGACCCCAGGCGGGGGAGCTCCAGGGTGGGAGGCAGACAAGCACAGAAGCTGCTCAAGGACCTGATGAGGGATCTGGTTACCTGTTTGACCATTTTGCTGCTCTCACGGCCATACATGCGCAGTAAAGATCCCCAGTTCTTGACATGTGGGTGCAGCAGCTGAAGGATTTTCTGAGAGGCTAACTGTTTCCCAACTCTCTTATTCTTACCTGTGAAGAGGAAGAGCAAAGGCAGAGAGAGAGAGTTACAAACATCCGGACAGAGGAACAACTGCTACGTGCTCTCCCTTGGCACCCCAAAGGCCAGTCAGGGAGCTTCAAACAGGAGGGTAGACAGTGCCTCACCACTGTACTGGGCACCCAAGACTCACAGTCCTGAGAACAGGACCCAGCTACCACCCTGTAGAGTGGACTTCAAAGGCTCCAGCTAAGAACCTGGCCCAACACCACCAGCTAAAAGGACTCTCTCCCTCCACCAACCACTCCACATTTCCTGACATACAGATCAGCAGTAACCCTGCCTCCTGAAGCATGAGGCTCCTTGAGGGCAGGTACCCCGTGGCAGGGATTCTAGCAGCAGGACTCACAGGCAGAAGAGTTTTCCAGCCACACTGCCAGCAGCTCAGCTGAGCACGCTCAGCCAGCTTGCCTGAGTGGGCTAGGGTCTGGTGATGAAGGAGCGGCCCACAGGCAGCAGGCCACAGCTGGAGCTGAGTGCTATTCTGTGGCTTCCCAGGGACCTCTAAGCACTGCCTTCTGATTTACACAAAACTGGTTTGTTTGGCTAAAATTTAGATTTTTTTTTTTTTTTAAACAGTCTCATTATGTTACCCAGGCTGGTCTTGGACTTGCATCCTCAAGCTACCCTCTCTCGGAGCTGGGACTACAGGCACATGCCATCACACTTAACTTTAAATTAGGTTTTAAAATGTGGCTTTTTCAGAAACAAAAGTAGTCAAAGCCCAGGCGGTGCCTAGAGGCCGGACTGCAGATGAGAAGGTAGGCAGTTGGCACGTCACTCGGACCCTTTGCTTGCTGCTCCAGCAGGCCAGCCCCTTCTCACACTGCAGAAACAAGGGCTAGATGGAAGCAGTGGTGGCAGGAGCAGAACAGGAGAAAGACACACAGGCAGGATGATCACCATCCAGCCTTAGGCAAATATGTGGCAGCCAACACATATTTGGGTCCTGAGCTGGGGCTCAGGACTGATGCCAGAGCAATGATAGGGGACTAAGCCACAGGTGTCCACACAGCCCAGCTACACTCTTGAAAGCACACGAGCCTGCAAGGGAAGCAGGGGAGGAGATGGGTCCTTACACCACCCGCGCACTGTGTGCTTGCCGCATGCCATGACATATTCACTCTTCTGGTTTTTTCCAGGAACCACTTCAAACTTGATGGATGTGTCACCCATTCCATGGTTTCTTTAAGAGAAAACAAAGACAAGGTGGCATCAACTGAGGAAGTGTACATGGAAGATTTCTGGGGAGGGCTGCTTTGGGAAAGTCCATTGGTTCTTTGAGGAAACGGCCAACCCTCTCCCTACTGTTTCTGAGCTGATGAATTCTCCATATACCCATTTCAATCCCTTGATAACCAGAGCCGAGGGGCTCCTGTCAATGTCAATGTCAACTGGCAATGATTCTACCTTGGGACAAACATCTAGCAAAGTCATGAGACACCCAAGAGGAGCTCCTATGATTGGACTGAGGAAGGAGATGCCCTACCTTTTAAGGCACTCGTGGAGGATCTGATATGGAGACAACAGCCCGGCCTTGCTGGTCAGCTCGTAGACCCTCGAGTCTTCGATACTGATATGGTTAAAATACTACAACACAAAGTGGATGCTCATGAGTCCTGACTAGGATCAAGAATCTGGGCCCCCGTCATTTGCTTCCCCCAGATCTTTTCATATTACCTCACCTGGGCATGTCATACAACCCCTCAGGCCTGCAAGAAAGCCACAGGTGTGGAAGATACTCTATGCCTCACTGTCTAGCTACTTACCATGCCCCACTCCCCTGCGCATGGCACAACAGAGTCTGGACCCATGCTGGCCAGTCTAGGAGACCACTTTTCAATCTGATTCTAATCAACCATGGACATTCATAGGAAAGCCAATGATAAACCACCGTTCAGAGAAAATCTGTACTATCATAATTGAGACTGTAGGAGAAGGAAAGTAAGTTCAGGCACTTTAAAAAGGCCAACCTCGATGGACTGAAGGCCCACAGAGACACAACTGGGGAAATCAGGAAGGGTCTGTCCCCACTCCAGTTTCCAACAATGTCACTGTGCTGATTAAGCAACTGATCACTTAAAATAAAGAACAGAAAGGGCAAAATGGATTATCAGTGAACCAAGATAACCACTTAAGAGGAAAAAGGAAATTCTGCACAGCAAGGTGTAAGGAAGCTAGACCTAGGAGGCAGCAGCCTTAAAGGTGTGAGAGACAAAAGGCAAGTCAGAAGAAAGTGCCTGACAGCACCTTCCCTTGTTGGTCTTTGGCTGACCTTGTACTGAGTGAATGAAAAATGCTATCCAATCCATACTAGACCACAGACCACCTTTGGAAGTGCTGTACGTCTGTCAATGATGGACCACACAATGGTGGTCCTGTAAGACTATTCTGCTAGGTTACAACACAGTCATCTTAGCTTGTGTAGGTATACTATTATGCGGTTCATACAACTAAACTGCCAAAGCAACACATGACTATACAACGAACTGGTGGTTTTATACAACAGAAGGTTATTCCCTCATAATTTTAAAAGTCAGGAATCAAAATTCATGGTAGTCAACAAGACCATGCTCTCTCTGGAGGCTCTAGGGGAAGACCCATCTTCTGGTGGCCCAGGCTCCCCTGGCTTATGGCAGCACCAGTCTAGTCTTCCCATGGCCTCCGCTTTTTGTCTCTCTTCATTCTTCCTGTAAGAATACCAGTTACAATCTTCCAACTACAGTATGACCTCATGTCAATTAATTCTATCTACAACAACTGTATTTCCAAAATAAGATCATATTCTGAGGTACTGGAGATCCACACTTCAAGGATTCTTTTAGGGCACATGATACAACACAGACCAGTATCCCTACAAATTGACAGGCAAAGATGAAGCTTGAAATAGACATAAACAGTGGAGCCATCACTCAGAGACAGTCCACTGGGAGCCAAGAGCCCATAGAGTTTCTCCATCTAGCCTGTTGTGAAAGTATCTACAGAGGCCTGGAGTCAAAACTGAGAGAAATGCCTGGGGCCTGGAGCAATGAAGCTTAGAATCAAACACCTTCAATACCTCTCTGTACAGGTCTCAAGAGCATGCCAAGACCTCTCCAGAGTGACAAGTTAACAGTGTGGCGGGAAGAAGGTGCATCTCTGAAGAGCAGGAACTTCAACTGCCATGGTTTGGCTATTGTCTTCAAACAGGTCACTACAAGACACCTGCTTTTCAAGTGCTCACATCAGTGTAGGAAAGACTCACCATTATGTCTGGAATAATCCACAAGAGCTAGCAAGGCAGCCAAACTATTAGCAACATGTATGTCAGTTTGTATGACCCACTCTCAAACCAGCAGTTGGTGCCTGGACTATGGGCCTGGCATCAGGGCAGAGAAGGCAGATGACCTGACTACCTTGGGTTACAGGCTCCTTGGTAGAACCTAGCTGGCACATTCGCTGGAGAATACACAAAAGCACAAGGACATCAGCCTGTGGTGAAACAGTCACGGCAAGCTGCCACAGGCCACACATGGGCTGGCAGAGTGGCTCATATGGTAAGAGCACCTGCCTAGCTAGCAAGCATGAGTTCCTGAGTTCAAACCCCAGTGGTGCCAAAAAAAAAAAAAAAAAAAAAACACTGACCCCACAGGGATTAAGGGTGTGAGCTCAATGATAAAGATAAAGCAAGGAGAGAGGAGATACCTTTGGTTCAAACACCAACACCAAATAAAAACAACAAAACATCCCACAACCCCTACATCTTATGCTATTGAGGTGGCTAAGGATGGCGATCCCCAGATAGTTTTAGGATGAGGGCTAGTCCGCAGAAAGACCAGACATGTGATTAGTGGTAGGGGAGGATGGCTAGAGACTGGGTCATAAAACAATTTGGAGAACTCCCTGGTTGAGAAGTGTATCTATACATGTCAAAAGGGCATTGTACCCCAACTATACAGGGACAGAGGTTCCTGCACAAAGAATCTTTTCCAAACTTCATCCTATATACACCTTTTTATCTGACTATTCATTTGTTCTTTTTAACTAGTAAGTAACAAAAGAAAACTGTTTTCCTGAGTTTAGTTCTAGCAAATTAATGAACCAGAAGCAGGTTGTGGGGACCCCTGAATTTGTAGTGGAGAAGACAGAGACATAAGTAGCAGCAGGGCCCCCACATGCAGCTGGCATATGAAGTAGGGTAGCCTTGTTGGACTGAGCTTTCTACCTTGTGATACCTGACACTGACTCTAAGTAAACAGTTCCAGATTTGAATTGTCAGACAGCCAGTGGGTATCAGAGGATCAGAGGAACATGTGGGAAAGCCTTCACACAATAGAAATCTCTGGGGTTTGCCAAGCCCAGTTGCAGCTGCTCATGTAGCACCTCTCCCCCACCCCCCTCAACATGCCTGTCTTTACCTCGGAAACCTCATTTTCAGGCTACTTTCCAGTACAATTTCTGGACTAGTTCTCAGACAGACCCCAGACTACTTGCCAAGAACCTGGGCCATCCACAATGCCAGAACCCAGTGACTCACCCACATTGCTGCCCTCCCCTTTCCCCCACCCCCATATCACAGGACAGGCAGGGTCACCACTCAGGAGGTCTGGTGATGTGAACCTTACACAGCCAATTGCCATCATCTGCGATCCCCACCCTCAGAGTCCTGACGGGCTGCAGGAGAGTCTCAGCAGGAGAGCTCCAGACTGCCTTGGAACCCTATCTGGCAGCCATATTTAACAGTTATGTGATTCAGAAATTAAGCTGAAAAGCAACTTTTTCTGGAGAAGTTAATGGGTTTTTTTTGGCAGCACTGAGGTTTGAACTCAGGGCTTCACACTTGCTAGGCAGTTGCTCTACCACTTGAGCCATTCCACCAGCAGAGAAGTTAATGCTTTGAGACCATTTTTAAAAATTACAGAGTCATCATTTTGGACCAAGCTTGAGCACTGGGGCAAACCACACTAAAAATCCAAATGTAGTCACTCATGCTGAAGTTCCACGTCACCTCACCAAAACTAAACTGTTACCTGACCTTTGAGGAAATGAGGAGGAAATGGCTAAAATTCCCAAACAGGACAGTTTGAATTGCTTTAATCCATACAAAAAGTAATCTGATATTAACTGGCCAGTGATTTTTCTATTATTCTGTCTCCCACCTTACAGCTAAGTAACTTTGAAATGATCAACCTGCTTTCTGTTTTGTTCCTGTTTTCATCAGCCTTTTCCTGTCTGTCTACTCAGCTGATCAGAACACTTACTGGTTTTTATGCTACTGAACTGAAAAATTTCAAATAAAGCCAACTGAGGGGCTGGGGGCATGGCTCAAGTGGTAAAGGGCTTGCTTAGCAAGCACAAGGCCCTGGGTTCAATCCCCAGTACAATCAATCAAATTTTTTAAAAAGATCTTTAAATTTAAAGATCTTTAAATTTATTTATTTAAAGATTGAGATCTTTAAATTTATTGTACTCTTGGTTTTTTTTTAAATTTTTTTTTTATTGTTGTGCTGGGTAGTAGTACATTGTGGCATTTACAGAAGTTCTTACAATATAGCATACTTGAATTCACCCCTCCACCATTCTTCTTTATCCCCTTCTCCCTCCATTCCTGGAATAGTTTCAACGGGTATCATTTTTCCATTTACATACGTGTACACAGTATTTGCACTATATCCACCCTCCCATACCCTTTCCCCACCTACTCCCTCTCTCCTCCCACTAGAACCAACCCCCCCCCCGCCCCCCGCCACCACAGGACCTGTTCCACCCTCCGGTTTGTAAAACAAAACAAAACAAAATGACATCTTTGTTTGTTTAAGATAGCTACCCAGGAGCTTCCTTGTGACACTTCCAGTAATCTTGTCTTCTGACAAGACTGTGCCTTCTCTATGTGGGTCTTTGATCTGTCCATGGCCCATCCATGAAAAACTGTCACACAGATGGGAACAGTGGCATACACCTGTAACCCCAGCTACGTGGGAGGCAGAGATAGGAGGACTGAGGTTCAAGGCTGGCCAGGGCAAAAAGTGTGAGACCCTACCTGAAAAATAACTAAAGCAAAAAGGGCTGGGGGGGTACAGGAAGTCCAAAGTTTCATATCCCAGTACTATAAATAAATAAATAAATAAATACATAAAATAAAATAAAATAAAGCATAGATGCTTAAGAGAAAAATACTACTACCAGTCCACAAAGATTGGAAAAAAATTTAAATGCATCTTGAAGCACATGGTAATTTTAAATGCATCTTGGTAATACTGGGATTTGAACTGAGCGCCTTGAGCTTACTAGACTGGCACTCTACCACATGAGCCACACCCGTAGCATGAGCACTTTCAGAATAATGAAATAGGGTCCTTTAAAATCTGCTTCAAAATCTGGCAGAGTGGCTCAAGTGTTAGACTGCCTACCTTACAAGTGTGAGGCCCCTACTTCAAACAGCAATACAGCAAACAAAACAAAACAAAACAAAAACTGCTCCTCCACAAAAACACCACCACTGGAAAAATTGCCAAAGTCAACTTTTTCAGAACTCTGGAAATTAAAGAAAGGCTTTCAACAATCAGAACAGTGTTTATTTAAGACTATCAAATAAAAGGTAGTCAATGGCAACTGTTTCACACTGCAGTGGCCTGAGACTGACACCAGCTGGGTAAAAAAAGGGGTTGGCAAAAACCTTAAAAGGAAAAACTGGGGAATGAGACATCCATAGGGGACTTTGAAACACTCCAACAGCTGGGGATCTAGGTGGCCACAGGCATGCCCAGGAAAGACTCGAGAAAGTCCTAATCACTCCTCTCAGAGAGAGCCATTTTAAAAGTAAAGAGAAAGGCCTTGCAGAGCCCTGAAGGAACTAACCTGCCTGACAACTTGATTTTGGACTTGTCTCAGAACTGAGATGATAAATTTCTGTGGCTTAAACTGCTCAGCTTGTGATACTTTGTTACAGTAGTCCCAGAAAGCTAATAACAAATAGTGAAAACTATAAACTTTGAGGGGAAGAAAGAAATCTGATTTCCAGAACTGCCACATATTTTAAATAGCCAGTTCTCAACAACAATAAGGAAAACAGCTGAGGGGCAAACAGTTCTGAGACCCTGTCTTGAAAATACCCAACACAAAAAAGGGCGGAGGAGGAGTTCATATGGTAGAGCATCTACTTACAAAGCATAAGGCCCTGAGTTCAAACGCCAGTACTACCAAAAAAAAAAAAAGTCAAGACATGCAAATAAAAAGTATAGATAGTGTATATATATTGAGAGAAAGAGGAGTCAAAACAAACTATCTCCAAGGAAGTTGAACTTTAAAAAAGCATGCTCAAACTAAAATAATCATCTGAAGAATTAAAGGGCTGGGGGGTATAGGTCAGTGGTAGAGTGCCCGCCTAGTATGCACGAGACCCAAGGTTTGAGAGAATCAATATCGATAGGAGTTGGGGTATAGCTCAGTAGTAGTGTGCCTAGCATGCATAAGGCCCTGGTCTTCATCCCTAGCACCTCAAAAAAGAGAGAGAGAAAGAAATTACGAAATATTTACCAGAGTGGTTCCCCTGGAGTCAAGAAAGCAGAAGAAGCCAGGTGCCAGTGACTCACCTCTGTAATCCCAGCTACTTAGGAGGCTGAGATTGGGAGGATTGAGATTTGAGCCCAGACTGGGCAAACAGTTCCCAAGACCCCATGTCCAAAATAACCAGAAGAAAATGGACTGGAGGTGTGGCTCAAGTGGTAGAACACCTGCTTTGCAAGTATGAAACCCTGAGTTCAAACCCCAGTCCCACCAAAAAAAAAAAAAGAGAAGACAGAAGAAATATTAGCAAGCTTGGATAACATCAATTACCAAGTCTGAGGAACAGAAAAAAAATGATGAAAATAAGACAGAGTCTCAGAGACCTACGGGACAATATACAATTAAGTATAAAAATTTACATTAATGGGAATCCCAGGAAAGAGAGAAACAAAAGGGCAAAGAGAATACATGGAGAAATGTTAACAGAAATTTTCCAAGTTTGCTAAAAACAATAATCTACACATCCAAGAAGCTCAACAAATTCCAACTAGAATAAACTCAAGAGACATCCACATGCACACATATTTGCTAAAGACCAAAGATGAGAGCATCTTGAAAGCAGGAAGAAAGAGAAGCAGTTCACCACAAGATAAGCAACCCCCAAAGAGATTAACAGTCAATTTCTCATCAAAAATCAAACAGGCCCAGAAACAATTAACTAGTGGCTGATTTCAATGCCCCACTCTAATCAATAGGTAGAACCTCCAGACCAAAACAATCAGTAAAAAAGAAATGTCAGAATTAAACTGCACCACAGATTTAATGTACCTAAGAGACAACTACAGAATATTCCACCCAACAGCTGTGGGGAATACACCTCCTCAGGAGCCCATGGAATTTTCCAGAACCTCTGGGATACAGCAAAGTACGTTCTAAAAATAAAGTTTCTAGATATGACCGTCTGCATTAAAAAACCAAAGTAACATTAAATAATCTAAGGATATACCTCACAGGCTTAGAAAATAAACAATGAACCAAACCAAAAATTAGTAGACAGAAAGAATGTAAACAAATCTCTAACAAGCAATGAGACTCAAACACTAATAGTCTCCCCACAAAGAAAAGTCAAGACCAGATGGATTCACTACTGAATTCTACCACAACTTTAATGAACACCACATTTGTAGAAAACTTTTCCACAAAATAGAAACAGGAAGAACACTATCAAAAACTCATTCTATGAAGCCAGTACTGCCCTGACACCAGAACCAGATAAGGGGAATGGAGAAGTGGCTTGAGTGATAGAGCACCTGCTTTGCAAGTGTGAAACCCTGTGTTCAAACCCCAGTCCCAGCTAAAACAAAACAAAACCAGATAAGGACAAAAAAGAGAAAATTACAGACCAATTTCTTTGATGAACACAGATGCAAAAATCCTCAATAGGCCAGGTGCCTTTCTAGCTACCTCTGAGGCAAAGATCAGGAGGATTGTGGTTCAAAGCCAGCACTTGGCAAATAGTTTGCAAGACCCTATCTTGGAAAAAACCCATCATAAAAAAGGACTGGTGGAGTGGCTCAAGTGGTAAGAGTGTCTGCCTTGCAAGCATGACACCCTGAGTCCAAACCCCAGTGCTGTCAAAAAAATAAAAATAAAAATCCTCAATAGAATACTTGCAAACCAACCAACAACACATTAAAAAGATCATCCACTATAATCAAGTTAGTTTCATTATAGGGATGCAAGGATGGTTCGATATACACAAATTAATAAATGTAATACAGCACATAAATAAAGAACAAAAATCACATAATCATCTCAATAGATGCAGAAAAGGTCTGACAAAATTCAACGTTCTTTCATGATAAAAGTCCTGAAGAAACTAGGAATAGAAAGAACATACCTCAACATAATAAGAGCTATATATGACAAACCTATACCCCTTATATTATATTATATTACATGGGGTAAAACTGAAAGCATTTCCTCTAAAATCAGGAATGAGACAAGGGTGTCTACTCACCACTCTCATTCAATATAGTACTTAAATTCTTAGCCAGAGCAATAAAGCAAGAGAAAGAAATTAAAAGGATACAAATAGGAAAGGAAGAAGTCAAATGATCGCCATTTCCAGTTGATACAATCCTATACTTAAAAAACCCTAAAGACTCCACCAGAAAACTCTTATAACTGATAAACACTCACGAAGAAGTAGGATACAAAGCCAACATGTAAAAATCAGTAGCCTTTCTATATACTAATAACAACTGGGGTTTGTTTTTTGAGTGATTAAATCATTCTACAATTAGATAGTTGTAATGGCCGCACCACTCTGTATACACAAAATCCATGGAGTTGTATAGTTTAAAAGTCAAATTTATGGTATGTAAATTGCCTCCACAGACCTGTCATAAAAAAAGGCACTCTTCAGAGTTTGAAAAACCTTTACTATCATAGAAACATATTTGCCCCAAAGGTTGACAGTTTTAAATGGTTCTTAACATAAAGAACAATCTAAATCTTGTAGCTCCACGGTGATAGTTGTACATTCAATACTGCAAAACACAAAGGACAAAAATCTCCACAGATATGTTTTTTCCCTGCTTACATAAAGACAAACAAGTTTCCTCTTTTATGAAATACAAACAAACAGAATAACCTGGAGGGTAGATGACTAAACCCTTGGCACAGGGCACCATGGGCACAAGCATTCCCTGTGGACAGCCCTGGATCAAGCCAACAGGATGAGTGGCTATATTTTAGTTGCCCAACAGGGCAAGACCATAGCACTCACCTCCAGTTCTTCACTGTCTTTGGGCTTCTCCTCAGAGGTCTGTTTAACAAAGTCAGGGATGAGGATTTCCAATGTGGCTCGGGCTACAAAAAGAAAAAGCCTGAAGTGAGGGTTTGAGCGTAGCCCTCTTCCTGGAGACAGGGCTGAAGCGGGAGGCAGGTGTGCTGCCCAGCCTGTAGAGTGAGCTGCATGCTGGCTCCCATCCCTACGACTCAGAGGGACGAGCAAGGGCCTAGAGGCAGAGGCAGCACTTTAGAGGCAGAATCTAGAGAGGATGAAAGAAAAACCACATCCTGAGGAAGGGATCTGTGGGGCAGGCTACTGGAAGTTTCACAGGTGACGCTGAACCTGTACACTTGCTGAAGTCCTTGTAGTAGGTGAGGGAGGAGTTCAGATCAGCATTTTTAGAGGAATCACTTTGGTAGTCTGTGAAAAAATAGCTTAGCAGAACCTAGACCCAAGAGGGAGGCCCTAAGAACAGGCTACTATGGACATCCAAACCAGGGTACAGGGGCCATGGATGCCATGTGCAGGGAGAAGTGATCAGATCTGAGGGACATTATGGAGGGATTATATGCAAGGCAGAGTATGGGGATGGTACTCATGTAAACAAACTGCTACCCTCCACTGCGAGGGAGAAGCGGGTGTAACAACCCATGGGTTGAAGACTTAGTCTGACCCAAGACATCCTAGCAAAACAAACAAGTAAAAAAGACATCCTGGTGCAGATGTCTACAGAGCACCTGGAATCTGGGCAGAGGAAGTGAATTCTAGTACATGGGCAGAAACAAGTGACCTGGCAGAGGGAATAACCCAGTCCACCACAGGACATTTACATCCCCATGCTAGGCCCTATTCTGTAAGTTATCTGAAACAGCTCAAAACCTCAGTTAACATCCAATTTGTTGGCTGAAAAAATCTTTTAGGCAGAATCTCTCTAAAATGGACAATACAGACTAAGGGTATAGCTCAGAAGTAGAGCGCTTGCCTGGCATGGAAGAAAACCTGGGTTCAGTACCCAGCATGGCAAACAAATAAATAAACAAACAAATAAATAAAAAAGACAACAGGCTTTCTCAGTGATTAGAGTAAAGTGTGCAAACCCAAGACAGCTGTGCAGAGAGAAGAACAGACAGTACACAATGCAAAAAGGTTTCCCACTGTCCCCAGCATGTCATTAAAAGAAAGCAACACAGAGGGATACTCTGATTCCCAGGAGCAGAAAACCATTCTCGTTGCTCCCAATGACTCAGTGAGAATGATAAAACCGACATGCTTCCTGTCCTGTAGAGCTTACTTTCTCTGGGAGACAATGTGCCAACGGGAAAAACCTCAAGAACAGACCTGGGGGTGCAAGGGCCAAGGGTATACCCAATACCACTCTATAATGTAATCTACTCCTCAAAAGAGCTCAAATATCCCAATGCTGGGTAAAATGGCTTTGGTGAAAGAATGCCAGCTACCCTAGGGCTGGGCATGGAGGCTAATAGCAATGACATGGTTTAAAAGAACAATGGGTTTGAACCACAAAACCAGCTTTCCTGGATGTGAGCTCTCTGTATGCAGTGAGTTAGTTCCCAATTTGGAGTCTGAAGGACTCAAGAAAGAATCCCCATAAATGTCAAAAAACACTTGAGATAGTGACAGCATGACAATCCACCTCTTCTCTCTCCTAATATGCCCACATTTTGTTCAGTTTAAAAACAACCTACTCTACAGCGTGCACCCAGCACAGCCCCGTTGGCTCTAAGCATGGCTAGGACAAATGCAGGAGACAATGGCCTTGCTGCCACTCAGCACTGAGGGATCTTCTACTCCAAAGGCTCACATTTTACTCCTGAGTCTTTTCCAATAAGCACATAACTTTTCTTTTTTTATTTCTTCTTTTTTTTTTTTTTGGTTCTTTTTTGAAGTGCTGGGGATTGAACTCAAGAGCCTTGAGCATGCTAGGCAAGCGCTCAACCACTGAGTCACATCTCCAGCCCTTGGTTTGTTTATGACAAGGTCTTGCTACATAGTACAGGCTGACCTCAAACTCATGATCCTCCTGCCTCAGCCCTGAGTACTGAGATTATAGGTAACCATGCCTGGCTACTTTAAAAAGTCAAAGTGGATGGTTACATAAATAAAGTCAATGTGCCCACCCATAGCCCCCAAACTGCCACCACCACTCAGCCCCGCCCTAACCAAGGGGTGAGGCAGACCCAGTGGGTAGATGTGTCCCTGGGACACCCACGCAAGCCACATTACCAGCTTTATTCTTCGCAAGTTTTTTGCTGCTTGCTGTTCCAGATCCATAAGTCACACCATCAATGGTCACCGAGGCACCAAAAGGTTCACTTGGATTCTCTTAAAATTAAAATTACTTGTTTTAAAACACACTTGCCAAGACATTAAAAGCTTGCACACACAGCCTGCCCACACTGACAGATGCCCCTGCAGAGAGCAAGTCTGTGCTCATCTACAAAGACTGGGGGGCTCCCTCAGGTGTGGAGATGGGGCTGGGGATGGTCAGCAGCCAAGGATACAGCAGGGAAAATTGAGGGAAATGGGGGACCATGGGAAAGTTAGCCAGAGAGGAAGCAGGTGCTGGAGGCAGAACCTCCCAGGACAGGGCAAGGTCACTCAAAAGATGGACATGGGACTGTCAGGAGTAGGACAGAACAGCATGCAATGAGCCAGATAAACAACATCTAAAAGGATGGGTGATCCCAGGCTTCAGCTCCCATGGGGAAACACACTGTCCTTCACAAAGATGTGAGAAGGAGGCCACAGAAGACAGAGCTGGCAAGAAGTGTAGGCAGGTCCAAGGCCCCTTCATCTACCTGAGAACACTGGGAGACCAGGAAAGGACCCAAAACACAGCGGGGAGACCTTTCTCACACAGTTATCCTTGACAACACGGTCAGGAGTCAGTGAGGCAGACGGGACAAGACAATAGAAAGGGATAGGAAAGACAGGACATGGGACAAACTCAAAGTGGAAAGCAGAGCCATTTACCCTCAGATAAGGTGAATCTCCATGAAAACAAACTGCCTATCTGCAACGCACTTATTTTTGCCCTTTTCTTGTACTTATATCCAGTCAAGTAGGGTCAGTACGCTCCCAACATCAGCCCAGATCAAAGTGTCACATGCGATTCTTCAGGACCAAAAATGAAGGCCAAACTTACCACATTCAAAGAAATTATAAACGGGGCGGACCTTGAGGACACGCTGCATGTACTCGTGCAGGATGCAGACCTCAGATTTCCCATTGGGATTAATGACAAACTCTGTGAAAAAGAAGAACTGTCGCAGCAACTCCTTGGGAACTTGGCCCATCCACGTTAGAGTCAACTCAGTGGAGCTGACCAATGTGAATATAGTGGGCCTCTGCACTCACTGTACAAACATAAGCTTTGAATTAAGTGCAATTCACTCACGTATCTAAGCAAATCAAATTAAAAATAACAATATATTCCAGCTGCTGATGTTGACACGTACAAGTCCAACTAACCTTTCTTTGTGGGTGCATCTTGCACAGATAAAGTGATGAGCTTCTGGTTGGCCGGCAGGATGGGCCGCTCAGATTCAGCCTGCTTCCGCTTCATCTCACGGTTGAACTGCCGCCGCTCAGCCCAAGTCCTGAATTTTTTCACAGTTACTTGCTCAAAGTCAAAACGCTTTTCCAAGTAGTTTCGAAATTCTTCCAGATCTGTCCAAGATGTACCAGGGAGCCAAATTACCAAATTTTCAACGTAGAAATCATGTTCCCTCAGTCCAGGCTCATCGAACAGGTCCAGTCCACATGTAACATGTGTTTCCCTTTCCCTGTCCCTTTCAGAGGGCAAGGAAAGAAGAAAAATAACAGCAGGTCTCTTTACTGACAGCTCAAATTACTCTGGCAGGTCCTTTATGGATAGATTCCTGGGACATCCTTTTGCTTTATTAGAAGCAAGAACAAAAATACAAAAAGTGATATGGGGGCAAAAAAAGGAATCTTGAGCCAGACATGGTGGTTCATACCTATAATTCCAGCACTCAGGAGGCTGAGGCAGGAGGAGTTTGAGGCCAGCCTAGGTTCCATAGTGAGACCCTGTCTCAAAGCAAAATAAAACAAAACCCAAAAAGAGGAAGCTTAGGGGGGAAAAAAAGACAAAAACAAAAAAAACCTTCTCTCTGAAGCAAACAAGCATCTGAGCCTGGGGCTTGGGAGCATAGCTCAGTGGTAGAGCACTTGCCTAGCTTGTGAGTCCCTGGGCTTAATACCCAACACCAGTGGGAAACAAAAAACAAAAATAACAAGCACTTCCCAGGCTCTGGTAGCTCACACCTGCAATCTTAGCTACTCAGAAGGTAGAGATCAGGAGAATAGCAATTTGAGACCAGCCATGGCAAACAGTTCGTTCAGGAGACCCTATCTGGAAAATACCCAACACAAAAAGGGGCTGGTGGAGTGGCTCAAGTGGTAGAGCTCTGGCCTATCAAGTGTGAGTGAGTCCCTGAGTTCAAGCCCCAGTGCTACCAAATAAATAAATAACAACAACAAAAACAAAATAACTAAGCACTTGACTGGCAACAGCGGCTGCCTACCACCTCTCTGACCAACTCACTTTTCCCTCTGGCCTGCCACCTCCACAATCAGTAATATATCCAGCTGGTTCCCTGCCTCCTTAGGGCCGTTGTAGTTATCATACCTCTTCCCTGGCTACTTCCTGTTCCTGAACAACAGCTTCCCCCTCCCCACAGCTCTTTTAGGACAGCTCACACTGAACAGAATTATGATAGGCTGCAGCAACACATAGACAAGCACAGAACATCCTCTTTGAAATTAATCCAGCAGGTGGACTGAAAGAGATTTGCCACAACTGAAGAGAGATCTAAGACTTGTAAGGACTGAACCAAGCTAAAAGATACAAAAGAAAGACTGAGAAATAGCAACATATTTCCAAAAGGCAAGTGCAGGATTCAAGAAGGTGGAACTGCTCAGCACTTGGGAGGCTGAGGCACGAGAATCACAAGTTTGAGGCCAGTTTGGACTACACAGTGAAATCTTATCTCAAAATGCAACCCCCCCAAAAAGGGGGGAGAACTGCTCACAGAACAGTGGCAGTTCTCCAGTACAGAAGTCCATGAACTAAAGGCTCATTCTGAATGCATCAGGATAAAGCCAAACAACACCCCATGGGCACATACTACTGAAAAAGCAAGACTTCAGGAAAACCATGCAACAACCAGAAAGGCCAAGTGTATTTGCCTGCACCATCTCCATGGCACCTTCAGCTGTGCAGACCCTGTAGAGCCCAGGTGCCGGGGGCCAGGAATGCTATACACAGGCAGGTTCTTGGGAGAGCACAGAAACAGGCCTCTCCAGCCATGTGCAACTACATAGGCACAGCCACCCCCCACTCACAGACCCAACTAGGAAGTGGAAACAATAGCCTCTGACAAAAGGAATGAGACCCCAGGGTGGATGAGGAATGTAGCTGGATCCCAGAAAGGAAGAAAGCTCTCTTGGAAAACTTACCAACTGACTCATCTTTGCACACTTCGACTTTGGCCTTCACCTGTCCCAGGGCCCCAGGGGCTGCCTCGGCCCCCAGTGGGTCCTTCTCATCTGGGGGCCCTGAGTCCACACCCATGGAGTCTGGTTCTTCCAAAGGAAACTCCAGCTCTGCAGATTGGCCCAAGGGCTTGACGGGAGACACCTCCCCACTGGGAGTGACCTCACTGCTTTGCTCTCGTTCCTCATTGTCCTTCATTTTCTTATAATGCAGACAAGGGATGCTACTCAGAGGGGGATCATGTTTCTGTGGATAATGAAATTGCAACAGGGGTTACAAGCATGACCCTGAATCTGAAAACCTGATGCGTTTCACCAACCTCCACTTTCAAATCTAAATCTACAACTGATGCTTCCCTACCCGTATGCTTCCTGTTCCTAAGAAGTAGGGCCTGGACCAAGTGACCACCCGAGACTCTCTGTGCAGGTACACAGGAACTCCAGAGTTATGGAAGGTCATGATCCACCCATCGGGCAGCGGCTCTGTAGGTGGGCGGCCTCGACCTGCACAAAAGACAACAACATCCTACAATCACTTTAAAAATACTAAGGATTAGCTGGGTCCCAGTGGTTCATGCCTATAATCCTAGCTACTTGGGAAGCAGAGATCAGGAGGATCAAAGTTTGAGGCCAGCCTGGCAAATATTTAAGAAATTTCATTTCCAAAATAACCAGAGTAAAATGAGCCACAACTGTGGCTCAAGAGGTAGAGAGCCCATTTTGCAAGCACAAAGCCCCAAGTTCAAACTCCAGCCCCAACAAAAAATAAATAAATTGTAGCTGCAATTAAAACAAAAATAAAAACTACTTCATTAGCATTATAAGGCCCTGTGTTTGATTCCCAGTGCAATGGTTGGGGGCAGGGGGGCAACTACTTCAAATTTTAAAATTTCTACATTGCTTTTAAGACACTGCTCCCAACCTCTTCCTTGTTTTCCAGGCAGCCACAAGAAAAAAGCATCAAAACTTTTTTTCCACTTGCCCAATGACAGAGCTGACTGCCAGGAAAAGTACAAAGCAGAGACTTAACTAAAATAATGTTCTTACAGGTATTAGAAGCAATATGAAATCTAGAAACTAAAGAAAAAGCAAGTGAAATATAAAATATTATACATGACAAAAAAAGTACCAGTGACTCTCAGGGAAAGGTAGTGGCACCTCTGGGCCAGATCCTCATCCAGCAGCCCTGACACTGGGCCTGGCACCCACACCCAGGCCACTATCAGATTATGGCCTGGGAAGGAGTGTTACAGGTCAGAAATGCACCCCCTGGGCACCCACACCCTAACCTCAGGGACTGGAGACTAGCTAGAGCTGCCTCACACAGCCTTGGACTAACTCAGAAGAAGAAACAAATGGAATGTGGAGCAGAATACAACACAGGACATAGTTCATCCGTATTACTCATATATTATAGCTAGCCAGCCATCTGAAGAGCTGATAGCAGCTGCAAACATAGGCTCCTGCAGTGGCTCCTACAGAGTAATGTAGGTTTATCTGTTCAGAGTGAGACACTGAAACCACAGAAAGAGCACAAAGCCAACCTTCCAGAGGCAAAGTGAAGACCCTCTCCCCCATCTCCCTGAGCAGCTGCAGCCCTTGGTTCATCCCACCTATAATTGCCTGGCACTGCTCATTTATCACGAATGTAGGCAGCAACATATGGCACCTGGCACTGCTGACCTGTCCCCTCACAGCCCAAGGACAATCCATGCCCATCACCTCACTTTCTACCCTAACCACATCTCACCATCTCTGTACCTAGTCCTTCAACCCAGGGACTCACCCATGTGCCTAAGCTCCAAGCATCTATCTCTTCAACCCCTCTACTGATCTAAGCATCCCTACCAGGACAATCACAGGTACTTCTAGGCAAGTATAGACAGAAACCATCCTCATCCCTCACACTGATGACAAAGCCTTACAGCACATCTCTGGGCATCTTCAACTGCTCTCTCATTGTCTCCAAATCTAAATGAAATTCCACTGCCTGCACCTCTAAAACACCTCCACTTCTATCCAAGGAATTTCTACCCTGCCCCTAAGTGCATGTGCCATGCTGCCCAGAAGTCATGCTTTTCAGCAAAAATAAGGTAACAATACTGGCCTGCTTCTTGTGGCTTTCTGCATCACTTGGAGCAGAACCAAACTCTGGATCATAACTATCACCTGCCATCTCACTGAGCACCCACCTGTGGACTTGGCCTCCTTATCCTCTCTGGCTACTAGTGTTGTCTCTTGGCACACACTGAGGTTCCCTGCTCAGGGGTCCTCTGGAGAACTCCTGACACTTTAGCTAGCAGGATCTCTACCTAAGTTCTGTGTCTGGGTGAGTCCTATGTCCAATTTGTTTTCCTTTCATCTAACATAACTGTCCTGTACTCAAACATGTGTCTCTTACCTAGGCTGAAGCTTGGTATCAGAGGGCTTTCAAAACATCTATGTGAAAGAAATTGCACTTCTGATGCCTGGAAACGCTCATTACTTTGTGAGCCACCAACTTACTTTTGAGCACTGTTTTAATCTTGGTCATCATGGGTTGCACACTCGTCTCTCCATCAGATGGATGGTCACTGTCTCCTCCGTATTTTTCCTCCAACCGCCTCTTCTTTGGAGCACAAAGACCTTCTTCCAGCAGAGCATCCACATCGTTGTCGAAGTCATCCTACAAGACAAGTTGTTCAGATTCCATAGCCCTCAGGGTCTACACTCCTGCACCAAGGGCAAGCTTAACAACATTTTTGAGGACAGTCACTCAAGGGGGCCTAGGTGTACCCTGATGGCGTGTAATCATCTGAAAGACAAACAGGGCAAAATGACAAGTGAAACCAACACGTCTGGTCCAGGTGCACACCCTGCCAAGGAGGCTTCTCAGCAGCACCTGCTGACTCTGGTTAGAAAGAAGATACAAGGCTGAATGTTAGCCAAACTTTTCACTAAGAAATATAAAAAATGTGGGCTCCTTACATCTTTCTCTTTTCTACCTTGTTATTTGACTTCACATTGGGTCTTGCTTCTGCTTTGCTCCCCCCACCCCTAATTTTCCAGCTTTTAAAAGATGCAGCCACTCCCAAACCTCTCTTTGGGTTTTACTCAGAGCCCTCAAGAAGAGGGGTCACCAACATACCTCATAGGAGAAATTCAAGGCCTCTTCATCCACTCTGTCTCTTTGAATGATTGCTTTAGCCGTGAACCCGCCTGCTCCTTCTTCATCTAGCTCCAAATTGTCAGTAAAATCTTCTAACTCATCGAGCACTGCATACTCCACTCTCTTTTCCTGATCCAGCTCATTCTCCTCATCCTTCTTATCCGTACTCTCACCCCCTATAGCTACCCCATTACCAACACTCCCGCCAAAGGGACAAGCATGCACGTCCCCACTGACAGGACTAAGGAGCAAGCCACATTCGGCCCGAGTGCCACGCTCCATTCCTGTGTACAGCACCTTCCTGTCCTTACTCCTGCAGCTCTCAGTAAAACTCACACTAATCTTTACATCCTTAAGCAACTTAAGGTCAGGGGAGAACTTCCGGACCGCAGGTGCGTGCCGGGCGGTGCGCGGGCTGTGGCCACTACAGTTCGGGTCTATGAGGAGGCGGCCCTTAGAGAAGGATCCTTTGGAGAGAAGAGAAGCTCCGTAGAAGTTGAACGGGTCCTCGGCCGGGAGTTCGGACTGTCCATCACCACCAGAGCCAACGTCCATTACCTCTGCATCACTGGACGTTTGCAGGGGAGGTGGTGGAGACTGTTCACGGGGTAGCGCTTGGAAGGGGCAAGCTCGGTTCTCCATCATTGCTTCTCCTGCGGTCTCACGCGGGAGAGGAGAGGGACTCTCATATGTCTCCATATTAAGACTATTTTAAAAGACCAGAGTTTTAAACCACCTTACATAAATCTAGACAGCTAACATGCACAAGTCCGTCGAGACCTGGTGCCGTCCTGCCCGCGCTTCGCACACTGGCGGCTTAGTCAAGCTGGCCACATTGCTCTTTTCATTAATGTAGACAGCTTTTAGAACCACTGCCTCAATTATTGGAAATCACAATGCACTCAGCTTAAAAGACCGACGACTAAGTAAATCTGTCTTCGTGCCAAAGTGGCACCTTTCTTCTTCCACCTGCAAAGAAATTTAAAAATATCGTCACGAAATGACAGCAATCTTAACACTCCCCTGGTACTGAGTTAAGAGTCAAGTGCTAATAACAGTGTAGTAAAGAGCTAAAATAATACTGCCTATAAGAGAACCTTGCGATATCAGAGCAAACTAACCTTAGTGTTTTCCTTCAAAATCTAAATTATAATTTAAGTTCTAAGTTGACTATTTACTATTTATTTCATTCCTACTTCAGAAGCACAAAAATATAACCTAAAGGCTCAAAAAGGATTAAAAAAACAACAAACAAACAAAAAACCTACACTAAACTTCACCACGGTACTCCCCTTACTCAGCCTATAAGGTAAGCAAGCATGCTGTGGGAGGCTGCCCTTTCTGGAACACATAAAAGGCATGGCCTCCCTCAGGTCACCAGAGCAGTATCAGTCCACTCACCTGCAAGAGCTGGGTCAGTCAGAGGGTAAGCACGAGACCCTCAGCTCAACTTTGCAGCACTAAGGACCTCAGAGGTATGACCAGGCGCTCTGCTACCCATGGACCCCCTCTCCTGGGCCCACAACGTGGCACGCGGATGGAACAGTGATGCAGCCTGCTGAGGTCACCAGAGGTGGCAGCATAGTTCTGTTCCCAGTAGAGGAGGGGGAAGGGGTGGCTGTTGGGAAGGGCATCTGCTAGGATTTTTGGGAGGAGCCACAGGAGAGAGCTGGAACCAAGGCACAAAGAATCCAGGGTGCTACCTGGAGCCTGGCTCTATCCTGGGGACAATATAAGCCACCAAGGATAAAGCAACTCTCATCAGAAAGAAGGCACAGGTGACTGCACCCAGGTGGGGGACAGTCCTCCAGGCTAAAGGACAAAGGCATGAAAGTGATTTTGGAGACATCAAGAACAGTGTCACAGAACCACACTTGTTGACCCAGTGGGGGTGGAGAGCAGAGAAAAGAGGGAGCTGAAAGGGAAGAAGGCTTCTTCCCTGGAGGGACACACACACTCCAATATCCAGGCAGAAGGAAGCCTGGAGAGGAGAATGGAGGGAAGCTCCAGGCAGACCTGTCTGACAGGTGCCTACGCCACAACTCAGCCCTAACTGGTGGAGAGATCTGGTAAGGCAGATCATATTAATAAAACCACAGGAGGGAAGGATGCAACTCTAGGAAATTTCACTATAGAAAAGGCACAAAAAAGGGACAGCATGAGGCACAGAAGGCAGATCAGAGTGGATGGCCAGAAAACTCAGAGGTCCACAGGAAGAGGGACAGTCAGCAGAGCAGAAGCACTTATGCACATACACACATATGCATGCACACTCCACATTGTGCACAGAAACACATACATGCACATGCCATGCACACAGGTGCAAACACACACATGCATGGCCATGCCCATGGGTGATAGCTCTGTTGCATGTACATAACTCATACTCCTAATACCCAAGAACAGAAGAGCAGACATCACCCATTTAAGAAGTTTACAGTGAAAGGATGGAGTGTGGTGGGCTTTAGTTTGAAGACACAACATAAAAGTCAGAGAATCTGTTAAATTAAATATTCACTGAGAGAGGTCCTACCACTAACAAAAGCCAAGATCCCCACAGCCTGGACAAAGCTGAAAGGTTAATGATCACTGCACTATCATTCTATTTCCTACATCCTAGGATGTCCTAACATTTCTGAATTCAGTGGGAACTTAATACACTACCTCGCCAAAGTTGTGACAGTCAAAGGTGTTTAGGATTGAGGAAGTATAGCACAGAGATAATGACTGGAAAGAGCAGCAATAATAAGGAGGCTGCAGCCAGGTGGGCATGAGAGACATCAAGGGGATAAGGCCAGTCTCCTGGCAACCAAGAAAGACCACTGCAGAGGACAGAAGAGCATGCTTGGTGCTATCGACCTTGAATAAGACCAGGAAAGGACCCCTTAGAACCTGGCAGGTGTGCAGAGACCCTAGGGAGTTAAATGTGTGAGTCTGTAACAAAAAAAGCTAAAATGAAGACCCAAGATGGTGGGGGTTGGAGACAAACAATGACACAGGATGGGAAAGGCTGCTGCATGTTAAAAGCTAAGATGCAGCCAGTGTGAAAAACAAAAAACAAAGAGGCAAAGGTGCTGAAGAGGGCCTTGAAGAGGTGCACAGCATAGGTAGGGTTCAGGATCCCTGAGATGGGAGAATGTGCTCCTTGGAGGAACAGGAAGCTGCCCAGTTCCAGGGCTCAGCAGTGGGCAGTCCACAGCAAGTTCATGGTGGAGAGATCTAGCAGGATTTTCTGTAAGCTTTCTCAATTCATTCAATAAGCATTTGCTGAACGCTTCCATATGGCACACGCATACATACTCTCTCACACACACACACACATACATACACACACACACACACACACACACACACTATTTCTCTTATGTGTGGAACACAAGACAGACAAAGCCTCTGCCTTGCAGAGCAAACACTTTAGCAGAGGAGACAAACAAGGAACAACTAAGAAAAGCATATACCATACCACATGCTGAGAAGTATTCAAGGAAACGGTTGGGAAAAGGGAGACAGCTTCCCAAATGGTGGTTAGTATCCACCACCTCAAGGCAGAGGAAAGGGAGCAGGTGGGAACCAGGGGTAGAAGTAGAAGACATTCTGAGTGACACCTGGAAGGAAAGCAAAGGCACTGGGACACAGGTATGGTGTGGCCAAACTAGGGCAGTATACTATGGGCAAGTGACAGTAGGCCAGGCTATCAAGGCTTTGAGACAGGCAATTGGACAAGAGTCCAAACACTGACATATGATCCAAGGATAAGCCGTGGTAGTCAACTCTCACACAGGTTCTATGAACCTTACGCATTGTACCTCACCCAGTTCTCAGAAAGCACTGTGAGAAAAAGGTCAAGTACAGAAAGGTAAAACAACTTGCTCAAGGTCACACAGCTAGGAAGTGGTACAGCTGCTTTGCTATCCAATCAACCTGGCCTGAGTCTATACTGCCTCAGTTTTATATTATCTTGTAGGTTAAAGAAACATTGTGTCCAGAAAAACTATAGGTGGGTGAGAGTAGAACAAAAGGTAGAATTAAGAGGCTCACCAAGTAGCTTGAACCAGGATGTCAAGGTGGAGATGATGGAAACAGAAGGTGAGCTGACAGGGCTTTGAGAGATGCATGAAGGCATAAGAAAAGAGGAACAGAGCATTGGTGGCTCACGCCTGTAATCCTAGCTACTAAGAAGGCAGAGATCAGGAGGATCGAAGTTCAAAGCCAGACCCAGCAAATTGTTCCTGAGACCCTATTTCAAAAATACCAATTACAAAAATGGCTGGCAGAGTGGCTCAAGATGAAGGCCCCGAGTTCAAGCCCCAGTACCACAAAAAAAGAAAAGAGGGATCATGGTGACTTTAGCCTGGTGTGAGCAGGGCCACAGCTGGGCATGATGGTGCACACTTGTAATTCCAGCTTACTCAGGAGGCGGAGACAGAAGGATGGAGAGTTCTAGGCACCCAGGCAGAAAGGTGGTGAGACCCTTGTCTTGAAAGCAAAATGAAAACGAAGGGGTGGGGGGAGTAGCTCAAGTGGTAAAGCATTTGCCCTTGCTTAGCTTAGCATTTGTGAGGTTCTGGGTTTAACCCCCATTACTGAGGGGAAAGAGGGAGGCACAAGGATCATTTTGACCTGAGTGAAGACCTGAGTTTAGTTTGGACAGAACTACTTGACATCAAAATAACACATAGAGATGTGGAAGAGGCAGCTAGAAGTGTGAGGCTGAGGCCCAGAAAGGAAGCCAGGGATGGAGATGTGAAAGATGTTGAGGAAAGCTGGCATTAAAGCCAGAGGCTGGATGAGGTCACAGGGGAGGAGAGCTATGACAAGAGAAGGCTAAACTGGGCAAACCAGCCAAAATCCTGTTTCCCACCCCAAGATCATGGTGAGACTATAAAACCACCCCTGGGAAGTCCTCAGCACCATGCCTGGCCATGCAGAGTTCAGAGTGGCTCTCCTGCCCTTCAGCCTCACTGCTGCTTCAGCTGATTGAACACATGGGAGGCAAATCCTACCCTGCCAATTGGACCATGAGCAAGCAGCAGACACCCCCCTGCCCCCGACCCTGGCACAGGGGTAAACCTAACACACTTGGACAGCCCTGACTTGCTGGGCTGGCACGGAGCCATGGCTGCCCAGCACTGTGGCTGCAGCCTTTCACTCAAGCCTCACCCGCTGCAGCCTCCCGCCCAACCCAGCAGCAGTATGACCTCATCCATTCCTTTTGTCATCCTCCAACGGGCCTCACATCCTGCACTCACAGGCGACCCTCAATCTGCACAGGGACTGGCCGGCCATTCACTCCCTTTGATGAGTGATGTCTTGTAGTGGAGTTTGAGCCACTACCACGACTGGGGAGTTCAGTCTGGGTCCTCACCTAGTGATTGCCCTCCAAGAGTCCCGAGACCGGACTGCTGTGCATGTGGTAACAAAGTACATGCAAGCATGCAAAACGGCAACCCAAATTCCTACCATAAACAACCCAAGTTCATCGGATGATACTACTTGACAGGTATCGCTGTCAACAGGTTGCCACCTTTCACTTATTTCTACAACGTTCATTGTTACAATAGAACAACATCCTGATTATCTCTACATGACATTCAATTCACAAGCATTTGGTGGAGGCGATTTCTCAGATTTTCCAAACTGTCAAAGCAGAGTCCGGGGCGAGCAATGTCCCTGAACACACCACTCCCGCCTGAAGGCAATGCTACCGGCTTCAGGCCCAGGGGCGAGGCGGTCAGCAGCCAACGTCCGCGACGCATGGGTCCGGGTCCCGCCCCCCAGCGCCTGCCCGGGTCCCGGCCCAGGCCCCGGCCCCCGCTCTCCGCTCCCTACGCTGCCCGCGGCCATGTTGACTCACAAAGGCCGGAACTCCCCATGGCACTGCCCACCTCGTGTCCCCCGCCCTGCCCCGCCCCGAGCTCGGGCCCACGGCCTCGGCCCGGGAGGGAGGAGGAAAGAGGAAGCAAAGGGCGCACCCTCGCGCAGGCCGCGGGCGCCCGTCCGCCCGCGGGGCGCCCCTCGCGCCCCGCACTTACCTGCGGCGCCCGCGGCCTGCCCGAGCTGCCCGCAGCCCGACACCACAGCAGGAAGACCCTCACCGCCCAGACACCGCCGCCATCTGGAAAGGCCGCCCAGGCTCTCCGCGACACCCGCCTGCCGCGCCGGGCGAGAGGAGGGCGGACCTTCACGGCGCGCGGCCAATCCTCGCGCGCGGCCGCCCAGCATTGGGGGAACCCGGGAGCGGGCTGCGGAGGCCGCCAATCGGCGACACTAGGAGCGCGCGACTGCGGTGCGCGACCCAATAGCGCGGTCGCGCAGGCGGGACCAGGCACGAAGGCCAGCGCCGCGCTAACGGTCGCCGCCCGGGAGGGGCTTTGCTAGCGGAGGGCAGCGGCCGCGGGGAGCGCTGGGAGGGAAGAGCGCTGGGAATGCCGGGAGCAGGGGAGCGCGGGAAGTGCGGGGGACGCCGGGAATTCGGCGCGCCGAGGACGTCGGGAGGCGCTTCGGTCGTGGGTCGTGCAAGAGCCATGCAAACATAGGTATTCCACAGTCAACAGTTAACTGCGTTAGTTGGTCAGACATAATCACCTTTTTACTCAGGAGGCAGAGACCAGGAGAATTAAAAAAAAAAAAAAAACACGAGACCCTATCTTGAAACTTTAATATCCAACACGGTACTCAGGAGCAGAGAACAGAAGGATCGCAGTTCGAAGCCAACCCTGGGCAAATAGTACGCGAAACCCTATCTCGAAAATACCTAACACAAAACAGAGCTGGCTGGGTGGCTCATGCAGTAGGGCGTCTGCCTAGCTAAGCGAGAGAGCATGAGTTCTAAACCTCAGTACTACAAGAAAAAAAGTACATATACATATATATATATATATACATATGCATATATATATACACACACACATATATATATATACACACACACACACACACACACATATATATATATATATATATATATATATATATGGGGGTTTTTTTGGCAGCTCTGGGCTTTGAACTCAGGGCTCCACTCTACCACTTGAGCCACTCCGCCAGCCCAAAAACATTCTTAAAATACCTGAGTGGAGATCTTTAATCCCAGCTACCAGGAGGCAAAAGTAAGAGGATTGGTCAACAAACTGGAAACCCTCTCTGAAAAACTACTGGAAAAAGAAAACACAGGCATAGGTGGCTCATGTCTGTAATCCTAGCTACTTGAGAGGCTAAGATTGAGAGGATTGCGTTTCCAGGCCAGCCCCGGCAATTGTTCGCCATGTAAGGAAATATGGGCCCCAAAATGACCACGGGGGAGGGGGGGAAAGAGAGAGAGAGAGAGAGAGAGAGAGAGACAGGGGCTTAAATACCCCTCAGTCGGACTCAGCATGATCTGATTGGTTAGGATCTTACGGTTCATGCTGATTGGAGGTTGGGGCAGAAGAAGTGTTCAAGCTAGACTTGAGGCAGGACTGTGACCCAGGAAAACAGAAGCTTAAGGGTGCAGTAAGAACTGAAACCTATGGCGCCGTTATTGCCAACACGCCAGACCCTATCTCCAAAATAACCAGAGCAAAATAGACTAAATAGACTAAAAAGCAAGCAGGGGGGGCCAGGAGGTGGTAGAACACCTGCCTCACAAGCAAATTGGCCCTGAATTCAAGCTCCAGTACAGGGGAAAAAAAAAAAGGAATCTCAATGTTCAAATTCAGAACACTTTTAAGCTGTCTAGTAGTTTTCCATTTACTAATGATATTGGATACAAGGCAAAAGCCCAGGCCAGGGAGTCCCACCAGAGAGGCTCGGGACATAGAGCTGGGAAAGTCAATCAATCAAAGAGCCCAGCAGTGGTGAAGGCAGAAAAGGAGTTTTATTAACAGTATGATCAGCTCTCATGACCTGAAATCTGTCTTCAAAGTGCCTATTGCAGTCTCAGTGTTATATAAGGAAGATAAAGGCAGGGCTTGGGGATTTCCATAGTAGAAGTCCAGTTCATTGTGGTCTGACCACGATCTAGGTGAGCATTACCTGGGATCGGCCATGCAGATATGTCTGTCCCAAGAGGGTCTCTATTTCTTAGGTTTGGATTTTTCTTAAGGACCGAACAGGTCATCAATCAAATCTCTTGTTCCCCGGGAACCATAGTGACTTCAGGAGAGAAAGACTGGGGAGAATTTAGAAGGAAGGAAACAAGACAAGATTGAGTCAGAAACAAAATGGAGTTAGCTAGGTTAGTGACTGGGCTCTCTCAAATCCCCACTATCAAGCCATCATTCCATTTCTATGGGCATGAGGCTGAAGGGAGGGCCAGATTACATAATAGGAGATCCAGGGGTTCAAAAGAGGGAGAATGTAAGGGAGAAAGGCCAGGCGCTGGTGGCTCACACCTGTAATCCTAGCTACTCAGGAGGCAAGAGATCAGGAGAATCGCAGTTCAAAGCCATCCAGGGCAAATAGCTCCTGAGACCCTATCTCAAAAAAACCCATCACAAAAAAAAAAAAAAAGGGCTGAAGGAGTGGCTCAAGGTGTAGGCCCTGAGTTCAAACAACAGTACCACAATAAATAAATAAATAAGAAAGGACAGGCCTTCCTTAGATTAGCATTTCAGTCAATAAATGTAGAGGGAATGATGGACATAGAAGATCTCCCATTGGGCAGGTACCTCAGTAATTGCTGCCGGACCTAAAAGAATCATGGGTGCTAAAAATTATGAGAAAGAAACACAGAGAGAGAGAGAGAGAGAGAGAGAGAGAGTTTGGTGCTGGGGATGAGAACCCAGGCCTCTCCCATGCTGAGCCTGAGCCAGGACAGATTGAGGAACCATCTTTGATAAGAGACACAACTAGCCAGGTGCCAGTGGCTCACGCCTGTCCTAGCTACTCAGGAAGCAGAGATCAGGAGGATCACAGTTCAAAGCCAGCCTGGGCAAAGAGGTTGCAAGCCCCTATCTTGAAAAATCCTTCACAAAAATAGGGCTGGAGGAGTGGCTCAGGTGAAGGACCTGAGTTCAAGCCCCAGCACCACAAAAAAGAGAGCGATACAACTAGGTGCAATGTGGAATTCATATCCTAAATGGAATCCCGACTCAGAAAAGGGACGTAGGAGGATAACTGATAAAACTCAATAAAGTTTGTTGAGTAACTCACAGTATTCCATTGACAAAATATCCCTTGCTTGGCCAAACTTTACTTAGGCTCCTGAACTTTGTCCTAGACCCATTTATGTTCTTCCTTGTAAATTCCAGTTTTAACAAAGAACTCTTGAAGTCAGATTGACAAGAACCCATCCCCCACCCCTCCCCCCTTTGCTGGTACTTGGGTTTGAACTCAGGGCCTTGCATTTGCTAGGCAGATGGCTCTACCACTTGAACTGCACCTCCAACCCTTTATGCTTTGGTTATTTTTGAGGTAGGGTCTCACGTTTATGCCCTGGATGGCGAGGACTGAAATCCTTTTATTTACAGTTCCTCATAGCTGGAGTGACACCTATGAATGTACATCATTAGTCCAGCTTTTTTCCTTTTTCTTTCTTTTTCTTTTTTTTTTTTTTTTTGTGAGATGGGGGAATCTCACACACTTTTTTTGCCCAGGCTGGCTTCAAACCAAGATCCTCCCAATCTCTGTCTCCCTAGTAGCTAGGATTACAGGCATGAGTCACTGGCCAGCTCCAACCCACTTTGATCACCTGGCCTGTCTTCAGCCAGAATCTTGCTAAGTCAGTCTACCCTAATATTTTTTGTTATTTTCTATCCACTGCCCCCACCTTGCTCCTTGGTTATAAATTGCCACTTGCCCATGCTGTATTCAAAGTTGAGTCCAACCTCTCCCCCACTGTAAAAGCTCATTGCTGTGTCCCTAACACCTGTCCAGACAGTCCTGAATAAAGCTTTCCTTACATGGCTATAACAAGTATCACTGAATGTTTTTCTTTAACAGGATCAATGTCAATTTCCTAGTTGTAATCGTTTCACTATGGCTAGATACTGTGTTAACATTTGAAGAAACAAGGTGAAGGTTACTAGAATACTTTGCTCTGTTTAAATTTTTTTTAGTAAGTTGAAATCATTTAAAAATGAACACGGTTTGCCGGTTGCCAGTGGCTCATTCCTGTAATCCTAGCTACTTGGGAGGCAGAGATCAGGAAAATGGTGGTTCGAAGCCAGTCTGGGTATGAGACCCTATCTTGAAAAAGAAACAACACAACACAGACTGACTCTAGTGGTGGAGCACCTGCCTAGCAAGCGTGAGGCCCTGAGTTCTACGCCCCAGTACTGCCAATAAATAAATAAATATAGATAAATAAATAAATAATGAGGTTAAAGAAACGGGAGAAGGACTGCATACCTGAGGCCCTGGGTTTGATCTCCAGTACGAAGAAAGACAAAACAAAACAATAAATATTCCATGAGCAGTTGCAAGTTCATGTTAGTCCCAACTGCTTAGAAGGCAGAGGCAGGAAGGATCAGATCATGTGAATTCAGAAGTTCAGGGTATACTTTAGGCAACATAGTGAGGCCCTATCTCATAAAATTCAAATTAAATCCCAAAAAAGAAAGTGGGGAAAAGAGGTATTCAGGTGGTAAAGCTAAAATTCTGCACAGGACCTTGCCTCCTATCTTGCCCTCACCCCCAGCAACAGGTACCTCACAGTGAGCACCATCTACCATGAGGATCTGCCTCCCGAACTCAGCCAGGGGATGCCAACCTCCCTGTGGCTGGGCCAGTCAGGCTCTATCATCCAACCACAGCAACCTCCTACACTTGGAGAGGTGAGTTGGGGACCCCTTCAGCAGTCAGACCTGAGGCCTCAGATCTGTGCACTTCAGGTCCCACACAAAGTGGGACCTACTGGGTGATGAGGACACTTGCCACAGGCCTTTTCTAGCTCCGGCCTCAGAATCACAAACACCGACTGACTAGAAGCTTGACAGACTGGAGTTCACCCATGAGCCCAGCTCACCCATGAACCAGGTCTGTGTTCAAGGGCCTTGGTGATACCATCTGCTGAGAGATGAGCTCAAAAGACATAGTCTTGGGGAGTCTGTGAGCAAATGGCCTGGAACCCAGGGCTGCAGAGATGAAACCTAAGGCCATACTGAATTCCTCAACTGGCCGTGTTTGTGCACAGATACCTCCACCTGGGTCATACCTCCAGCCTCCAAATCTACACACTCAACTCAGCCACCTCAGGGTCAGAGGCAGAAGCAACTCATGAGGGAAGGGGCATCTGAGAAGTGGTAAATTCTCCATCCACCAATAGAAGAGGGTCCGTCTTGGGGACTCGGGTCAGATGTAACTGAAAATAAACATAGGGGACTGGCTAGACCATACCAGCTTCCAGGCCTCCCTGGTGGCATGTCCAAAACTTCTAGAAGGCATTGGCTTCCTAGGGCCCTTGTACCCTTCTAACAGCAGGGGCCTTACCTCAAGGGACTGGTATAAATACATTGGGAGACTTGAGAAAGCAACAGCACCTGTCATCCTTGGTTCAAATGTCTACCTGGTTTAGCTAGGCATCAGGATACAGCAATGGGCAAGGGAGAGAAGGCCCCTACCTCTCTGGAGTACTCATTCTGATGGGAAGACACAAGAAACAATCAAAATGTATAGCACATCAGACAGTGCTAACTGCCATAGAGGAAAAACCGAACAGGGCCGAGCAAGGAATTGTGGCTTTCTTTTTTGGCAGTACTCTGGATTGAACTTTGAACTCAGGATCTTGTGCTTGCTACCACTTGAGCCACATCTCTAGTCTTTTCAGTTTTAGTTTGTTTTTTAGATAGGGTCTTGTGCTTTTGCTCAGGCTTGGCCTCAGACTGAGATCTTCCTATCTCTCCCTCCCAAGTAGCTGGGATTATAGGTGTATGACACCATTCCCAGCCTCCAAGATTGTGACTTTAATTTTTTGATAGTGCTCAGGATGGAATTCAGGACTTTGCACATGCTAGGCCAGGGCTCTACTTCTGAGCTACACCCCAGCCCAATGGTGGCTGCCCAAGAGATGTTAGCAAAGACAGGAAGTATGGGGAATGAGGGAGGTGGCAGTTTGGATATCTGAGGAAATAGTTCTTCAGGCAGAGGGGACAGTGAGTGCAAAGGCTTGGGGTACAAGACATGATTGTGAGTAGTGAGAGGACCTGAGGAAAGTAAGAAGACAGAAGGGGTGGGAGGACCATGAATCTGCAGGAACAGGTGCCCCCTGAGGTGCCACCTTGTCCTTGTCCTATTCATCCTGGCCTCAGGGCTCTGCTCCCCCTCTGTGTAGTAACTGAGGGGCCATTAAGATGTCTCCCTGAGCTCAGGTTCCTCACATGTAAAGTAGGGATCACAGGTGTATTAGTTTTCTAGGGCTGCCATAACAAACAGAGTGGTATAAAGAACACACATTTGATTTGGTTTCCTTTTTTTTTTTTTTTTGCAGTGCACATTGATGTCAGGGCCTCATGCATGCTAGGTAAATGCTCTACCACTGAACCATACCCTCAGCCAACAACTGACTTTCATCTCACAATTCTGGAAGCTAGAATGTAGATCCTGGCAGCAGCCAGGCTGCACTCCCTCTGAAGGCTCTCAGGAGGCTCTGATCCAGGACTCTCTTCCATTGTGGTACATCCTTGGCTGCTGCAGATGAACCTCAGTCTTCATGAAATGTTGTTCCTGCACCTGTGACTGTATCCAAGTTCCCTTTTTATAAGGGCACCAGTCACACTGGATTAGGACTCAGCTGATTGTCCCCATTTTATCCTGATTACCTCTGGAAAGACCATGTGCAGTCACACTCTGAGTTCCTGGGAGTCAGGACCCCAACATATCTTTTTGAGACAACATAACTCAACCTATTACAATAGGATCTAGATCTCAGGCTGCCACTTCTTCAGGAGGTCCAGGCCACTGGTGAAGGGTCAAAGACAAGGGCTTGGAATTTTCCCTGGGCAGGCCCAGTTTGTAAGACAGAGGCAAATGTCTAGGGAGGCTCTGCATGAGGGCAGTTTCCCTGGCCAGGGTAGGTTCTGGCATGCAGGATAGCCCCAACCTGCTGAGGCAGATGGAGGACAGTGGCAGCAGAGGTGCCCCTCTCGTCCCCAGCTAGAAGCCTGTCACCCTGACTCTGCTGGACACATGTGGGACTTGAGATCTGTTTTTCTTCAGACCTGGAGCATGGCTTTTGTCATGGATGGCACCCACCCTTAAAACCTGGCCTGGCTCAAGCACTTTTCTGAGTTCAAAGTGAGTGTGGAAGGCCTGGGACTCCAGAGGGTGGTCCCCTCTGGAATAGAGAAGTCAAGACCCTGCTTCTCCCCAGATGGATAAGCAATTCACACCCAGAAGGTTCACCCCGGTGTGGGTCCATACCCACCCGTGCTCAGTGCTCTCAGAGGCCTCTAGGAGTTTGACGCAGAGGCAAAAAGAAGCCTGGGAAGCTGGACGCGGATGGTTCACACCTATACTCCTAGTTATTCAAGAGGCAGAGATCAGGAAGATTGTAGTTTGAAGCAAGTCTCAGGCAATAGTTCAGGAGACCCTATCTCAAAAAAACCCATCACAAAAAATGGCCAGTGGAGTGGCTCAACTGGTAAGAGCACCTGCCTAAGAAGCACGAGGCCCTGAGTTCAAACCCCAGTGCTGCAAAAAAAAAAAAAAAAAAAGAAGCCTGGGACTGAGCGCTGGATATATGGGACTTATGGTTAGCCAGGGCTAGGGACTCCAGCTCAGGGCTGAGGAAGACTCCACTTGCCCTCTGACCCTACAATCTACCTCTTTCTACCATCTCCTGGCCTTGCCATCCACGGGTTGACTGTGCCTCTCCCTCCTGGTGCTCCTCCTACTGAGTCCTTGGTGGTGGAGGGCTCGCTCTGTAACAAGCACCTGAGTCCCATGCATGTGGGCTCTCTTGCACTCCAGCTTCTGCCCAAGGACAGATGGACAGACTGGCTGCCTAGCCCACAGCTCAGGAGGCTGTGACAACAAAGCCTCATGTGGGCATCTATACCACCACAGGAATTCCAGTAGCTGTTGTCACTGTCACACAAAGGAAGGATCTTGAAACACACTTACTCACCACAGTCTCAAAGTTTTATTATCAACAGCTCACATTCAAGTTCAGATTCCTATGAAGTTTGACTCATCAAGGAGAAGGGAGATGGTAGGAACTAGCCAAGTCTCCTTTGCTGAATGGGCCTTCCCAGAACCCACGATGCCTACCTTGGCAAGTAAGGGGTCTAAGAGCCCCCAGTGCACACACAATCACCCTCTCAAGGACCACTGGCTCTCTAATAAGGCTGTGCTTCTGTTGTAAAAGTGGATTTTTCTTGCTTTTTCCTTGTGCCTGATTCCAAACATGACTATCATTCTGCAGAGCAGGTAAGACTATGGGAACTGAAGCACAATTGTACTCTGTACACCAGGAGAGAAAAGGCCCCACTTCAACAGAAGTATGGCCATGGAAGATTCCTGTCCACCCTGGCCCTTCAGGCGTGGCCTCCCAAGGACCTGCTGGCCATGCCCAGTTGTGGGGGTTAGCTCTGTAGTGTGAACTCATGGGTGGTGGTCTCCCAGCGGGAGGGATCCTTGTCCAGCATACTGCGTTCTGTGAAGGTCACATGGCCATCGGCATCCACAAGGATGATGGTATTGGTTCTGAAAGACAGTATTCCTCCTGCATCCCTTGGCCCCAAGCTGTTACAGCACAGCTAGGGCCAGATCTGAGGCACGAAGGGACAGACCCATCATGCCTGGGACCTGTGCTGAGCACTCAGCTCTGACTTGAGGTGGGACATGACAGCAGCAGTCTCAATCTTGGGGACATATTACAGCTCATCTGGGTTCCATCGCCAGTCCCATAGGACCATACCAGGTGAGCCCTGTCACCTGTACTCTGTAACATCCCCAGCCTATCCTGATTTCCCTTTTTATCAGAGTCCTACCCATCTATCACTCTCACACAGAGCCACCCAAGTGGACCATGCACCTCCCTATTCAGAGCTCCCAGGCACCTGGCCATGTTCAGGTCTTCCAAAAGGTCTAGCACTCAACCACTTGAGGCCTAGTGGACTTGTCCATCTAGAAAACTCCTGCCTGTTCCCTTCCTCCCCCACTGCCTAAGCCAAGTCAGCTGGCCCACCCTAAATACTCAGTGTACCCTCTTCCTCTCCTGCCCAGCCTTCCCCACAGTGGGTTCTTATGTTGAGTTCCCATCTCTTCCAAAACAAGGGTGGGTGGACACACGGACACACACACACACAGAAATGACCAATCTGTAGCTGCCATCTAGGCATTGACTCAGGGGCTCTGAAGTGTCAGTACCAGGCCATCTGCCAGAAGGAATATGGCAACAGGAACATCCCTGATGCCATCTCTGGCTCCCTTATGGTTGTATATTGGCTCCCCGCCAATAGGAGATGGCTCAGGAGCCCCATGTAGGAGACAATGGAAGCTTTAGAGGCCTTGAACCCTGACCTACAGAGCCCCTGGGAGCTGGCAATCATTAATGCACAGCCATTAACTATGGGGTCTGCTCACTCCCTATAGTAAGACAGGGAAGAGGCTCTGAAACCCACTCAGGGAAGAAAGCTGGCCTTGGCCAGCTGTGGAGCGTAGGGAAGCTCAGTTTCATTGCCATCCCTCCAGCCTGGGAAATAGGACACTTGATGGTGTGGCAACAGCAGCCCCAGCCCCTCTGTACCAGGTACCTGGTGCCGTAGTTAGGGCAGCGCACACACACAGCCGCATACTTGCTCAGTATGGGCAGCACATATTCCTGGCCTTGGTCCTCAATAGCTGGATCTGGCAGCTGTCTGGAAGGACAATAGAGATGGTGGTTATCAGTCCGCCGCCTGTCCGTAGCCCTGTGCAGCTGGGGGCTCTTCCTGCCATGCTAATAGCCTTGAGGTTCCTAAGGAGCCCTTGCCTTAGAAGGAAGCTGGGAAGAACCACAAGGGTTGCCCTCTTTTCTGCTTGACACCTCATATCTCTGTGTACCCTTTCACTTACAACTCCATCATTGTGCTTAAGCAGTGAGACAGTATGTACGCTCTCTATCTGCCCCCTAGAGGTGCCCTGTGGGTATCTGTCCACATGATAGATGTCCAGTTGTATTGAGACTTACCAGCCACAACTGGCTCCAGGTCTGTAGTCATTAATAAGTGCATCCAGGGCCCATCACAGGCCTGTCCAGGATGACACAGTGACCAAGAACTATGTATAAGTATGGCTCAGCAAGAGACAGCAGGGTCCCCTAGTGGGGTGGTTGATGCTGAGCCTGAAGGGTGATGTCACGGTTCTGAGGCCCAGAGGACAGGGAGGATGAGCAGGGGCCAGGAAAGAGTCCTAGGGGGCACAGGAGCCTGGGGGCTCCTGAGGGACTGCCTGGAGCGAGCAAGTTGGATGGAATAGGAGGGGACACTGGGTCATCAAGGAAGGAAAGTGGCCCAAGCTGAGTGGGAAGGGGAGGGATGTGTGGGGCTATATGCAAGGTGAAGGCTAGTTTGACAAACACTAGGACCCCTGGCTAGGATTGCCAAGATATAGGAGGCCAGTGTCTGAGGATGCCCCATGCAGAGGCAAAGGGGCAGGGAAGAGGGTGGGAGCTCCTTTCCTCAAGCACAGGTGTATCCATGCCCAGTGCTTAGCCCTATGGTCACTGGAGAAAAGATGTGAACCCTCAGAGCCTGGCTGCTTCCCTCCAGGGTTTGCTTAATACCCGGAACCTTCTAGAATCTTCAGTTAGCCTTCCTCATGCAGAAAGGATCCTCTAGTTTCTCTAGCTCCATGCAAGCCTGTGTCAGATCTCTGAGAACATCGAGCTCCCAAATCACAGGTTCCTGGCTGCACTGTCTTCCATCATCAAAGGCCTTTATTGGAAAGCCCAACTGACTGCCAAAGGGGAGCAGGTAAGGGACGTGGTGATCAGGCTCCCCGGAAACTGAGGAGCCAGCTCTGGTCACCCTCCGCGGGCCTCCTGGCAGGAGAGCCTTCTTCTCTGCCCCAACAAGACCAGCCTACTTACGCCTCCTCATTGTTGAGCACATCCAGGAGCTGAGTGACAAGAGCATCCTTGGGGAGTGCCTGGCTCTGCTCCACCACCTGCAGGAACAGCTGCTTGCCAAAGCACAGCTTCCTCCAGGGCGTCTCCAGCAGCGCGTTGCTTAGCCCATAGGTCCCTGCAGGGAAGGGGTTAGCCTGGCTGTGCTGAGGCCCCACTGTGTGATATCAGGGCAAATGCTTGACCTCCCACCCATCTACCTGGCATAAGGTGAGGTACCAGGGGAGCAGCAGGGGACAGACAGCAAAACTGAACCAGACTGAGGCCAAGCTGCCCACACACTCCAGCACATTCTCTGCACCTATTTCTGACAGGTCTGCACCACGACGGATGATAGATCTAGACTCATATCAGTAGTTAGGGAACCCTAGACAGTGAGCATGGGTGGGGTCTGGGTAGAGTATGGCCTGTCTATTGGCTTGGACCCTGGCTGGGAGAACAGAGGGTCTCTGTGCAAGAACTATAAGCTATAGTTTCTCAAAACAAGGAAGTTCCAGAGTGGTGACAGAGAGATGTGACCAAAAAGAAAGGGGTTTCTTCTGTCACAAAAGTGAGGGGCCCTTTGGAGCCCCTTCTCCAGAGACCCAGGTAGCAAAGGAAGGCAGCTCAGAGCCATGCATTCTGAATGTACCAGGCAAGTCAAATCTGAAGCAGAGATTTGACTCATCTAGAACTGAGTCCCAGAAGACTTGCCCTGGCTCTGCTGAGGCCCCACAGCTAAGTTTCTAGTCCAGATGTCACTGTGTGTTTTCCCTCACAGAGCAACTTGGAAGACCACTCAATAGTGATAAGGAGAATTGGGCAGCCACAGGCAAAGAATGGAGTTGGGCCCTACCTCATGCTGTATGTAGAAATTAACTCAAATTGAACCACAAGACCTAAATGAAAGAGCTAAAACTATGAAACTCTTAGAAGAAAATGTGTGTGTGTGTGTGTGTGTGTGTGTGTGTAAGCTTCGTACCCTTAGATTAGGCAATGATTTATTAGATAAGTCACCAAAAGAGATGAGCCAGAATGCTCCTTCCCAGGATCAGAACCACCCAGAACCTCACTGTTAGCTAGGCATCACCCAGCTCTTGGGAGCTCAGCTGGTTGTGCTCTGCCCTCTCCCCACTCTGGGCTCTATCCAAGATGGGAAAGGGAAGCCAGCATCATAGAAGGCAGTCAGGGTTCTGCTGCAGCTAACAGACAACAGGCCATGTAAGCAAAAGGTGCCAATAAGGTGTATGCAAGGTAGCAAGCAGGACATACTAGAAGCCACCCTCCATGTGTGCGGAGAAGACCTCACTGGCCCAGAGTGTGCCAGCCTGAACATCATCCTGGGGGTGAGGAGTTACTCTGGAGCTACTGGGCCCTATGGCTACAATGTCCCTGGATGACACAGGAAGCTGGAAGCCAAATTCACAGTATGCATCAGTGTGAGTGTGAGTGCTGCTGTGAACCAGGCAGGGACCACAGTATTCCTAATGGGCCCTGAAGCTCTGTCAGATCCTGAAATGCAGGCAGGGTGGGTCACTTAGCTGTCCTAGAGGTACTTGCCACTTCCCATGGGCCCCACCTAAAACTTAGGATTTTAGATCCACTACTGGTTCTCAGTAAGAAGGAGTAACCTGTGTCCTGCAATACTTGGTGACTGGTACCAACTGCAGAGAAAGTGCCTATGACTTGGTGATGCAGGAACCGTGCTGCAAAGGAGCACTGTCACACAGCAAGGGTATGGGTGCTGCTGAATGCACTGACACTTTCTCCAGGGACTGGGGCACCTAGCATGGACCAACAGCTGAGGCGTAGGGACCAGAGCAGGTGTCTAAGGCCTCTAGTCCTGAGATGCCATCAGCAAAGACTAGCCATGGCAGTGAGTCGGGGAGGGAGGAAGCAGGCCCTGAGCCCAGGCTCTAGTCCCAGAAGGTTTGTTTACCAGGTGTGCTATGGTAGACCTCATTTGTACTCTTTCCCAGGGGTTCCTGCTCTGTCCTGGCCCAGACTTGGGACAAGACATAGACTTCAACTTCTTTCATCCCAAACTGGCTCACAGAGAGGGGCAATGTGACACTCTGCCCAGACTGGGGGTAAGGAGGCTGGCAAAGGAATCTTCCAGAAAATCACATCACCTGAAGGGAGGAGATAGCAGGGCCTAGATGCAGAAGGCACAGCCTGGACAAATATATAGTGAAAGGAAGGAGGGAGTCCAGGAAAAATGGGAGGACATGGGCCAGGCATGGGACCTAGGGGAAAAGAGGCACACATTTGCAAGGGCTAGAATGTGGTGTGTATGTTTATTAGGAAGTAGACCTAGGGAGGCTCCCGTGTGATGATATTCCCAAAGGCTCAGAGAAGGGATAGGAAGAGACAAGGCTGCAGGGTGGGGCTAAGGTAGAAAGTCCAGAACAGGTTAAAGTCTCACTCTGCAGGAAGAGCCCATGGGAAGGGGGCAGGGAGAATATGAGGCTCTCTTGAGGGCAGGTCTAGGACCCAATCCTGTACAGATCACCTAAGATGCACAAATGGCCAAAAAGTACAGTCCCAGGAAAGTAATACAACAGGGGCTTGCCCTCTGAAAAGCACTCATTATGTCTCCTACATAGGAGCAGCCTCTCACCCTGCTGAGCTTCCAGAGAAGGCTCACCTGGTGTCAGGATGATGGGCTCTGGTTCCCCCCGGTTTCCATAGTAGCAAACAACATCTCCTTTTTCTGTGCTGCAAATGGAAGAGAGAGAAGGTCAGATGGAGCCACAGGCATCCTGCGCCTAAGCAATGCCCAGTGATCTCATGGCCCTGAGCCCTGGCTGGTGGCCAGCACAAGGACAAGAGTCCCTTTCAGCCAGACTGGAGGCATGAAAGGCTGGGTCATGGGGACCCCAGCTCATGTCTGGCATCACAGGGACATTCCTGGGTCACCTGGGGAACCACCTGCCGGGGAAGTAGCAACATGTGAAAGATCCTCCTGCTTTACTGAATGCTACAAGGTGTGAACACATGGTGATTGCCACAGGCCTGAGCCTCGCCCCAATGAACACTGGCCCCTTTTGTCAGGCAATAGCCTCCATGGCTCATCTCCAAGTACTTTTTTGGGTGGCCTCAGAGTGAAGTAGGATTCTGAATAAAGACCACATTTTCCTACTTTTTCATATGCTGAGTGTACATTTTACAATAGTTGAAATGCTCTACTACTGAAGATGCCCCACTTCCTCGATACTGAGGTCTTTGTGCTGGAACTTGGAATGCATTTTTTTAAGAGGGATTCTGTGACCTATGAGACACCTCCCAAGGTCAGACACCAGGCAAGGAGAACTGTGTCTTCAAGGTGGACAAACAAAGGGGAGGGTTTGGAACCTGGAGAGACCTGCTCTTCCTCCTACTCCATGCTTCCACCAGGCAAGACCCACCACTGGTTTCCAGAGTCCCCATTTGTGTTGACATTCCTTTCACATTCTTCCTCACCATAGACCTTGGCAACTTTCTTTTCTTTGTGGTGCTGGGGTTTGAACTCAGGCCTACACTTTGAGCCACTCCACCAGCCCTTTTTTGTGATGGGTTTATTTGAGATAGGGTCTCATGAACTATTTGCTCAGGGCTGGCTTCACACCGAAATCCTCCTGATTTCTGTCTTCTGAGTAGCTAGGATTACAGGCATGAGCCACTGGCACTCAGCCCTTGGCAACTTTCTTAAGATGTCTGGCTAATGAGTTCAGAGGTTGTTTACAAGCAAAAAGCAATTTTGAACTTTTTGTGGAAAGAGTTGTCACGAGTCAGACAAAGGCAAGGCCTGACCCAGCAGGTCAAGTCTCTCTCCCTTCCAGGCATTTGGTTTCATTTGTATATACCAGCAAGGCTGCTCTATGACCTCTGACAGCGGTTCTCCTCCAGCCTCCGCCCTGGCATCAGCTGCTGCTTGACCTATGAGATGCTCTTCTGACCACTGCCTGCCCTCGGGCTGTATTCAGGCTAGCAGGCCCTGACTCTGCAGTCTCCAGGAACCAGGAAATCTTCTCAGATTCCCAGAGGCCCAACTGCAGAAACCACCCGCTCAAGCCTGCCCATGCCTGCTCATGCATCCACTCAAAGCCTAACACCCTTGTCCCCCAGTCACTCAGTCACAGCTACTGAGCACCCAGTCCTGCCAGCATCACAGTGACTGGTCTGGTTCCCTGAGGCTGGGTCAGACACATATGGAACCACTGATACTGCAAAGTGGCCTCCAAGTTTGGGAAGCAGAGAGAACATAGGGACGTGGCCTCCAGGAGCCCCTGAGAGGTGAGAAGGGAGGAGAGCTCCAGGCAGCAAGTGTGATTGCTAGCTCCCATCCTGGGCCCTCCTCCAGTGGGCCACTGTGGCTCACTCAGCTTCCTGAGTAAGGTAACCTCTCCATGCATGCATGGGTAGGACAAAGTGTGCCACCTGCAATGGATGCTCAAGGCACAGTGGGCTTAGGGCTGTCAGACGCAGAGGCCTGTGGACCTGGTCTGTGGAAGGAGGCACCTCAGGATAGAAATCTGGGCATAGATTGCCCATAGGATGCTAACTACCTCTCGATCCTGCTGATAGGAAAGGAAGCCCCTGGGCTAACTAATAGCATGCACTGACTTCTGGGCATTGGAAGGGGAAGGATGGGGATCCAGAAGGCGGGGAGGGTAAAAGGAAAGGAGGGAAGCTCAGGTCACTGAAAGGCCAAACATAAAACCTCTGTAGTTCCTGAGTCCCAAAGTCACCTGGGAACTCAGCCCTTGGTCATGACTGCCACCAGCTATTTTGCAGAGCATCCTAATGGGAGGGGAGTGGATACCACCTCACACAGGCCACCCTTCATAGCCCCAGCACCTCCAACCCCCCCACACACACACTGCAGCTCTCTCAAGCGAAGCAGGGACTCAGCCACCCTCACACTGTCCCAGCAAGCTTTCCAGTTCCCAAGTTGGTGGGTCTGAGACAGGCTAGGTCTTTCAGATGCTTGCCAAGTCCACCAGAAGCAACAACCTGGGAAAAGCTACAAAGCTGATTGGTGAGGTGGAACCCTGCTTGCTAATAAGCTGGAGACCTGGCCTCCAAGGACGTGCTGGCTAGGGCTGCCATCCATCTCCTGGCAGACCCACCTCAGGTCGGCTGCTATGAGGTTGAATCCGTTGTACAGGTGACCCTCTGTGGAGACCTTCTTCAGGTAGGACAAGCTATCCATGTCAGTGGTCAGAAAGTGGGTCACAAGTTCACCTGTGGGTAGGGGACAGACACCCATAGCCAAGGCAGAAGATATGAGTCTCTCTCCCTGAGAAGACTGGAGTAGGACCCTCTAGGAGGATGCAGGCAAAAAAGGGGTCCCACTAGGGCCCCAGCTTCTGGAGTTGGCCACACCTCACTGACTGGGCCATCAAGGAGGATGACACTAAGAATTCTGATTTTTTTTTTTTTTTCTGGTACTGGGGTTTGAATTCAGAACCTATACCTTGAGCCACCCCACCAGCCCTTTTTTGTGATGGGTTTTTGGGTTTTTTTTTTTGAGACAGGGTCTCATGAACTATTTGCCTGGGCTGACTTCAAACCATGATCCTCCTTATCTCTGCCTCTGAGTAGCTAGGATTACAAGTGTGAGTCACCAGCGCCTGGCAAGAATTCTGGTTTTATTTTTTGTTTGTTTGTTTTTTTTTCTAGGTAGGAGATATAGATCAGTGGCAGAGTGCTTGCCTAGCTTGCCTGAGGCCTTTGGGTTCATTCCCCAGCACAGCCAAAAAATATATTCCACCTTTATATGAAAATCCAACATGAAGGAAAAAAATCTTCACTGAGGACAATATTTGTTCACAGAGATGTTCTCTGGGAGTAAATAGGGGACAACGACACAGCAGTCAGAAGTGTCACTTGGGGAATGACAAGCTTGGAGCTCATTCTCAGAGATAACCTCTATACCTCTACTACCAAGGGGAACAGACCAAGGGTGGCTCCCACAGTGATTCCTGGCCCACCCCTTCTCAGCTCCTCCTCAGGTCTCTGCCATGTGCTCCTGAGGTAGATCAAGGTGGATTGGGTGTAAAGCAGAGCCTCCTGCTTCTGTTCCCATCACATACCTAGGCCCTGTCCCACCTCAGCCCCTCCCTGATGGGCCTTGGCTCCACCCTATCTAGGCCTGAGTCCCCATCCACCCACCATACCTCTGCCACGGGCCTCCTGGTCCTGCTGTGGTTGCAGATAGTTGGTGAGTGCTCCCAACTTTCCCCTCGTGCTGATGCCCAGCCATGTGCCTCCTTCCCTGCCTTCTTCCATGTCAAGTCCTGCACCAGGCAACAGACAGCATTACCACCACCAAAGATCACCATAATGGGTTTTGGCCCGGCTCTGGTTCCCAGGCCAGTTTTCCCTGGGGAGAAGCATGTTACACAGCTAGAGAGATAGGCAGCTTGGCTTAGTAGGGACAGGGGCTCTAATTCTTCAAAGTAAGCAGCCCCTAAGGTATGCAAGGTGGGCAGGTGATATTCCCACCTCACCACAACACTTGCACCAACCACACTCAGCCCAATACCAGCAGGGGACCCTGAAATCCACAGGGCTCTGCAGATGGCTTCTACAGAACACATCTCGCACTTGAGCCAGGGTTGGGGGTTGGGAGACAGTGCTAGCTTCCTTGCAGTCACCACTCCCACAGCCTCTGGCTAAAAAGGATTATCTGCTTGTTTATTTGTTTATATCAAGGTCTTGTTATATTGCCCAGGTCTTGGGCTCAAGTGATCCTTCCTGCCACACTCAGCCTCCAAGCAGCTGGGGTTACAGGTATTCAGCCCTGCGCTGCCAGGTCTAAAAGGACAGTAATTGTAGGGTCGATCTACTTTATATACGTGTATGAAAATAGGACAATGAAACCTATTTAAGTAGGAGACTGGAGGATGAGGGAGAGTGATGGTGGGGGCGAACCTAACTAAAGTGCATTATGCATATATGGAAAAGTCACAATGAACCTCCCCCATGTAAACTAATATATGGCAATAACATGTTGAATTTTTAAAAAGGACAGTAATTGAGACAGTGTGGTGCTGGCATCAAGACAGCCCAGAATAGACCCATGCATATATGTCCAACTGATTTACAACCCAAGTTGCTATAGTAATATAGTAGGCAAAAGAATATCCATTTAATAAATAATGCTAGAACAACTAGAGATGGAGTAAGGAATGAAATTCAACCCTTATCTCACACCATGGACAAAAATTAATTTGAGCTAAATCATAGATCAGGGCATAGATCCCCCAAATCAGAAGGCTTTAACAGAAGGAAATATCATTATGACCTTAGGGGTACAAAGGCTTCTTGGATAAGACACAAAAAGAACAAACCATAAAAGAATAGATAAACTGCATTTTGTTTATTAAAATATTTGGCTCACCAAAAGATATCATTAAGGAAATGAATAGGCAGTCAATTTATCCAACAAAGGACTCATCCAGAATGCACAAGCAAATCCTACAAATCAATAATTAAAAAATGAATGAGATTGTACTAACTGGCCAAGCAACAGTGTCCAGATTTTCTCTCCTGCATAAAACAACCAAAAAATAACAAAATATGTGGGAAATGGGTTTTAAGACAAAAGGATCTGAATCCTTAGGATTCACCATGGGAAGGTGGGGACCCAAGCAGAGGCCAACAGATTCCCTGAGCTAAGGATAGGAGTTGAGAGTCCAGGGAGACCAAGGCAGTCAGAGTTCATGGGACAAAAGACGACAGAGGAGAAAGCCACAGTCAGAGATCTGATCAGTACATGTGTGTAAGGAAACTGAGGCTGGGAAAGAACCACCTAGAAGGATTAGAGGGACAGCACTTACGCAGGGTGGTGAATAGTGGCTCCCAGGAGCCAGATTGGAAAAAGCACATAATTCCTGGGACACTGGTTAAGTACTGAGAAAAATAACACATGCCTCAGGAGCTGAGAATAATTTGCCCTAGATTGGGCACAGTTCCTCAACCACCTAACAAATCCTAAGCAGAGGAATGAATGAATCAATCTCTTAACAACTCATGTGTTAGAGTTGTGGCTCAAGTGGTAGAGAGCCTGCTTTCCAAGTGCAAAGCCCTGAGTTCAAACAAAAAAACTCATGTACATCTAGAACAAAGTTCAATGATAGTATTTCTAGGAATACAATACAAAATGCACCACCACACAAGCCTTTGCTGTAAATTTAGCCCACTAACACTGGAGCAATGAGTGCACAAGTAGAAACATGAATGCAGATACATAAATACACAAGTAAATGCACTCCAACTAGAATGCCTTACAAAGTGACCAAGTGATGTGGCCACAAAATGCAGGGATCCCATGGCTCATGAAGCCATGGTAACAATGCTGGGTGGACAGTTCTAGGGGATGCTCAGTGCTGGGGGGAGGGCTAACCAGTGCTGACCTTGACCCCAAGGCCCATCCATGTCCACTCATACATTCAGCATTTACACTTGGAAGCAGACTACTAGCTAGCATCATTATGAAACTTGTACTTTCTTGCCTCCCCAGGGGTACAGGTGATACCATGCTGAATGGCTACTGACCAGGTGTGGAAAAAACTTACCACTAAGGATCTCATTGTTGTTCCCCCAGAAGTCTGCCAACTTGGCTGGTCTGTGGTAGAATTCATCCCTGTTGGCAGCCAGGATAAGCCTGGGAGAAGAAAGCATGATGGGTCTTCTCAGATGGAAACAGAAAAGCCATGTTCTAGGGACTGAACTTAGCATATGCTCTGAGCTACACACCCCAGACTTTCTCTTGTTAACATATAAAATGTACAGCAGTAGCAACATGGGCAAGTCCCAAAGAGGACAGGAAACCACCAGTCCTTGCCACACCCACACTGGAGGAAGGTCCACAGTGGCTCCACGCAGCTCCCAGGGAGACCGTGCCCACACAGGCAAGTGCTGTACAGAGAGGCTCAGCACTATGAGACAGGTCTGCTTCATGCTACACAATCCGCACTCAACCCAAATAGGGCCAAACCAGCAGCAGACCAGGGGCTGGGCAAGTAAGGATGCTGAGTGGTACCACCAAGCACACCCTATGAGCCCAGGCTGGAGGGTGGGGCACTGTCCCTCCTGCCTAACTAACCATTCCCTGACAACACTCATGCAAGTCTGTGAGATTCCTGGAAATGTAAGCACCCTACCAAAAAGACTTTAAGGACACACACTGAGCACCAGCAGTACACAGGGCCTGCTATCCTGTTTTGTGGAGCCTCGCAGCCTTCAGTAGTCACTCTTTGTCCCATCCACACAGCTGGCTCTAGGGCTGCAGCATGGAGCCACCCAGGATGGAGAGAGGATGGCTGTCCCTGATACAAGTCTAAGTCAATTATAGAATAATTCTCTGTACTTCCAACTGCCATGTTCCAACTTGGACCCCAGCCTGTGTCTCCCACCATCTTTGCTCTGTTCCTTCTGGAAGGAGGTACCCCTACTTATGCAGCAGGGACAGCAGCAGTGCCCACCTTCTCTGGTCCCGAGACTCATCCTGGTGGCACCATTTTGACAGGAAATGCACCATCCCTAGGCAAGCACAGGCCATTCCATGCATCAGCCATGGCCTGGATGGTGTTCAGGAGAGGCAGAGATCCCCAAGTGGGAAGAGGCAACAAACTGCAGTGAAGATACACCAGGTATAAGCTGAAAGACCCTACTGCCCCAGGAGTAGGGTCAACTTCCACAGGGTCCTGTTCTGCTGTTCTCTCTTAAACACCAATGCTCTTTTTGTTTTCACTGCCTGGGCCCCTCAGAGTGAGTGGGGGAGAGTGAAGCTGAAAGCTCCTGCTCACTAAGCCCAGCACTCCCAGGGTCCATGGCTGATGAGTTCTGCTGCCCAAAGTCAGGCTGGGGCTGTCAGCTTCATGGGCTGCTTCTTATGTAATGCTCCAGCAAAGGAAAAAGTGGGAGAAAAAAAAAAAAAAAAAGAAAACGAGAAGAAAAGCTGACTAAGCAGTTCAAAAGATGTTCAACTGCTTATTTTTAAACAAGGAATGTGTTTGCGTAATAACTCATGAACGTTAATTACTGGGGTTATTTTTATCATAGGAGTCACTGTTCAGTTGGAATCGCTAGTGGTTTGCTAGGGATTTCATTAAAGACATAATTCAGAGATGAGTAGGCTGGAGGAGTACCCACATCAAGTCCCAGATGAGAGGAGGCAGTAATTCCCTCAGTCACCACTTGGGGCTACAGTGCCTAACATCCAGGGAGCTAGAAAGCTGACAACCACTGCCCCCTCCTACCCAAACCCCCAGGAGGGGCTCTGAGGATCGGAAGTCATCCACTGCCTTTGTTTTGTTATATAAACTGAAATTACTGATTACCCACCACCACCAGGCACTCCTCACACTGCTGAGGGGTGAGTGTGCCCAATGACTAGGGGCTGACCATGTGCGAACTCTGAGTATGTGCACTGTCCTGAGGGCCAGGCATGTGTAACATCTGGGGGTGAGCAGGTGTATCATTTGGGGGCTGAATCAGTCACCATCAGGGGGTGGTTTGGCAGCAGTGAGCCACAGAATAGCTGCCATGAGGGATAACAGCTTGTCTAGCAGCCGCTCCAGGTTACAACCAGGAAGGGACATCAGCATGGAAGGGTAAAAACATTTCTGAAAAAGATGGGGGTTGTGCGACAATGTGATGTGTTATCCTGCTGGAGGGTCTTGGTTTTCTGTGATGGGTACCAAATTACTACAACATAGTGGCTTAAAGCAACCAATGGTGATCATATTCTGAAAGACTCCACCAGCTCTCTTTGTGTTGAGATAGGATCTTGTGAACTATTTGCCTGGGGCTGGCTTTGAACCACAGTCCTCCTGATCTCTGCCTCTTGAGTAGCTAGGATTACAGGTATGAGCCAAGTATTACAGGAATGGTGCCTGGCAGGGATTTCTATTTTGAACTTTTGTGGTTTCAGTATCTGAGATTGTTATCTTTTGGGATTATGGCCTCAGTCCATGGGATCCTAAGCTGGCCTCTGCTCAGGATCCCAGGGCTGCAATTGAGTTGACAGCTGGGGACTCCATGAAGGGTCTACACCACCAGCCTGCAGCCTGCCATTCTTGCCAGACACCCCTAGAGCTAGAATGGAAGTGGCCACTAGAAGCTCCTCTGCACTCCTCCCACAGGGTTAGGAAAACATGGTGCATATTTACTTAGTCACCCAGGGGGCAGCTGATTTAGTCTTTGGCTTAAGCCTTTAGAAAATGTACGTGGGAAATGCTGAGGCCTCCTGGAATAGGAAGACCCACAAGGAAAGATCTTGGCAAGTGATGCACATACTCAAAATGTAAGATTCGTGTCCGGTGTCCTGTAAACTGGCACAAGAGCATCCTCCTGGAAGTGGGAGGATCCAAGTGCAGGGAAAGTATCCTGGGGCAACCTGGACCCTACGATAAATTAGTTTCCCAGAGCTGCCATAACAGATCATCATAGGTAGTAATTTATTGTCTTGTAGTACTGGAGGCTGCAAGTCCACCATCAAGGTGTCGGCAGGATTGGTTTTTTCTGAGGGTCTCTCTCTTAGGTATCTTCTATCTCTGTGTTCACACGGCATCCCTCTGTGTGTATCTGTATCCTAATCTCTTCTCATAAATACACCCGTCACTTCAAATCAGGGCCCGTCCACCTAGATTCATTTTATCCTACTCGCTTCTTTAAAAGTTTATTTCCAAATACATTCACAAACTGGTGTACTGGCAGTTAGGATTTCAACACAGGAATGTGACAAGGATAGAGTTCAGCCCATAACACCATGCAACTGTTGGTGACCCTTGTCAGAAGTCTGTCCTATTTCTGGTACGGCTTCAAACCCAAAGGGACTGCCTCTCTACTTCACTTAGAGCCAGCTGTGATAGCCACAATGTAAGCCCTGGGGATGAAGCCTGGTTTTGTGATTGATATTTTCAAGTGATGTTATTTTGGCCTGTTTCCTGATTACCCTATTGTTGCTAAATTGCTGAAGGGATATATTGAAGGAAGACAATCCCCAGAAGTCTCAGGTGGTGAATGGGAAGGCCCTGAGTCTGTCCCTGACCACCAGGATTGGCTGGAAGCAGGATGCCTCCTACAGGCAACCAGGTAGACAGAATGCACATGGGTAGCATTAGGTTCCACATCTGACAGGAACAGCCAGAGTAAAGCTGTAGCCACCAAACCACCTAGGCTAGGCAGAGCATTTGGACTACCCCCAGACAAAGACTTATGAGCAGCTGAGGGTGGTGGATGAAGGAAACCAGCCACCAGCCGATGACAGGAACAAGGATGGTGTTTGCACAGTCCTTCTTTCCCTTTTCCTTTTTTTGTTTTTGAGAAAGGTTTCACTTATGTTGCCCAGGCTAGCCTTGAATTCATGATCCTCCTGAGTAGCTGGGATTACCAACGTACACCACTACATTTGGCTTGCACAGTTCCTTACTGTCTAGTTTCATGTGTTGTTTATACTTGCCAATTTCTTCTCTCTCTTTCTTCCCATTTTTTACTTTACATGCAGATGGTCTTTGGGGAACAAAATATTAAGTGGGGCTCTGCTAAAGTTGGGAGTACAAATATCTCCAATGACTGACTCAGGGACCATTAGGCTGTGTTGCCTCATTTGCAAACTTCTTCACTTATCAACTCGAAATGCAGAGTTGGTTCACTGGTGCCCAGGAGTTCAAATGAGTTTGGGAGGGTGCACATGAAAGCCGAGGAGCCAAAGGGGTGGGCTGTATCAGTTATTAATTTATTACACTGTAGGTCCAAATTCATCCTTCACTGCCTGGTCTGTGAGAATGGGGCTGAACTTTGCAGCCCCAATAGGTTTTTATCAGTAGAGGAGGCTGGGAGGAAGACTGGCTTTTTTCCTGGCCCAGGATGCTTTCTGAGGAGGTTCCTGCAATCCATGTAGCTTCTGCAGGTTCTAGTTCCTGCATTGCACAGTTGCACATGGTATGCAGAGGCCAGTACCTCAGCCTAGCATCTGCCTCATGACAGTTACCCTAGAAGGCAGATTTCTACCAAGTTCAGCCAAGATGGCAGAGACTTCTTGGGCATCCAGTGGCTCACAGCCATGCTCCCTCTGGCAAGGCATGGATCTCAATCTGGGGATGAAGGAGAGGGCTCTGTCCTGGGCACCGCATCTGAGTCCCCACCCCATCCCTCATATCTGTAATTCTTATATTCTTGAAAGTTCTGTTCACTTCTCACCAGCCAGTTCCTTACTTTTTAGGTCCCCTGTTATGGTTAGTAGCTCTATATATTACGCTCTCCCTGCAGAATTCTGTCTGTAGGTTGGACCCTGACTCACTGCAAGATAAGCACTCTGCTAGGGGCTGTAAGAACCTAGTTGAAATGATTCATATCATTTTGGATGCACCTTTTAAAGTGATAGAAACTTCCCAGGCAATTGCATGAGAGTGCTTTTGATTGTCATTCTTGATTATTGGTTAAATCTCTGCCTCTTCCTGTATGTGGACAGATGCTGGCATGTCCTGGGAATGGAAAGGCCTCCATCCTGAGCCCACAGTTCGGGGAGAGTATGGAGAGTTGGCTTCTGGATCACCCTTCCTTGGCCCTTGTCTTCCACCTCCTTAGCTGGTCCTCCAGCTTCTCCTCCAACCAGTCCTCATTCTTCAGGTTGAGGTCCCAGACCTTTGGATGCTACTGCCACTACACAGTTTTCTCACCAGCACCTTGTCCATCAGGGTCTTGCTCATGGTCACCCCTGCCCCAATTCTGCTGCCCTGACCCTGATCAGAGCCCTCAGAGTTGCACCCTCCAGCCTGGATCTACTCTGCTTCTCTGCCCTGCCCATGCAGCTCAGTGGGTTTACATCTTTGTACATCAACTCTGAGCCCATGCCACAAGAGAAGCATCCTGCCAGCACCCCATAAGAAAGAACCACTGGGAGCTCATCCCCTGGCCTCCTGCCATTTAGGTCCTGGCACACACACCCTGTGGCCTGTCCTTGCCCCTCCCTCTCTTACCAAGTGGGTAAGAACCAGCCGGGCATACTAGGCCCACCAAAGCCTGGCAGATACAGAACAAGGGTGTTACCTGTATGCATTTTTGGAAACAGGGTGAGGATCAAATGTAAAGAAGATGATGCACATGAGTTGTGAGGGCAGCTTTGCTCAAGTGAGGTCACGAGGTCTGTGGGAAAAGGAAACAGTGAATTGAGCAGACAGTAAATGACAGAAGGGCCTTGCTGAGCCTCCAAAGGCCCAAGACCCAGAACAAGCCACCAGTGGGCAGGACTGGATAAGTGAGAATCAGCTGCCCACCACAAACATCCCCTTTACCTGTGCATTTATCAGCACCAGTCTATACTCTGCTACCCATAATGCTCACTTGCCCTGGACACAGCCCACAGAGGTGGTGAAGGGGTGCTGGAGAGGGTGGCAGCAAGAACAGGAATCACGTACATAGCTGGAGGTCAGGGGGTAGCAAATCCTCCCCTGCATGGACACCAACTCCTCCCCACAAGCTCAGGGAGATGCCTTCATTTTAACCCAGGGTACCCCAATGCGGGACGTCACGCCCCACTCACCTGGGTGTACTCTGCAGCATGTGTTCCCGGAGGCCTTCATCCATTACATATGCCCACCACCCTGCGGGACCCGAGAGCCCTATCCACCCATACCAGTAGGTAGGGACACATGCTGACGATGTGCACACCCCCTGTGCCCATGAACCCTGTGCCCCAGGGGGCCTCTGGGCCCGGCAGGCATCTCCCACAACATTTTCCAGTTCTTATAAACTGAGATTAGATCTTGATGCCACCAATCCTGGAAAGGTGACTTGAAGGTCCCTGAAATATGCATGTGTGCAATGGTTTAGTGACACAGCTTCAGGGCACAGCCAGCATCCACTGCCAAGACATGAGCAGCCAAGAAGTTGTTCCAATACTGAAGCGAGCCAAAGAGACCTTTAAGAAAAGTCTAATGAATTGGGTGTATGTGAGGGTGGGGGGAGGGGGTTGCAGTTAGTGTATGTACATAGATATGATTCTGCCAAGGAGTGTAAGTGCATGGATACATCTCTGAATGTAACTTTGTACATGTGTGCATGTATCTGTGTGTTCACATGTGTAAGTGTGCACAGTATCTGAATACAGTGTGTGAATGCATGTTGTGAGCATCTATATATCTAAAGGAGGCCACTGAGGTCCAAGAGCACTGTCAGAGGGTACCCTAACAGAGTAGGCTATGCACTATCTCAGGGAATCCTGGGGGTCAAGAAAGACTTGGAGCACCCTCAGAGTTGGGGAAAGTCTCTGCAGTGGCCTTGGTGCTAGAGGCCAATCAGGCATTGCCAAGTAGAGCTTAGGTTCCTCTCCAGGAGGCAGCACGCCTATAAGGTGGGTCGGTGTGTCAAGCCCTTGCTAGGTAAGGTGCCCAGGCCCTGTCAATTCTGGCTCCATGTCTCAACAGGTCATGGCACTCCTGCCCCTTTGCTCTAGGACTCCAAGCAGTCATGCAGTGCAGTGTCCTGGCAAGGGTCCCTAAAGCCCTCCTGTGGGTGTACAAGCAGCCATCATGGACTGGGGAAGGCTATGTCTCACTGTTTCAGGTCAGGAGTCCCCAACAGGCACCACGGGTCTGGGGACAGAGAGAGCTCTTGACTGACATGGGAAGCACTGATTCTTGGATCTCTGAATGAAACCTTTGCAGAAAGTCCCTCAGTATGCACAAAACAAGGGCATTTCCACTGCACCAATCCCACCATCAAAGCTGCAGCCAGTGCTACACTGTGATGCTAGGGGCTTGGGCCACAGCCTGCAGTGGTACAACCTGGGCTCAGAGCCACAGGGAAGCTGCCAAGCTAATGGGGCCTTCCAATGGACAATACCATGATGTCCACCACTCACTGGATACATGCCATCCAAGAATGCTTGTCTACTACTGTCCTTGCCAGCTCCCACAGGCTGCACATGAGGACGGAGAAATCAGGGCCACCTAGCCTTGGAAGGATCCGCCTCCCCCATGAGAAAGCCTTGGGTGTTCCTCCACCTACTTACCTATCTCTTCTTCCTGGCCTCTGCTCTGTGCTAGGCCCCCACAAATGGCATCAGTGATGGTCACCTATCCCCAATCCCCCGCCCTAGGAAGGAGCTGGGTGCTGTTCAGATGAGGCATTGCCATAGTAAGGAGACCCATCTGCAGAAGCACAGGGAGATGGGCTACTGACCACTGCCCCTTGCAAGATGGTGAGCTAAAGGAAAGCTTAATAATGCACAAGGACCATGTGTGAAAGACGTCAGGAGTAGACTGGGTCCCCTCCCTGGGTACCCTGGCAGTGCCAGCCAGGGGCCATATACCAGGAGTAACTTATCACGTACAAATGGTGGGCATGCTATTTGGACAATCCTTTTAGTAAAACTAAATCAAAATGCTTGAAAAAACATAAAACCATCTGAAAACCAGCCAAGAGCTGACGAGGACACCCAGGATCTGGCCTACATCTCAGAGAATGCAGGGACCCAGAGAGAAAGGCAGGACGTGGAGGCTGTTTCTGCCCAGAATGTCTGCCCATCAGGGCAAACTGGGGCTTAGGCTCTGGTGCACTCATGGAAGAGGAACACAGAAGACAAGGCTCAGGGCCCCCACCAAGATGGCCCAAGTTAGGCTGAGACCCCAGCTATACGCATAGTCACCTCCAGTGGCTTTGGTGGGGACACTGTGCAAACATGGAGAGAAAGTCCTTGAGAAGTTGTGACAGAGTCAGCCTTCTGTGGACCAGAATCAGGTCCACAACCCTCAAATTAGATCCAGGGACCCTCAAACTGGTAGTACCCTTGGGTACAAAGAAATAGATTCACAAAAAGATCATAAATTAACCACACTCCAATTCCAGATAAACAAAAGTATCTGGAAAATATTTGCAGATAAAGAAAGTGATGGACATTAAACCAGAAAGTTTACAAAGCACAGAAAGGGAACTTTTAGGAAGTTCTTTGAAAAATGACAGGTATAAAAATCACAACTTAAAACTCAGCATATTTTTTAAATTAAAAAAATTTTTTTGGTGTGAAGCATTGAACAGCAGTGGACTCAAGAGCAGACTGACTCAGCTAATGAGCTGGACCAGAAGAATCATCCAGAAGGCAGTGTGTGGCTCCAGGTATACCTCCTATGGGAGATCCCATAGGAGGTCTATGGATGGGAGATCCTAGCAGCCACCAGATGCCCAGAAGATACAAGTGCCCTTACCTGGGGAGTCAGTCTTTCCCACACATGAGAACCTGTCAAGTTGTGATTTCTAGGAGAAGCCCTGATAACCAGTCCCTGCTGGAATCCCATTGGCCAGGGTTAAATGCCCATGGAGACAGCTACTCTGAGGGATGCCCACCAGGAACATGTGTATAGGAGAAGGATGCCAGCACTCTTGGCTTTGGCCTACTTTGGCCTTCCCTGGCTGCATGCCCAGCTGCTAGGCAGGGCCACCAACAGGGGCTGCTCTGACCACCACTGGCTAGGCCAGACTGAAGCCCAGTTCAGTTGCAGGACCCTGCCATCCTAGCTGACTCAGATGGGAAGCAGACCATCCCTCCAGATAGCAGTGGTGAGAGGGCTTCATGGTCCATGGGAAAACCATTGATGGGTCTCCAGGCAGCCTGGTGCTGGAGCTGTTGGCACAGAACCCAGGGCTGTGGCCTCGATGAAGACGCAGTCATTGGGAGGGAAGGACCAGAGGAAAGCCAGCCCCTGGGGAGGGGACCATCAGGAACTGCCTTTCTCTCCAATCCCTCACCCCCCCCACTCAAGCCAGGCCCACTGCCCACTGGCCCCTCCATCTGGATCTGGCTAGGAGGCCACCTCCCAGCCTTCCTCATTTCACCTCCCACACTGTAGCCCCCTCCTCACCTAGGCCTCAGATTCTCCCTTAGCAAACTCCTAGCAGGTATCCATTGTCCTCTTCCCCCCAGAGCCCTCCTGAGGGTCTGGCAAAGTCCACCCTGACACCATGCATGCTGGGCCATCTTCTCACTCCTGCAGACCTACCAGGCTCTGAGAGCAAGCCCCGGTCATTGTACTACATGCTTGGCAGGCAGGCACATGGGTAGCCAGAACCACCCCATGGGACAAACTCTCACTGCTGTGCACCTGCCTGCTTGCTACTCAGGGCCACTTTCCACAGCTTCCATGGCCATCAGAGTCCATGGGACCACAGATGAGGCTAGGACTCATCCTCAGGGGCATCTATATGTGCTACGAGGATTTCACCTTAAAGGACACCTAATCTGGGCAGAAACAAGCCTAACTTTTTCTGGCAAAACTGCCACCCTGCCTGGTCCCACCTCTGGCCAACACATGGGCACGTCCTTGGCAGCCTGAAAAAGTCACAGAGTAGTCAAGACCATATAGGATTATGGGATCACCACTGAGGCCCAGATGGCCACAGACAAAACAAGGTGAGAGAAGACAGAGAAAGAGGCAGGCAAAAGAAGCCTTGCCCACAGGCCTTGGGAGCCTAGCCTGTGGCACCTGAGTGTCTGTAAGAAGCCCTGTCTTATTCTGCATCTTATTACCCACACATTGCCTGCCCCAGATGTCCAAGGAGGCCACAATGACAGCCTGCACACACTGCTGGGCTTACCGGTGGTGGTCAGATGGTCACACATAGTTCTCTCCAGGTGTAAAGGTATCACTCAGTCACTCATTCCCTCTCCTCGCCTCCCAGCAACCAGAATAGCAACCAGGGGCCAGGACTGCAGGGAAGAGGAAAGAGCCCCACAACCAAATGGCATAGGTGCCACAGACTCTGATGCTGGAGGAGACTGACCTAGGGCACCACAGGGCAGGAGAGTGGACGGCTGAGGAGCTCCTTCCCTGTGCCTTGAGTTTCAGAAGTGTGACCCATCTCACTGAGAGCTCAGGCAATGTGTCACATAACAGGGATGTGGCAAAGTGGGCTTGGTATGGCTTGGGAGGGGCACCTGCTGGCTAGACTTGGGGTGAAGGAGAGGTCACACGTGCCAAGAGCCCTGACACTCCAACATTGGATGTGCCCATGTGCTCTACCCCGGTAGGTCCACAAAAACCTGCTCTTCCCAGTCACGTCACGGAAACATCTGGAAGCCAGCATGCCTCTCTCAGTGGCCCTGCCCTCTCATCACTCTCCATGTAGCAGAGCTTGCTGACCATCCCCAG